TTGTGGAACCCTGTGTAGTGCTGGTGATCGATCTGGGGTCTGCTACATGCGAGGCAAGTGTCTTACCCCCTGTACTATCTTTCCAGCACCATTACATTTTATCACTTTCCAGCTGAAGTAAAATGAAAGTCTTTTTTTTTTCCTTGTGGGTCACACCAGGTGATGCTCAGGGGTTACTCTTGGCTCTGCACTCAGGAATTACTCCTGATGGTACTTGAGGGACCATATGGGATGCCGCAGATCAAGCCCAGGTCGGCCACATGCAAAGCAAAAGCCCTACCTACTGGACTATCGCTATAGCCCCCCCAAATAAAAGTTTTCAGTTGCACTCAAGTGCTTGTAACCACATGTGGTTGAGGCTGCCCCGTTGCATAGCACAGATGCCACGCTTCATCCCCAAGGAGAGTGCCCAGCAATGCTTCCAGACTTAAGATAAAGAGGCCCCGTTTGTACTGTCTTATTCCTCTGAGTCTCATGGTTAGCCTATGACGTTTGGTTCTGGGGCACACTGCCTAATTTAATAGACTCACAACACACTTGGGCAGCTGAGTTTTTTAAAAAAGAAATATTAATTGTCAATGGAGTCCTTGCTTGATTCACCCATTGCTGTGGTTTGCTAGGAAACTAATGCAGAGAAATGGGCACAGTTAGCAGTGAGGTCATCTGGTTCTGTACACAGCCCACTACACAGCACAGCCAGCACGGCCCTCTGGACCTGCCCAGAGTTCTCTGCCACCTATCAAGAGGTAGGTATGTGGAGGTTTCCACAGAGATGCACGGGGGTGAACCCTGGGGTCCTTTTTTTGCTCTTTGGGTCACACCCGGCAATGCACAGGGGTTTCTCCTGGCTTTGCACTCAGGAATCACTCCTGGCGGTGCTCAGGGGACCATTGGAATGCTTGGAATTGAACCCTCTGCTGCATGCAAGGCAAACACCCTACTCCAGCCCCCTGGGGTCTTTTCATATCTTGCAGGGGCCTCTGGCAATAACGGCTGAGACATTACATGTTCAGTGTTACCTGACCCTTAATTCCCCACTCTGTAAAATGGGAATAATACTTGAACTCAGTTCCCAAAATGTCGCACTGGGTAAGCTGAAAAGTGAAAATTCTTAGCTATGTTGTCAGGTAGACATCATAGGGTTAGGGCTGGAGCAATAGCACAGTGGGTAGGGCATTGCCTTGCACACGGCTGACCCGAGTTCAATTCCTCCACCCTTCTTGGAGAGCCTGGCAAGTTACCGAGAGTATCCCGCCCGCATGGCAGAGCCTGGCAAGCTCCCTATGGTGTATTCGATATGCCTAAAACAGTAACAACAAGTCTCACAATGGAGACGTTACTGGTGCCCGCTCGAGCAAATCAGTGAATAATGGGAGGACAGTGCATCAGGGCTATGATGTCAGGTGAATTCTACTTACTTTCCCTTCAGGTTCTGTTCCTGCAACGACTTTTTTTTTTTAAGGAATTAACTGATCCTCTACTTTATTGAGAGTTTTTTTTTTTTTGCTTTTTGGGTCACACCCGGCAATGCACAGGGGTTACCCCTGGCTCATGCACTCAGCAGTTACTCCTGGCGGTGCTCGGGGGACCATATGGGATGCTGGGACTCGAACCCGGGTGGGCTGCATGCAAGGCAAATGCCCTACCCGCTGTGCTATTGCTCCAGCCCCTCCTGCATCTTCTTAGCCAACCACCCGTTCCATTCTGATGAAGTGGAAGGACGGATGCGTTTGGGTGAAAAGCTCCTTTTCTCTTTTCTCCTGTTGACTCTCTAGTTCATTCCTCTCTGTTCCTGCCAGGCCCTGGAGGTGTCCCAGAGAGAGAGCCAGAGAACAGTCCAAGCTAGCAGGGACCTCAGGCTCAGGGCAGAGAGTTGAAACTTAACTTAAGGTCAGCCGTACTTTTTGCATGACTTTGTCACGCTCCAGATCATTATTATTAGCGGAGGTTCGTAGGACTTGGGAGGTGCCTCTCCACTTTTGTCACTTCTGGGAGGCGTGGAGCAGTCCCGTGACACAGCTGAGGAGGACAGAGAGTGGGAGTGCGGCATGAAGAGCCCCCGGTGCGGCACGCGTAATTGCTTCTTCCCATCACTCACCTGTCATTTCTCACGGTGGCGACCTGGGAAGTTCTTTCTGTGGGTGCCTGGAGGTGTTCCCGTCAGTGGGAAGAGCAGCATGTGCTTGAACTCTGCCGAGCTGGAGGCTTTTGTAGATTCTGAGTTTGGAATGTTTTTCAGCTTCAGTTTCTGGTTTGCTCTTTGAAGAAGACTCTAGGTGCTGAGGTGACTGCCCCGCCTGCCTGGTGCTGTTGTGTGCCGGGTTCCCTGAGGTGCCGAGCAGGGGCTGTGTGGGTCAGGGTAGCTGGCAGAGGCCTTCCTCGGAGCTGGTTTGGTTTTTTCTCTGCTTCAGACAGTGTGGTGTGCCCCTCATATGGCTGTGTGACTTTATCCTTTCATAAATTCACGATTCTCTACCTCCGGCATCATGCAGAAAACCTGGGCGCCCTCAGAGGGCCGATGGCTGAAGGGCCAGCCCAAAGAGGCAGGTTGCCAAGGGGGTTCTGCGGGTTGTCAGGAGCCAAGACCACTGGGTACACCAGTCTTCAGGCTGAGAAATCTGGAGTCTTCTCAGAGTGGGGGTGGGTAGCCTCTTCCCACTTCCCCCCACCCGGTAGGTACTTCCTGATGCCTTGACAGCCACACCCACATTCCACAGTTGCTGCCATGTAAACTCACTGCCCAGTTAAATTTTCTGTAGTTTTTTTTTTTTAGCATACAGCTGCATACACGACCATGGGACACCTCCAGATTCTACATACTGACTTTCCAGTAGGACAGCACCAAGTCAGATGGGAAGGCAACATAGAAATCAGCTAAATTACAATAAACAAAAACATTAGCACAGAAAGCTCAACGAGCAACAGTAGCTTAGTAAACCCTGAAGGCAAGGACTTAATGACCCCGTGGTGAGATAGAACAAGTTTCACAAATTTTCTTTTACTGAAGTTTTTTTCAAAAAATTAATTCCATTAGCCATTTAGTGTTAACAAACAATTTAAAATAAATTGGGGCCAGAGGGATAGTATAGAGAGTAGGGCATTTGCCTTGTATGCTGCCGACAGTAGTGAGCCCAGGTTCAATCCCCAGCGTCCCATATGGTCCCCAAGCACCATCAGGAGTGATTCCTGAGTGTAGGCAGAGCCAGGAGTAACCCCTGAGCATCATCAGGCATGACCCAAAAAGCAAAAAACGATATGTAACACTGTAGCACTGTCCTCCCATTGTTCATCGATTTTGCTCGAGCAGGCCCAGTTAACGTCTCCATTGTGAGACTTGCTGCTACTGTGTCTGGCATATCGAATAGGCCATGGGGAGCTTGCCAGGCTTTGCTGCACGGGTGAGATACTCTAGGTAGCTTGCCGGGCTCTCCGAGAGGGGTGGAGGAATCGAACCCGGATCAGCCAGGCTGGCCGCGTGTTGGACAAATGCCCTACCACTGTGCTATTGGCACCTGCTAAGGGATCAGGCATGGAGGATGGTTGGGGAAATGGGGACAGTTGTGAGGGAAGGTGACAGTGAAGGCAAGGCTGGTGTTGGAATGTTGAATGACAGTAACAAATGCATCATGGAAAACTTAGTAAACCCCAGTTTAAATAAAGGCGAAAAAAAATGAAAGGAGAGAAAGCAATAGAATGAGTGAGGACTGATTCTCCCAGGACTATGATGGAAATGGTCACCCAGAGAGTCATTTGGTTTTATTTAACGTTTTAGACCTTCCAGGCGGTAATCAGGGACTGCTCCTGAAGAGTCTTCCAGCCAGCGAACTGTTTGACTCAAGACCCTGTTGCTTTGGCCCTGTGGTTCCGGACTGACCCGGGATCACGGGCAGTGCTGGGGGTGGGGGGAGGGGGGTTGGCGCCTCTAGGGCCGTGCCCAGTGGTAGTGTTTGGGGGACCAGGTGGTGCCAGGAACAGCCCAGTCAGCTGCATGCAGACTGTTCCATCAGCACCCTACACTTCTCAAAGGCATTTGTATTCATGTTGAACTTCCCCCCAAGCCAGCCATGCTAAGGAGCCCCCCTGTGTGAGCCTGCTTATCCGGGTCCACTGATCTTCCCCGCCCAGCCCCGGGCACGGAGTGAGAGTGATGTCGGTGGGCCCCACGGGTGACTTACGTGAAGCAGGGAGGAGAAAGATGGTCACTTTCTCCCCACCCGCCTCTGCCACTCGGGACCCAGGGTTACTGGGTTCTTGTCTCGCCTCGCAGAAAGGAATTTCAGGAGTAGACAAGCAGTGAAATAGATTTTATTTGGAGGGTTTTTAAGATGTGTATGTGTATGTGTGGGAGAGAGAGAGAGAGAGAGAGAGAGAGAGAGAGAGAGAGAGAGAGAGAGAGAGAGTAATGTACTCAAAACACAGGCTTCTCCAAGGACGAAGAGAGCCCTACACACATCCTAGACATGAAAGCATGAAAGTCCACATCTCAAGAGGGGAAATGCGGGTGACACATGTGCTCGGGCACCACATGTGCTCAGCCACGTGGGCACAAGGAGCACATGGGCCCAGGCAGCATATGCACGCCCTTCCTTTGTTCAAGGTGGCCCTTACAGGGTTTCTCCAACCTGCCCCCACATGGGGCCTCTTCCCAGATAAAAGTTCATTGTTGCTAAGGAGGTTACCAGGGAGGTTGGGAGCGGTGATGGTCTTCTTTGGGCTGAATCACTAAATTTAATCAGATTGAGGGAGAGGTCCGAGGGAATTCGAGGAATCTCCTGCTTGGGGAGGGGTCCAGTCTCCTCAGGGTCTGCTGCTCAAGGTCTCATCCGTATCCACAACATGGATCAGCCTTGGAATTTTCCTCCCAGAACTTTTGCTGGCCTGTTTCATTGTCCAGGGCCTTTCCCTACCTACCTGCTTACATCAAGAGCAGGAACGCTGCCCTGTCCCTGGTGGGAAGAAGAGGGCACCGCGCCACCCTGACATGAGGGTTTTGTTCGCAGGCTTCCAGAAGGATTTCCAGATGGATGTGTTCCGGATCCTGGCGGCCGTCCTCCACCTGGGGAACGTGCAGGTCACGGCGCTGAGCGGCGAGAGGTCGTCTGTTTGTGTAAGCCTATGTCTGTGTTCCAGGAGGAGCTCGGGGTTCCTGGGCCCTGGCATCCTGACAGTAGCCCCGTCTCAGAACCGGTCTAGCAGGAACCAGGAAACCTTCGTTTCACGGGCTGCTCCGGAGTCAGGTTTCTCCCCTGGGCACAAAGCGGGGCTCTGTGCTCACGCTTCGTCAGTGTTTGCTGAATCCCCCGAGTGCCCTCCGCTGCCGCGGGCCTGACAGAGCCACTGTGAACAGAACCAGACCGGAGCTCTTCGTGGCCTTGAGACCTGGGGACTCGAGGGAGGGGACAGTCACACAAGCGCTGCCAGCGACAAAGATTGTTAGGAGAACGAAGCAGAGCTAAGGGGAAGGGTCTGTCTACCAGGCAGGGAAAGCTTCCCAGAGGGTGACATGGCAGGGACTCAGGGACTGTGGCTGTGTAGGAAGAACATCCTGAAGCAGGGGACCAGCCAGTACAAGGGCCCTCAGCTGGGGGTCACGTGGGCAGCAACAGGCAACAGGCTCAGTGCCGGAGTGATTGCAGCGGGAGGACCAGCGTGAGGCCTGGGAATGCTGGCGTGTGGGCGGGGCCTCAGACTATGGGCCTTTGCTCGAGTCTTTTTTTGGTCACACCTGGTGACATTCAAGCCTCCGGCTCTGCAGTCAGAAATCACTCCTGGTAGTGCCTGGGGGCCATATGTGGTGCCAGGGATCAGACGGTGGCCAGCGCTAGGCAGGTGCCTCACCTACTGTCTACCACTCCGGGCCCCTTTTCATATTTGTTTTTAAAGAAATCAAAATAGTTTATTAATGTTGGGTTCTTTGTTTTAAAAAAAAGACACTGAAATAGTCTTTTAATGTAGATAAAAGACACGACTGTTGACTTAATTCTGGAGTTGAAATTGATTAGATAACAAAGCTCCAATATTAAATAAGCTTTTAAAAATAGATTTTTTCCCCTTTTGGATCATACCTGGTGATGCTCAGGGGTTACTAAAATAGATTTTTTTTCCTTTTGGATCATACCCAGTGATGCTCAGGGGTTACTCCTGGCTCTGCACTCAGGAATTACGCCTGGCGGTGCTCAGGGGACCCTATGGGATGCTGGGAATCAAACCCAGGTCAGCCGTGTGCAAGGCAAACGCCCTACCCACTGTGCTATCTCTCCAGCTGCTAAAGATAGATTTTTGTATGTGAAAATGGCTATATCTGATCACGAGGTTGTTAAGTCCTTGTCTGAGCTGTCTGTTGCTGGTTGTTCCTTCTGTGTTACTGTTTTTTGTTTGTTGAGTTTAGCTGACTTCTGTGTTACTTTCCCATCTGATTTGTTGTGCTCTGGCTTCAGTTTCAGTGTTGAGAATTTAGGAGGGGTCCCAGGACTTCAGGGTCTAGGGTCTGGGCTGTCAGTGGCTGTGGGGGTGGGGATGGGGGGTCCTGCCTAGAAGCAGAGAGGGTGGGCGCTGCTTTTCTGTTTTCTTTATGCCGCGTGGGCATTGCTCAGGGTTTTTCTTTGGGCTCGGGGCCGTTCCTGTTGATCATTTGGTGTCGGAGTGGGACTCAGACCCAGGGCTGCACACAGAGCAAGTGCCCCAGCCTTTGAGCCTCCGCCAGCCTCACACTTAGGCTGTTTCTGGTTTGTCTTAGGTAGGAAGACCCCAATGTCCCGGTACCTGTGTGCACCCAGTGCCCTGGCTTCCTCTTGGGACGTGTCCCTGTGTGATGGGCTTCCTTGCTTCCTACGCAGGGGCCCCGGGGACCAGACCAGAGCTCAGCCAGTCTCAACCCGGCAGGACCAGGAGGGCCATCACAGACAGTCTCAGGAGAAGCCTGGCTGGACTCTCAGTTTCCTTCCTGGCTGATGTTCTGGGCTGTTACGGTGCAATCACAGGTTTCTCAGGACTGACCAAGATGACCTGCTGTGAAGGTGTCTTGGTGTCCACACGTGCAGGTCACAGCCTGCTCGTGATGTGGTCGCACTGTTCCTGTTGGGGACAGATGGCATCGGCCTTCTCCTTTGCTGCTGGTCAGTGGGGTAGCCATTTCGGCCAGGGCTGTGTGGCCATGACTTCAGCAAGTGCAGCAGGAGGGAGTGATTCCGGCCCCTCTGGCAACGGCTTGGCCCTGGCGTCCCCGCCTGCCCCAAGCCAGACCTGGACGGGCAGCCAGTGTGAGAGGGATATTGAGCTGTGTCACACACGTGCCTGATTGCAGGGACAGTGCCCCGGGATTGAGAATGTGGGCGGGTCCGAGCCAGGCCCAACCACCCACCTTGGCAGGTGCAGGCTCAGGGTGCCAGGACGCCCTCCACCCCCAGCCAGCCCACCCTCCACTTCCCCCTGTTCCTCCTAGGGAGGCCTCCTAGGGAGGTGCCCCCTGCACAAATGGCCCTGACCGAGCTTGTCTTGTTTCCCAAGGAGAACGATGGCCACCTGCAGGTTTTCTGTGAGCTCCTCGGCCTGGAGAGAGGCAGTGTGGCTCGGTGGTTATGCCACCGCAAAATTGTTACGGCCTCTGAGACGGTGGTGAAGCCCATGACCAGGCCCCAGGCCCTGAATGCCAGGGACGCACTGGCCAAGAAGATCTATGCTCACCTCTTTGACTTCGTCGTGGACAGGATTAACCAGGCCTTGCAGTTCTCAGGCAAGCAGCACACTTTTATTGGTGTTTTGGACATTTATGGGTAAGATTCTCTTCCGTGTGTCTGTCCTTACTCTTCCCGGCTCCAATGTCTTGTGATGGTTGTTTTTGGTTGTGAGTAGTGAGGAGGTATCATTTTGTTCTGGTCTTTTTTGTGTGTCTCAAGTGATAGAAGGGAAAATGGGTCTAGGCATGGAAGTCAAGAACAGCTTTCAGGAGGCCTTTAAAATGCCTTTAAAATATTTGTCTTTCATTGTGTATGTCAAGAAAACACTAAACTAGGGCTGGAGAGATAGTACAGCGGGGAGGGCGTTTGCCTTGCACACAGCAGACCCGGGTTCGATTCCCGGCATCCCATATGGTCCCCTGAGCACCGCCAGGGGTCATTCCTGAGTGCAGAGCCAGGAGTAATACCTGTGTATAGCCAGGTGTGACCCAAAAAGGTCACGGTCCACGGTCCTCCCGGTGTTCATAGATTTGCTCAAGCGGGCCCAGTAACGTCTCCATATTGAGACTTGTTGTTACTGTGTTTGGCATATTGAATACATCATGGGTAGCATGCCAGGCTCTGCCGTGCGGGCGAGATACTCTCGGTAGCTTGCCGGGCTCTCCAAGAGGGGCGGAGGAAACGAACCCAGCTCGGCTGGGCTGGCTGCGCGCAAGGCAAACGCCCTACCTGCTGTGCTATTGCTCCAGCCCGACCCAAAATGAAGGCCCGTTGATCGATTTGCTCGAGCGGGCCCAGTAACATCTCCATTGGAGACTTTGTTGTTACTGTGTCTGGCATATCGAATACTCTCAGTAGCTTGCCGGGCTCTCCGAGAGGGGCGGAGGAATCGAACTCTGGTCGGCCATGTTGGCTGCGTGCAAGGCAAACGCCCTACCCGCTGTGCTATCGCTCCAGTATGTGTAGTACCCAAAATGAAAAAAGAAGAAAAAAAAAGAAGAAGAAGAAGAAAGAAAACACTAAACTAAAGCGAGCCAGCTTCAAAGCTGCTGTGGGAACTGTAGCTCCCACACTAAACACTTTCCGTTCATGTTCTCATTCAGTCCTCACAGTCTCAGAGCCTTGAACCTTATTGTAGAGATGAAACCCCTTGCCCTGCCCCACCCAGGTCCCAGCACCGTGCAAGGCTCACATCCACATGCCCCCGCAACACGGGTCGGGGGCCTGCAGGGACCTGATGCAACTCCCGGGCTCCCAGGGAAACGATGGTGCTCACAGGCCAGAGGGGGTCACCCCAGGCCTCTTACCAGCCAGACTCTGCACCCAGTACCTTCCCATCCTTGGAGAATGTTGTCCTGGATTTGCCCCAGACTTCCTCCAGGAAATCGAAGACTACTGGGCCAGAGAGAGAGTACGGTGGGTAAGGGCTACGCATCAAGCAAAGAACAGGCTTGATTTCAGTCCCTCAGACTTTTTTTTTGGCAGCTCCTTGTGCAGTGTACAAGCTACGCAACTGTCTCGAGCAAGCCTGCATAGAGTGTTTCTGTTTTATAGTTCCATTGGTTCTTGTAAACTACTTGAATCCTGTAACATAGATATAGATCTTAATGGTATAGCCATAAACAGAATGAAATCAGTTTTTTAGGGAAAAAAAAATAAGTATAAAATACACATTATAGCCTAGGAATTAATTGACCAATGCATTCCTAAGTCGTATGAAAAATGTATCAACAGGGGCTGGAGAGATTACACAGCAGGCGGGGCACCTACCTTGTACACAGCTAACCCAGGTTCCATCCCGGGCACCCCATACGGTCCCCTGAGCCCACAGGGAATGATCCCTGAGCACAGAGCCAGAAGTAATACTGCTGGGTGTGGCCCCAAACAAAAACCACCACCACAATAAAACTCCAACCCACTCTCCACTCCCATGGGACCAGCCTTGGTTTCTCAGTGGAGAAGGTGTGGGCCATCCCGTGAGAGGCATCGGAGCAAGCCGCTGGGGACTGGGAGTGTGCTGTGAGGAGTGTCCACCCTGCCTTGCCCAGCAGAGGGAGAGTGGCCCCGAGACCTTTCCCAGAACTGCGCCTGTCAGCTGCAGGGAGGCGCTTTGTTTGCTTTTGGCCTAAGCTAATATCATGACTGCCATTCAGAGCATATGTCAACAGTGAAGAGTCTGGACCATAGCTGCAGGAGCTGGTAAATTATTTGCCTGGACTTGAACTGAAAAAAGAACTTGAAAAAATACATATATATATATATATATATATATATATATTAACAAAGTAGTCCTACTTAATAGCAAAGTTTTTCATCATGGTATAATACACAATTGTTCTGTTTTTCTCCGCTCTTTTCTGTGTTTAAAGAACATCTTTAAGAAACATTTTTTTTAAAGTCCTTTCAGAATATATTGGTTTAGTTACACGGCAAATATTTGAGTTCCAGTGTTGGGTGCGGTTCATCAATGAATAGACTGTGGCTCCCACCCTCGTGGGAGCTAGACAGACGGAGGAGGCTCGCAGGAGACCGATGGCTCCTGGGGGTCTGGAGATTGATGGGGCGAGCGTGAGAATCTGGGCTGCTGGGCCCCACAGGGGTGCATGAGAAGGGTGCTGAGTCCGCCCAGAGCCGGAGGCCTGGATACCCTGCAATAAGGATTTGCTCTTTTGCCTCGTGTAAGAAGCTACATAGCACCAAAAAACAGAAAAAACTTGTCATGGGTTTAACTTGGTAAACTTCAAAATGGAATTCTTTGGCAGTCAGGAAAGTGACACACTGCTGCCTGGAAATCAACAGCGCCTTTGACCTTCGACCCTCAGCCCCTGCCCTCCGCCCCTCTCCTCTTGGCCCTCCCCTCCCCCCCTCGGGCTTGCTCCTGCACCTCAGCACCGCCCCTCTGCCCTCCGCCCCCCTTGCCCCTTGCTCCTTGGCCCTTGGCCCCTCCCTTCTACTGCCTACAGGACCCTCACAGGCCTGTTTTATCTTTTGGTTTCGGGCACCACTTGAACAAAGTGTATGATAATGTTCCAGCATCAGTGCCAGCACCAGTGTCCCCCGGCCCTCCCCTACCCCCCCAGCCTGCCCTCCTGACAGGCACATTGTTAAGTTTGGGTCCCGTGTCTGCAGTGCCGTGGGCCCTGCAGTTCGGAACATGCGTGCACTTCACCCCTGCCCGACCTAGGCGCCCGAGCCTGCCCCCGCCCCGCTGCCTCCAACCCACCTGTCTTACGTGTCCCTGGATTTCTCTTCCTCCCTGCTCTTCTCGTGTCTGTGAGGAGACCCCAGTTGCCTTTGGCACCCTGCACTCCCTCTGCATGTTACTCTGTATCCCATAGGTCAGTGAGGTCACTCGGTGTTTGTCCTTGTCCTTCTGACATACTTCACTGACCACGAGATCCTCTAGCTCCGTCCAGGTTCGTCTGTGCAGCTGCATATATGCCACTGTGTGCCAGTACCACACGCGCCGAGCCACTCACCTGTCAGCGGGTACCCGGCCTGGCTCCGTCTCCCACTCATGCCAAGTGCAGCAGTGGGTGTGTGGGCATAGGCCCTCTTGAATGGATGTTTTTGTGTCTTGGTGGGCAGGGCCCTTGTGAACATGTCCCCAGGCCAGCGCTGGTCCCTCTCTCGTGTCTCTTCTGGCACTGAGCTCCAGGCCCCTTGTGGGGGGACTGTCAGAGCTGTGTGGGTTCGGCGTCACCCTGGGGCTGTTGAGGGGACAGTCAAGGCCTGTCCGGAACTAAGTAGAATCAACTCAGCAAAGAGGAGTTGGCAGTGGGCAACAGTGGGGCTCTCGGGGGCCTCTGGGATTGGGGGGCCTGAGAATTAGGCCTTTGGCGTGAGAGCAGTAGTGTGGTGTAGGCGCTTGCCCTCCACACGGACTATCCGGGATCAGTTCTTGACATCCCATATGGACACCCAAGCCAGGAGCAAGTCCTGAGGCCCCAAAATGAGCCAAACAGAATTAAACCTTTGGGCACGGAAGGTCCAGGTGGGTCACTGGCCCCTTGCTGGATCCTCGGTCTCTGGGAGTGCCACCATATCTTTCACTGTGACCACGTCACAGTTCCCACGCCCAGAGTGGGATAAGCAGAGCACGTCGCTGCACTGAGATTCGGGCCATGAGAAGTGTCCTGACTCATGTCTGACAGAGCAGTCACTCACACACAAGCCCAGATTTCCGCCTTCTCTGTGAAAAGTGCCCTGGCCTGCTCCGTGCCTGGCCTTTGCGGGCTGGAGACAGCCCTGCCCGGACCAGAGACCGCCCTGCCCAGACTAGAGACAGCCCTGCCTGCTGAAATGGTCACTGCGTTTGAGAGTGGCGGCCTCAACTCACAGGGTCCCCCTTCTCCTGCGGGCAGGCTTGAGCTGGGCTGCTGCTCCCCCTTCAGCGGGCAGAGTGTGTGCCACAGTGGTTGACGGCCTGGCCCTGGCCCGGGAGTGGCGGGGTGGCACTGAGCATGGGCTTAGCCAGGAGGCGTTTTCTCTTTGGTCGAAGCAGGGGGAGTCCCAGAGAGCAGAGAGGCACTGGGTGATTTTTTTTTCTAAAAAGAGGGTGATAGACCCAGTAAGTTTGGGGACGGACCTCTGGTATGTGAACCACGTTGCTTTATCCTGGAAGACTGTATGGGTGAGGGGGAGTAGGGCTTCAGTGGGGTCTGGCAGCAGCTGTGTCACCCCAGGTGAGTTGATTAACCTCTCAGGGTCTCCCCGCTCATCTGTAGGGGGAACAGCTGTGTGTGTGAATGGCGTGTCAGGCCACCAGCCGTGACACGTTTGTTGTGGTGCCAGGCAGGCGTCCAGGGAGGTGTTGGAAAGGGGCCGCCTTTCAAATGCAGCTTGAAGACAGCCATTCATAAATCTCAGGGATGCTCAGGCCAGAAGCTTTAACAAGCATTTAAAACTTACAGAAAATAGTAGTTTTAGCTCAGAGGTTTGTATATATAAGTGTGTGTGTGTGTGTGTATAATGTCTTATGTATATATAATGTCATAAACACATGGGTATGCCCTTCACATTACATTTTAACTTGTTTAAACTCTATTTCAGTTTTGAAACCTTTGATGTGAATAGCTTTGAGCAGTTTTGCATCAATTATGCTAATGAAAAACTGCAGCAGCAGTTCAACCTGGTAGGTCGTTCATCCTGGTAGGTCACTTTTAAACCTCGATTCTTTTCTTTTTTTTTTTTTATTGAATCACTGTGAGCTACACTTACAAAGCTTTCTTTCATGTTTGAGTTTCCGTCATACAATGATCGAGCACCCGTCCCTCCACAGTGCACGTTCTCCACCATCAACCTCCCCAGGGTCCCTCCCCACCTCGCCCCCCACCCCCGCCCCACCCTCCCCCTAACCCTCACTCCTAGCCTGAGCCGCCCCTTTGCTTCCACTCTGCGCTCAGTCAGAGCCAGGCACCGGCCCATGGCGCCACCTTGTGACCATATCCCTAAATCACATTTTCTTGCCCCCTTCTCACCAGTTTCCCAGCTTGGCATTCCTTGGCATTCCTGATCCCCCCTGCAGCCACACCACAGGGTATTTGTCCCATGGCTCCGTGTTCTTGCCAACCTCTGTCTCCTTGCTCCTTCTGCTCCTTCTTTCGTGACCCACCTACTCCCATCTTTACTTGGCAAACCCCTGGCAGCATCCTGGGTGGCCCCTCAACCTGGGTGACCGCAGGAGCCCGGGGCACCTACGCTGGATGGTGAGGGAGGCAGATGGGAGAGTGAGCTCAGCCCAGGGCTCAGGGGCTGGGGTGGCGGCGTCTGTCCTGCCAGCTGGCCCCAGACCTGCGTGTTCGGGATGCTGACACCAAGGCCTTTGGAATATTCTGTTCTGCTTTTTGTGTTTGCTTCCGGGCTCCCAGCATGTCTTTAAACTCGAGCAAGAGGAATACATGAAGGAAGACATCCCTTGGACTCTGATTGATTTCTATGACAACCAGTCTGTCATTGACCTGATTGAAGCGAAAATGGGCATTTTGGAGTTGCTGGATGAAGAATGTTTGGTAACTTTTTGCAAACACTTGGTTTTGGGGGTTGGGGATAATAGAGCTTGGCAGTAGAACCCTTGTCTGGCATAGGTGCTCCTAGGCCTGGTCTCGGCCCCACAACTCAAAAAATTGTTTGTCAGATTTATGGGGGCCAGAGCAATAAAACAGAGGGTAGGGCGCCTGCCTTATATACAAGCTGACCCAGGTTCATTCCCCAGCCCCCCGTATGGTCCCTGAGATCACTAGGAGTGATTCCTGAGTGCAGAGCTAGGAGTAACTCCTGAGTACCTCCAGGTGCGGCCCCAAAACCAAATTAATAATAATTTTTTGAATTTTATTTCCATAAAGGTCACAGTAATTGATTGCATTCAATATTTCAACAGCAGTCCCACCACCATTATTGCTAATTTTCCCACCACCGCTCCCACAGGCAGATGCTAGCTGGTTTATTTTGTATTGCTTGTTCTGAATAGCATGAGATGTCACGCGGCCTCAAAAGCAGCCACACGCTCTTGGAATTCTAAAGCTTGAAATAATTGGGGTCCGGAGCCATCTCTGCAGCAAGCTGCTCTGAGATTCATTTGTGAGTCTCTGGATCATGGCCGTTAATGTGCCCAGAGGCAGTGCATGGATGTGACAGCCAGGACCCCTGAAGGGCAGGAAGGTGGGAAGGGGTGGCCCATTCCTGGCTCCTTGGAGCCTGGAGTTTTCGGTCATTGGTTCCACATACCTGGGTTTTTCAGCGGATTCATTCCTTGCGTGGGGGGCTCGGGACAAGCCTGTGAAGATCAGCCGTGAGGGTGGCCAGGAGTAGACTCTAGAGGTTTGCCGTCGCTGGGGTTCATCTGGAGCAGACGGAGGGACAACGCCTGCTCCCATCCGAGGTGCCCCCAATGAAATCAGCCTGGTCCAAGGTCTGGAGATATTTCTGCAGTAAGCTGCTCTATTCGAAGATTCATTTGTGAGGCTAACAATAAATTTTTGACTAGGAACAGAAGAGAATATTCCAAAGTGGATTTTAAAAAAGCAAATAGTGAAGTCCTGAATGGTGCCAGATGTTTAGACACTAGTGCCAGGATAGTGGTCGATGGCAGAAGGCACCCCCCCCAACTCCCACTCTCGTGTCTGTAACCCCCCTTAGGTAGCAGGCCTGCTGCTTGGCACATCCGGTGAGGAGGTGGTCTCTGAGACAGTCCTTGAAAGGGGTAGATAGACTCGAACTCACCACGTGCCGAAGACAAACAAAAATGGAGTTTTTCTCTTCCTTCCGCACTGTTGTGAGTCATCTTCTGAAAGATACGGCAGAAAGCTTAACAGCCCTAGGATTTGATCAAAACGGTGTCTGAGGGTCTTCCTGTTACAATCTTCTAAAAGGAGCAACGTCAGGGACTTGGCTTGTGCAGTTGACCTGAGTTCATCCCGGCACTCCACTGGGTCCCAGTATACAACCAGGTGTGATCCCAGAGCCTGGAGTAAACCCTGAGCACTGTTGGGTGTAGCCCAAATAAAAAACGAAAACAAAACCTAAAAGGAACAATGTTATGTGGAGTCAGCACAGTTGGCCAGGAGCAAACCATCTGCAGGATTAGTACGCGTTTGAGTTTTGGTATCAAGATTATATTCTGGTATTTAAATTATCAGTTTTGTTTCTTTCGTTTCTTTTGTTTGGGGGCCACACCTGGCAGTGCTTGGGGCTGCACCTAGCATGCTGGAGAGTCGGTCACGCCTGGAGGTGCTTGGAGTGGACCGGGAGGTGCAGGGAAACCTGCCCCCCCCCCCCCGCTCCCCTTTCCCCACCGCACCCCCCACCCCCCGCACACAAAGCCATGCTTCCTGCCTCGAGCCGGCTCCACAGGAGCTCGATTCTGTTTCTTGTCAGACTTGGACATTGATGATAATTTGGAGACTGTCATTGCTTCAAGTGCTGTTTCATGGTTGCCAGCCATAATGCCGGCCCTTCCAAAAGGAGCAAGGGAGCCTCTGGGTTCACCCACTCAAAGTCATGGGTGAGCGGTGTGCAGGGGAGTGGACAGGAGGCATGTGGACACTGCAGGGTGTGAGACTGAGTGGACCTGAACGCCAAGGAGTGTTATAGCCACCCACGGCAGCTAGCCTGCTTCCAGAAGGACGAGCCCGCAGCACTAAGCTCAGGAAAGCCGGCTTTGGGGTTGACTAGAGGGGAGCACAGCGGGCAGGGCGTTTGCCCTGCACACAGCCAACCTGGGTTCATCCCACCATTCGATACGGTCCCCTGAGCACTGCTGGGCGTGATCCCTGAGTGCAGAGCCAGGAGTAACGCCCAAACATCACTAGACATGATCCTCCCCAAAAGAAAAAGAAAAGCAGCTTTCTAGAAGGTGGGACCAGAGGACAGCCATTGGGTGCCTGTCTCTGCTCTGGACTGAGGGTGAAGATCCCGCCTGTGGAGCCAGATCACGCAGGGTTCTTTTTATTTTTTTTTTTGCCATTCTTATACATTTTATTTTCATAAAGTAGTTTGCAATAGTTCATTATGGATAATATTCAAACACCCGTCAAACCAATGAACATCTTCCTACCACAATAAGAGGGAAGTGTGTGAAGGTTGTTGTATTTCATTCTGGAGCCATTTAAGCTTGTATGTAAGAGAATGCAAGCAAGTATGATAAAGCCAAACACGTGTGTGCTGCTTTAGGTACATCAGCGGACTAGAGTATAAGAGGTCACGTGGCCGTGAATGCTGCCGGGCGCTCCAGGAAATACTCTATCGCTCCTTTTGGGAGTTTTATTTTATAGTCTCTAAATCTTGGCCATTAATGAGATTATGTGGCGCCCGGGGAAGTCTGTGGTGTGACTGCCAAGCTACTGGAAAACTGGGGATCTGGGTGGAGGAGGCCCGGTCTTGATCCGAGCAGGTTGGAGATCTCAGCCCCAAGTCCCGCACTCCTGGGTTCCTCCTTGGCTCCCTCATGAGTGAGGCTCATCCAAACATGTGTAAAGTGCCGTGCAGGGTTCTTGCCCCTGAGAGCCGTGCACTTATTCGGGGAGAAGCGAATTAATCTCCCTTTTGCAATTTTATGTTAAAGCCATTTAAAATTCATTTCGAAGCCATTTCTTTTTAGTGCCTATCCTCTTATCCTTCAAAAAAGGGACTGATATCTTTGCTTGCGACTCTGAATATTCAGGTGCAGGACAGATTTAAACCTAGAAGCGCTTTATAAAAAAGACTTGCAGGTCTTGAGCAACACTGAGGTGCAGGTTATCTCCGCGTCTCAGAACCTGCGCTTCTCGTCGCTAGCCATCTTCTATTTCTCACGTCCCTTCTGTTTGCAGCTGCCACACGGAACAGATGAGAACTGGCTTCAAAAGCTGTATAATAATTTTGTCAAGAAGAACCCTTTGTTTGAGAAGCCCAGAATGTCAAACACATCGTTCATCATCCAGCACTTCGCTGACAAGGTAGGTGAGGTTGGGAGCAGGGGCAGAGGGCAGGCAGAATCTGCCCAGATTTGGGGCCAGAGTGACAGCAAAGCAGGGAGGGCATTCGCTTTGCACACGCCAAACCAGGTTCAATCCCGGCATCCCACGTGTTCCCTGAGCACTGCCAGGAGTAAACCCTAAGTACCTCCAGGTGTGAGACACATCATAAGATACTCCCTACCCATAATTTTCCATAATTACCACACCATATTTCATGGGATTCAGACAGAAAGCAACGAATCATAGAGGGATGTGTGTATATATATATATATATGTGTGTATATATATATATATATACACATACATATCAGAGAGCCCAGCAAGCTACCAAAATACTGAAAGTATCCCGCCCACACAGCAGAGCCCGGCGAGCTACCTGTAGCGTATTCAATATGCCAAACACAGTAACAATAAACGGGTCTCATTCTCCTGACCCTGAAAGAGCTTCCAACACGGCAGCGTTGGGAAAGATGAGTAAGGAGGGGCTGCTAAAATCTCAGGGCTGGGATGAATGGAGATGTTACTGGAGCCCGCTCGAGTAAATCGATAAACAACAGGATGACAGTAGTGACAGTGACCACCAGGTGTGGCTCAAAACAAAAGGAAGGAAGGAAGGAAGGAAGGAAGGAAGGAAGGAAGGAAGAAATCTGCCCAGATTTCAGTCTTAGTGCTTTGATGAATGACATGCACGTTAATAGTTCTTTTTTTTAAATCCCAAAATTCTTGGCTTTAGATTGTCCAGTGGGGAACAAACACCCAGTGGTGCCCAGGGCTATTCCTCTCTGCCCACCATATGCAGGCAAGCACCTTCCCCAGGACTCTCTCTGCCCTTGATGGTGCCGTTTGACAGATAGAAAGTACTGCTGATCATTTCTGCTTTGGATTTATTGTGAATTGATTCACCTCTCACTAGTTCTCTCTGTGAAATTCCTTTAATCAAGACAACGTCCATCATTGTCTCCTATAATGAACACTTAACTGTCTTTGAAGACTTTGTTGTCTACTTTATGTATTATAGTGGTTACAAAGGTTCACTTAGGACAATGGGTTTTCTAGGCAATTTTTTTTTTTGCTTTTTGGGTCACACCCAGCTGATGCTCAGGGGTTTCTCCTGGCTCTGCACTCGGGAATCACTCCTGGCAGTGCTTGGGGGACCATATGGGAGGCTGGGAATCGAACCCAGGTCAACCGCATGCAAGGCAAACGCCCTACCCACTGTGCTATTGCTCCACCCCTTTCTAGGCAATTTTTATCTTTTCTTTTCTATGTTTCCTATTTTTGTACAACAAATACTACTGTTACCCAAAAAATGCTATTTTTGCAGTCACATTGCTAAGGCTGGAGAGGACTTATGTTTGCCTTGCATGGGGCTTACTCCGATGCGACCCCCAGCACCCCAAGGTCCCCAAGCATCACTAGACACAGCCCCAGACACCCCCAAGTCCCTCCAGGGGTGGGGGGGCCTGTCATCATGCCACATCCTTGCACCTCCACATTGGATCACCAGCCCAGTTGACCAAGAATTGCTGGGGAGGGGACTCTTGCCCCCCCCAGCACTGCTTGAGAGATTCCCCACAAATGAAAATAAAATCACATTATAAAATGCTTAGAACATGGTGCGGTCTGGAGAGAAATGACCCACCCACCTTCCCTAGTGCGGTCTCCCACCTCGTCTGCCCCCAGGACACCTGCTCTGACGCTGTTCATTGAGGGTTGCTCCCAGGCCTGGCCGGGGGCAGTGGGCGACAGGGCTCATGGTGGTCAGTTCCCGCTGCTGGTGGGCAGGGCAGAGCCCACCAATTGCGCCCAACTGGCAGTTTGGGCAAGGAGAAAGCCGTGTTGCCATGTGTGTCCGGACAGCTGTTGAGGCGCTGAATAGCCCCCAGCGGGCAGAACGTTTCACATGGAAAAGCTTAGCAGGACAGGATGAGGACAGAGTCCCACTTCCTAGCACAAGGTGACACTCTCCGCACAGGACAGTGGCACACCTTCCTTATCTCCGGAGCCCAAGTCAACTTGGAAGAGAGTAATACTGAACAGGAGATGGCTCAGTATGCAGAGCTGGAGCATTCCGGGTCCAGGTCACGTCTACACCCAATCACTGGGAGGCCCCCCAGCATCAGCCGTGGTGTGGAGCCCCCTGGGTGGGCCATGTGTCGCCAGCTGTGGTCCCCAGAGAACTGGTGGGGAGCCCATGCCCCCAGAAGGAAAGAAATGATGATGTAGCATTTTGGGTGGATTGAAAATGGGCAGAAGAAACAACATACGCCAAAAGGCTGTTGTAGGGTGTCAGTTCATCCATCAGACGAAGCATCTGGTGTCATTTTGAAAGGACGCAGCACTTAGGTGCAGACAGACCCTGAGTTCCCCACCAAGGCACTCAGCTGATACTGTCCACACCAATGGTCTCCCTGGACTGGGGAAGCCATCTGTCACACCTCTGTAGGCCCATGAAACACCCCCAGTGAAATCTGGAAGAATTCACCGCCCCATGGGCTTCACACACGGGACTCTGGTTGCTGAGCCAAGCATCACTTCTTTGCTTCATGTTTGTCTGGGCTTTGAATACCACAGGGCTGTGCTGTGGCAACTCTTCGATCTACATGTGGGGACCACTCCTGGCGATGCTCAAGGAGGGAACACGCAAGTGCTCAAGCCCAGATCTCTGGCCAGCCAAGCCTGCTCGTCCCGCTGAGTGTCTCCCAGCCCAAGGCCCCAGGAGAACTTTTTTACACCTGTGGATAAAGCAGAGGCCATGCCCGCATCCCTCTGCCCACCTTGAGAGTCCTGCAGCCGTTTCCTCACACTTTTTTTTTAACTTGAGGTTCTGTGGCTTACAGTCTTGTCAGCAATGGTTTCTCATGAGACTGGAGTGATGGTGCAGCGAGTAGGGTGCTTGCCTTGCACACCGCCTACCCAAGTTCAATCCCCAGCATCCCACTTGGTCCCCAAGCACAGCAGGTGTAATCCCTGAGTGCAGAGCCAGAAGTAACCCTGAGCATCACTGGGTGTGGCCCAAAAACAAAACAAAAACAAATTAACGGTTTCTCATGCACGTAATTCCAACACCTATTACCAGTGTATCCTCTTCTCTCCCCCAAGGACCCCAATGCTCCCCTTTTTTCCCAAACTCCCCACCCCCTGGAACTTCGTTCTTTGGATCATTTCTCCCATTGCGATGCCTTTGGATTTTTGTTTCTGCTGTATCTTTAAGTCTTGCATACGAGAAAGATCGCTCTGTGTCTGTCCCTTCCTCTGACTGACTTCCCTCAGCATGACGTCTTCCGGTTCTACACATGTTGCTACAGATTGCATGAGTTCATTCCTCCTTAGAAGAGCAGAGTCTTCTCCTGTGTACACACACCGCAGCTCCATGATTGTTCCTCTGTCATTGGCCTGTTTTCTCATCTTGGCTGTTGTCCAGAGTACAGAGATGAACACAGCTGTGTGTGGCGGTGATTCTGAATGAACGTTTTTGTGATTTGGGGAAAGATGCCAAGAAGTGGTGTCATGGGGTCAGAAACATTCACACGCATACCTCAGATAAAGGGTTATCACACTCCTGAAACTCAGCAACAGAACATCTAAGGACTCTACTCATCAACTGGGCAAGTAGGTGAACAGATGTTTCCTCACACTTTAAAATGTTCTATGACACTAATATGTCAGTACTAACATACATTCCCAGAGTCTAGGCCGGGGGTTGGGTGCCTGTAGTCCCCTGGCTTCCTGCTGTTTGAGGGACCCAGGAGTTTCACCGACCTGGGGGCACTGTGTGAGCATCTCTGAGTCTCTTCCCTGGAATCCGGCCCCCGCCGGGCTCTCTGATGTCGGGGGCTGTGCTCTCGGCGTGTCACCTCTCCATTTTCTTCCTGCCCTAATGCTGATTGTGGAAAGCGTTTCTGTGTGAACCTGAAGGACGCTACTGAGGGTTTTCCTCCAGCCTGTGACCTCCTTGGCAGAGGCAGGCCCGAGCCAGACCTTCCCTCATTCACTGAGCATGTGCGGGAACGACAGGTGGACTGGCCAGGGATGGCAGGGGGTGCCAGCTGGTGGAAGAGCTGCTGAGGGACCCGCCCTGCAGCCCATGGGAGGGGCCAGGCGAGTCTAGCACAGGACCTTTGCTGATCTTCAGCACAGATGAGGAAAGCAGCTGAGGGCATTGTCCAGGTTCCCTTCCTCTGTGGAAACTGTCTCTCTCTTTCTTTCACAGGTAGAATACGTATGTGAGGGCTTCCTTGAGAAGAACAGAGATACTGTCTACGACACGCTGGTTGAGCTCCTGAGAGCAAGCAAGGTCAGTCAGGCCTGCAGGCTGTGGCTGTCCCTCTTTGGGGCTCCCAGGGGTCTCCCGCCGGGAAACAGCGTGAGACATATTGGGAGCTTGCCCCAGCCAAAACAGCAGCTCCAGGGCGAGAAGAGATGCGGCTGTCTCAGAAACACCCGCAGCCAGTGCTGTGGCCACGAAGACACGCGCACACAGGCACGCACCCACAGAGACACGCACACACAAGAGACACGCGCACACAAGAGACATGCGCACACAAGAGACACGCACACACGGACACTTGCACACAGACATGAGCACACAGAGACACGAGTGTACAGAGACACACTCACATAGACACACATGCACAGCAGCCCGCACACACAGACACGCGTGCACAGAGACACATGCACACAGAGACATGTATGCACAGTAGCCCATGCACACAGAGACACACGTGAGCAGAGACAAATACACAGAGACACGTGTTCACAGAGACAGGTGCACACAGAGACATATGCACACAGATTCCCACGCACATCCGCACACAGACGTGTGCAGACTGAGACACACACACATCCGTTGCTGAGGGAGAGAGTCTTCTGTGCTGCAGCCGTAAGGCCCCAGGGAAGGAAGGCAGGAGGAGAAGCAGTATCTACCATAGAGCCCTCTGCAGGGGTGGGGGTGGAGAGGCAGGAAGAAAACTTGGGACATTGGTGGTGGGAACTGCGCACTCTTGAAGAGACGCTGGTGGGACATGGTATGACTGAAACCCAACCAGGAACAACTTTGTAACTGTGAATCTCATGGTGACTCTGAGGAAGGAAGGGAGAGAGGGAGAGAAGAAGGAAGTGAGGAAGGGAGGGAGGGAGGAAAGGAGGGAAGGAAAACAACAGAAACAGGTGTCTTACATGGAGATGGCGTGCGGGGAGGGTCAACACCATACACGGTGGAAGGCACCCAGCATCCTGTGGGCAGACGGGGTTGTGCCCTTTCGAGCCCGTGTTCAAGGCAGGGCACCCAGCCCCCATCAGCCCTGCGGGCTCTGTGCTCCATGGCACCCCTGCGGGGGGCAGGCCCAAGGGACTGGGGCCTTCCCTGGATGACAACGGGCATCACCAAACCAGAAAGACTCCTGGCTCTTTCTTTCCCTCTTAAATGCTTGTGAGAATCTTTAGAAAAAGGAATTTTGTACCCAAGTCTTCATTTTGTGAAAATGGGTCATATAATTTTTATTTTTTATTTTTATTTATTTTTGCAGCTTGGGGGTGGGGTGGGCCAAACCCAGCTGAGCTGTGCACAGAGACCGTGTGGGGTGTCGGGGATCAGATGCGGGTAGCCGCAGGCATGGCGGGTGCCCTAACCCTGTGCTCTCTTTAGCCCTGTGTTGCTGTTGGACTCATCTGTGATGCTCTTCGACTCAATTTTGTCTGCCATGGGTTTTTCCTTCTTTCTTTTTCATTAAAAAGCCATAATTTACAAAGTTACTAATAGTTGAGCTTTAGGCATAAAATATTTCAACACCAATCCCACCACCAGTTGTCAACTTTGCCCTCCCCCAGTGTTCCCAGATTCTCTCCCGCCCCAACCCCTGCCCCTCGGCAGGCACATTACAAAGTTCCAGTGGTTGCCACTTAGAGCTCATGTTTTCAGTGTTGTTGAGTCAATATTTGGGGTATGTGGCTATAACCCTCACCCATGTCATCAGATAACCAAAGCCCTAATGCCCGTTCACCTGTTACTTCCTGTTCTCTTCTTCCCTCGATTTCTTTCCTTCTCTGTCCTTCTTTTCTCTAAATACTGCGGCCAAGGGTGGTCTAGGCATCCCCCCTTTTCTATAGCACATTTCCTCATCCAACATTCTATATATGACATGTTTTTGTTTCTTTTTTTATCTTAATATAGGGGCTGGAGTGATAGCACAGCAGGTAGGGCTCTTGGCTTGCAGGCAGCCAACCCAGGTTCAATCCTCAGCATCCCATATGGTCCCCCAAGCACTACCACGAGTAATTCCTAAGCACAGACCCAGGAGTAACCTCTGAGCATCACGCAATGTGTCCCTCCCCTACCCCCCCAAAAAAAATCTTAATCTAAACCTGTAAAGGGGAGGGGGCTAATACAGTGAGTAACACGCGGTTTTGAGTCTGAGAGATTAGATCGCGCTGTGGGAGAGTCCAGGTGGGTCGCAGCATGAGTCTGGGCACCGAGCCGGGCACAGTGGATGCTTCCACCTCCTGGCCTGTGAGTGACACGCCCACGTCCACACTCACACCGTTTTCTTGCCTGTCCCCCTGAGGCCACATCCCCACTGTGGGACTGAGATCTGGCTGCAGAGGCCAGCGGGGCTGTCTCCTCCCTCCCGCTGGTGCAGGCAGAGGGGCTGAGCCTTCGACCTGGGGCGGGCAGCGGTGGGCACCAGCACTCTGAGAGCCAGGAACCGTCTGTCTTCCAGTTCCACCTCTGTGCCAGCTTCTTCCAGGAACATCCAGCCTCTTCTTCCCCCTTCGGACCAGTGATCACAGTCAAGGCTGCCAAGCAAATCGTCAAGCCCAGTAAGCACTTCCGGAGCACCGTGGGGAGCAAGGTACGAGGAAGGGGCGGAGGAGGAGAGGTGGGGGAAAGCACTGGCCTCTCCCACCCCCGAGGGAGGCCCTTCCGGGTGGAGTGGAGTCTGGGCTTCTCCCCGCGAATCTGAATACATTTCAGAAGGCCCCTCACCAGCACATTCTAACTGTGAACTACTCCATCCGCAAAGATTAGCTGGTTGTTGCCATAGCCAAAGCCACACAGGAGCAAAATGCTCTTCTGCATAAGAATATTACTTACAACATAACATGAGGCTGACACCCCAGGACAGTAGATACAAGGGCGAGGAGGATTGCCCCATAGCCGGAAGCCTGCCTCATGAGCAGAGGGGAGAATGGTGAAAGGATCGCTAAGAAAACGATGGCTGGAGGAATCAGTCGGGATGGGAGATGTGTGCCGAAAGTAGATAATGGACCAAACACGATGATCTCTCAGTGACTGTATGGCAAACCATCATGCCCCAAAGTTGAGAAAGAGTATGGGGAATATTGCCTGCCATGGAGGCAGGGGGAGCGTAGGTAAGGGGGGGTATAACGGGGATATTGGTGGTGGGGAATGTGCACTGGTGGAGGGAGGGGTGTTTGATCATTGTGTGATTGTAACTTAAATATGAAAGTTTCTAACTATCTCACAGTGATTCAATAAAATTTTTTTAAAGTTATGGAAAGAATAGCAATGGAAGAAAAAAATAAGAATATTATTTACCCAGCTCCCTGCTGTGTGGGACTGTCAGACAGAATTGAGTGCCCCCCCCCCCCCCCCCCCCCCCGCTGCTGAACAGTCCTGGGCTGAAAGTTTTCATCATAGATATTCATGCGTGAGGTTCACTCTTCTTCTTGGCTAACTTGCCAGCTTGGGGTCTGGTTTTCGCCTTGGTCTATACCTCGTTGCTCAGCTGTCTGTGCTCTGGCCCTGCCTCCAGTTCCGCAGCTCCCTGTACTTACTCATGGAGACCCTCAACGCCACCACCCCTCACTACGTCCGCTGCATCAAGCCAAACGATGAGAAATTACCCTTTGAGTAAGTGTCCTGAGGCGGCAGACAACTCCAAGTGTCCTTTCTGCCATGACGTTGGAGAGTGTGCTTGCAATTACTGAACTGCTGTCTCTGGGATTTTTGTTGTTATTTGGTTTGGGGGAGTCACAGCCCAAGGTGCTCAGAACTTACTCTCTGCTCTCAGGGCTTGGGGTCTCTCTATGGTTCTGGGAATGGAACCTGGACTGGCCATTTGTAAGGCAGGTGCCTTGACCCCTACACTCTCTCCAGCTGCTGTTTGCAGGGATTTTTTTTTTTTTTTTTTTTTTTTTTTTTTTTTGCTGTTTGGGTCATACCTGGTGACGCTCAGAGATTACTCCTGGCTCTACACTCAGGAATTACTCCTGACGGTGCTAGGTGCTGGGTCGGCTAAGTGCAAGGCAAGTGCCCTACCCGCTGTGCTATCGCTCCAGCCCCTGTTTGCAGGGCTTTAAAGTGTCCAGACAAGCCTGTTCTTTTTATGTACTGTTAGCAGAAGCCATCTGGCTGAGCTGTCAGGGGAAGGCGAGGGCGCAGCTGACTCTGTTCCTTTTGGAACGGTCCGCAGAGCACCCACCTGATGTTCAGCAGAGTCCTCAGCCATCTGCTCCTGTAACATTGCCCTGGAGAGGGGCCAACTGCACATGGCCATGTCCGGCCAGTGTGAGTGGTGTCAAACCTTGGGACTTGTCTTTAAGGTTCGACTCCCAGAGGATTGTCCAGCAGCTGCGGGCGTGTGGTGTCTTGGAGACTATCCGCATCAGTGCTCAGAGTTACCCTTCCAGGTGTGCTGTAGGGCCTTGTGGGTGTGGAAGGGGGATGCGGGGGCAACCTCAGACCTGTGCTCAGATCCAAACAGCTGACCCTGCCATACACGTGAGTGTTTTCTGAGAGGGCCCCTGGATTCCTGTGGGAGATGGGAAACGGTGATGATGGGCACTGTGGCCCACACCCATCATGCAGCAGGAGGAACCCCTAGAGCTTCCGGGAAGGGAACTGGGGTGGGGGACCAGTCTGAGGGCAGAGCAGTCACCGGAGCAGCCCAGGGGGCACACAAGTATCCTCTCAGGTGGGGCTTTAGGGGTGTATCTCCAGTCAGGGCAGCCCGGCCACCCCGCACAGCCTCTCTGAGCCTGCCCTGCCTTTGCAGGTGGACCTACATTGAGTTCTACAGTCGCTACAGCATCCTCATGACCAAGCAGGACCTCGCGCTCAGCGACAAGAAGGAGGTGTGCAAGGTGGTCTTACACAGGCTCATCCAGGTCGGTCACTACTCTGCAGGCTCTGTGGGGTCCATCCCCCAAACCCATGTCCTCATCCTTTGTGTGTGGGGCTGTGGGGGGGAGGGAGGGAGGGAAGGAGGACTTGCCCAGGGATTCTCAGGACTTGTTCTGGGTCTGCTCAGGATCACTCCTGGTGGGACTAGGGAACAGTGTGGGGTGCCAGGATTAAAACATGGATCAGTCAGGTGCCGTCACTCCAGCCCTGTAACCTGACTCTTGAGTCTGTCTCTGGAACTCAACTGGCATAGATGCCTCAGAAGAGGGAAAGAGACACACCCGAGTGTTTGTTCGCTAAGAGCAGAATCGCACACCAAGGCTGTCTTCTCCAGGTGGCTGGGGGCTTCCGGGATCTCCAGTGGGAATCCAGCACCTTTGGCACCTTCCTGTCCAGCCTTGATCTCCCGCAACCTCGAGGGCTTCCCTAGGCCTGTTTTATCTCACACCATCAACCAACGTACACACTCTCCAACATACACGCTAACCAACATGCATGCTAACCAATATACACATAACCTACATACACGCTAAGCTACATGTACACTGACCTACATACACGTTAATAGGAGTGCTAGCCTACAGCATGCTAAGCTAATATACACGCTAGCCTACATTCACACTAACCTACGGCATGCTGACGAATATATACACACTAACCAACATGCATGCTAACCTACATACACGCTAACCTACATGCACACTAACTTACATGCATACTAACCAACATACACACCAATCTACAAACACACGAACCAATATACACATTAACCAAAATACACATACACTAACGTGCACACTAACCAACATACACACTAACCAAGATACACGCTGACCAATATAGATGCTAACCAACACACACACTAACCAATATACATGCTAACCAACGTAACACTAAGCTCAGACAGAGCACTCAGCAGTTTCAATTATTCCAGATGTTTTCTTTGGTATTTTGGTTTTGGGGCCACCCTCAGTGGTGCTCAGGCCTTACTCCTCATTCTGTGCTCAGGGAGCACTCCTGGCATGCTCAGGGGATCCTGTGTGGTGCCAGGTATTAAACCCACATCAGCCGCATCAAGCCAAGCACCCCCTGCTCTTCTATCTCTCTGATACCTTGCTGAAGCTTATTATTTATAGTTATAATGTATAAAATGTATAAAAATATTTTATCTATGACCTTTTAATTTTAAAATGACATTTATTATAATGATGGAAAAGAGGCAGGAAAGAAAACCTCTGCAGGTTTCTCTTCTTTCCTCCCAGAGCAGATACAACATGCTCAAAGCTCCCCATGAGGCTCCCATTGCGGCTGGCAGCAGCTCCCAGGAATGCAGGCAATGGGCATTCAGCCTCACAGCTGCTTCTTCAAAGGGCCTTTAAATAAAACAGCAACGTGAAATATTCTCTGCTTCATGACCAGAATGTCTGAGCCTCATGTCGAAAAACAGATATGCCCAAATACCAGTGTCTTTGAATTCCTTAACCCCCTTTTCCATCTATTAATTTAAAAAAAACAATCTGAGCAATTTTCTCTCTCTCTTTTTCTCTCTTTCTCATCTTCCAGGATTCTAACCAGTACCAGTTTGGGAAGACCAAGATCTTCTTCCGAGCGGGGCAGGTGGCTTACTTAGAGAAGCTCCGCTCGGATAAGCTGAGGCAGGGCTGCGTCTTGATCCAGAAGCACATTCGGGGCTGGCTCCAGAGGAAGAAGTTCCTCCGGGAGCGGGAGGCTGCCTTGACCATCCAGCGCTACTTCCGGGGCCAGCAGACTGTGAGGTGTGTGGGGGCCCGTCCATGCCCAGGGCGGGGGGAAGCAGAGCCTCTCTCTGGCCAGGCAGGCCTGCGCTGCCCAGGTGGCAGAGGCCACAGCTTGAGCCGGGACTGGGCAGGAGGCCTGGTGAGATCAGGACAAGGCTGAGCCCTCGACTGGGAACTGGGAGCCCAGGGAGGCCAAGTGTCTGCTGGAGACAGTCAGGCGGTACCCAGGAGCCCCCGCAGATAGCTGTGGAGGGCACTGACCACGGAAAGCACTGCCGGCCAGTGGGCCACAGACCCGGCATCAGAAACAGTGGCGAGCAGGAGGTTTGGGGCAGGTGTTCTCTGTCTGATGATGTCCGGCATGCGAGGCCACTATGCCTTCCTGGTTTCTCAGCCAAAAATGCCTTTTCTTACCTTACTGAAAAAAAAAATTATCCAACTTTTTGGGGGGGCTGGAAAGGGAGCACAGGTGGGTCGGGCTCTTTCCTTGCACGTGGCCACTCAGGCAGAGTCCACAGCACCCTGTATTCTCCCCCATCTAGCCCCACCGGGAGTGATCCCCAAGCATAGAGCCAAGAGGTAGGCTCTGAGCACTGCCAGGAGTGGCCCAAAACCAAACCCAGAAATCCACCTTTTTCCAGCAAGGACAGGCTCACATGCCCTCTCAAAACAGAGCATGAGTTCAATAAGAGTGCACAGAACTGTTTAGGGGATGTTTTATTTTTCCTCTCATCTGACCTCACCTCTTACAGCCCTCTGTGGGGTGCCGTGGGGTTGTGTAATCTCCGGTGGCAAATGCTTTGACTTCACCTCCAGTGCTTTGGACAGTCAGCCCATTGTGGGTGAGGGGCCAGGCCCTCACAGACACTCACTCTGCAGCAGGGGTTGAGAGCATCCGTGCAGTGCATAAGTCATAATTGACAATAGCAGTTAGGCAAGAAAAAGAGATTTAGGACATCCAGATAGGAAAGGAAGAAACCAAGCTCTCACTATTCACAGATGATGTAATACTATACTTAGAGACCCTAAAGCCTCTACAAGAAGCTCCTAGAAACAATAGACTTGTATAGTAAAGTTGCAGCCTATAAAATCAATACCCAAAAGTTCATGGCTTTCCTATGTACAGATGAGAGAGAAATGAAAGTGATACAAAAAAAATCCCGTTCACAGTCATGCCCCAGAAAATCAAGTACCTCAGAATCAACTAAGGACCTATACAAAGAAAACTACAAAACACTACTTTAAGAAATAAAAGAGGACACAAGGAAATGGAAACACATCCCCTGCTCATGGATTGGGAGAATTAACGTCATTATGGCAATACTCCCCAAAGCATTATACAGATTCAGTGCAATCCCATAAGGATACCCATGACATTCTTCAAAGAAATTGATGAAACACTCCTGAAATTCATATGGAACAGCAAGCCCCCACAAATGGCTAAAACAATTCTTGGGGAAAAAAAGATGGGAGGCATCACTTTCCCCAACCTCAAACTGTACTGCAAAGCGGTAATAATTAAAACAGCATGTTATTGGGACAAAGACAGATCTGCAGACCAATTGAATAGGGTTGAATATCCTTACACACACCCTCAAATATATGATCATCTAATCTTTGATAGAGGAGCAAGAAATATAAAGTGTAGCAAGGAAAGCCTCTTTAACAAATCGTGCTGGCAAAACTGGACAGCTATATGCAAAAACAATGGGCCCAGACCTTGACCTAACACCATGCACAACAGTCAGATCAAAATGGATTAAAGACCTCAATATAAGAGGTATTTGATACATTGAAGAAAAGGTCAGCAAAAACCTCCAGGACATTGAAGCTAAAGGTACCTTCAAAGATGAAACACCACTGACCAAGCAAGTGGAAACAGAGATAAACAAATGGGACTATCTTAAATTAAGAAACTTTTGCACCTCAAAAGAAACAGTGACCAGGATACAAAGACAGCCTACAGAGTGGGAAAGGATATTCACCCAATACCCTTCTGATAAGGGTTTAATATCAAGGATATACAAGGCACTGGTTGAACTCTACAAGAAAAAAACATCCAATCCCATCAGAAAATGGGGCGATGAAATGAACAGAAGCTTTCTCAAAGAAGAAATCCAGATGGCTAAAAGGCACATGAAAAAGATGCTCTTCATCACTAATCATCAGGGAGATGCAGATCAAAACAACAATGAGATATCATTTCACATCACAGAGACTGGCACACATCCAAAAGAACAGAAGCAACTGGTGTTGGGCATAGATGTGGGGAGCAGGGGACTCTCTTTCACTGCTGGTGGGAATGCCAACTGGTTTAGTCTTCTTGGAAAACAATATGGATGTTTCTCAAAAAATTAGAAATTGAGCTCTCATTTGACCCATCAATACCACTTCTGGGATTATGTCCCAAAGATGCAAAAAAATACAATAGAAATGACATCTGCGCTTGTATGTTTATTACAGCACTATTTACAATAGCCAGAATCTGGAAACAACCCGAGTGCCCAAGAACAGACGACTGGTTAAAGAAAATTCGGTACATCTACACAGTGGAATACTATGCAGCTGTTAGAAACAATGAAGTCAGAAATTTGCTTATAAGTGAATGGTCATGGAGAGTATCATGCTAAGTGAAATGAGTCAGAAAGAGAGGGCAGACATAGAAGAACTGCACTCATTTGTGAAATATAAAATATCATAATATGAGACTTAACACCCAAGGACAGTAGAGACAGGGACAGGAAGATTGCTCCACAGTTGGAAGCTTGCTTCATGAGCTGAGGGAGAAGGCAGCTGGGATAGAGAAGGGATCACTGAATCAATGATGGTTGGAGGGATCACTCAGGATGGGAGATGTGCGCTGAAAGTAGATAAAGGACCAAACGTGATGGCCTCTCAGTATCTGTATTGCAAACCATAATGCCCATAAGTAGAGAGAGAGAGAGAGAGAGAGTAAGAGGAAAGTTGTCTGCCATAGAGGCAGGCAGTGGGGTGGGGTTCGGTGGTGGGAGGGATACTGGGGACATTGGTGGTGGAGAATGTGCACTCGTGGAGAGATGGGTGTTCAATCATTGTATGACTGAAACTCAAACGTGAAAGTTTTGTAACTGTAACTCATGGTGATTCAAGAAAAAAATTTTTTTAAGTCATAGGTGACACTCGACGGGACCCCAACCAAGAGCAGGCCACAGGCTGCATCTGGGCCCGGGCTGAGGTCTGCCAGCCCCTGACCAAGAGCCTGCATTAATATTTGCCTCCAAACATAGTAATGAACAGATGAAAGAGATGAAAGAGAAGGTTGGGGGGCTAGAGCAAAGAACAGTCGGTAGGGCATTTGCCCTGCGCACAGCCCACCCGGGTTCTATTCCTAGCATCCCATATGATCCCTCAAGCACTGCCAGGAGCAGTTCCTGAGTGCACAGCCAGGAGTATCGCTGGGTGTGACCCAAAATGCAAAAAAATAAAATAAAATAACAGGTGGAGTCCCAGGCATCCCGCAGCCTGGAGAGGAGCCTGTGGAAGGTCCTGGGTTCTCCTCCCCACAACAGATTCACGCTCCGAGCAGACCAGGCAGCTGGAAGGGCCAGTGACCAATTGGGAGGGATCCTGAGAATCATCCCCCTGACAGGGTTTAGAGTCTAGACATGCCACATTTCCACTGTCCCGCATGGGAAACATGCTACCCAGCTTGTGGCTAGCAGGTGTGGATGCCCGTGGGTGACGTTTGCTCTGCTGCCTTCCAACCCAGGAAAGCAGTGACCGCAGAGGCCCTGAAGCAGGCGTGGGCGGCCATCGTCATCCAGAAGCACTGTCGCGGCTACCTGGTCCGCAGCCTGTACCAGCTGATCCGGGTGTCCGTGATCACCATCCAGGCCCACACGCGTGGGCTCCTGGCCAGAAGGAGGTACCGGAAGGTGCGGCTGAGACTCTGTCCCTTCGGGGTACTTGGGCTTCCCAGGGTGCAGATTGTGTGTCACCAGCTTTGCTCAGAGAGTTTTTCTGCGGGAGACACGTCCGGAGCACAGGACATCTGCCGGGACCCTGTCTCTGTTGGCGTATGCTGCAAGGCTGGGTTTCTGTCCCAGCAGGTGGGAGTAAGAACAGGGGCTCTGGGGTAGGAGACAGGAAGGGACATCTCTGCACCAATGCAAAGCTGATAGAGTCCCGGGGAGATTGAGTTTCCATTTCACAGAAATCTTATTTTCAAGCTGCTGGAGGAGCACAAGGCTGTGATCCTGCAGAAGTACGCCAGGGCATGGCTGGCACGCCGAAGGTTCCAGAGCATCCGGCGGTTTGTGCTCAACATTCAGCTCACCTACAGAGTCCAGTGTCTGCAGAAAAAGTTAGAAGATCAGGTAGGCATGCACCCAGTGCCTCTCACCTACAGCTTTGATTTTCTTTCTTTCTTTCTTTCTTTCTTTCTTTCTTTCTTTCTTTCTTTCTTTCTTTCTCTCTCTCTCTCTTTCTCTCTTTCTTTCTTTCTTTCTTTCTTTCTTTCTTTCCCCCTTTTAAGAGAAGGGGAGTTGTAGCCACACCTGGTGATGCTCAGGGGTTCCTCTTGGTTCTGCATTCAGGAATTACTCCCGGCATGCCCACGGGGCCATGTGGGATGCTGGGGATCAAACCCGGGTCAGCCACGTGCAAGACTAGCACCCAACCTGCACTACTATCACTCTGGTCCCTGTATTTTGATTTTCTTAAGTACCAAAGCTGAGAATGAGAAACATTGCCCTACAGGAGCTGAGATGAAGCTGCTATTATGTTTATTTTAGTATTATTTTGTTTGGGGGCCATGCCGGCTGTGCTTGGGGCTTACTTAAAGCTCTGTGCTCAGAGGTCAATCCTGACTGTGCATGGGGGATCATGCACAGTGCTGGGGCCAAACCAAGGTTGGCTGTGTGCAAGGCAAGAGCCTTGACCTCTCTGCTCTCTCTCCTTGGTCCCTTGAAGAGCATTTATATCAATGAAATTGCCACACCCATATTAATAACATAAGTGCTCATGCTCTGAAAGGCTTTGCACTGTTTTAACATCTCTAGAGCATTTTAGTTCTTACTCTGAACTAAATTGCTTCTTTAAAATGGCTGAATAATATATAAAAGCTTTATGACGTTCATTTAAGTTTTTCTGTTTTGGAAATGAGCATTTTGATTAAAATTGGTGCTTCTGAAACTAATGGCTAGTTTTTGCTGATAAGAAAAAAGAAAAGTGTTTCCTAGACCAGCCAGATAGGCTATCTCAAAAAATTGATAAGTCGGTTTTTTTGTTTCAGTCAAAAGAAAATTTTTGTTAGATTTTTTTAATTATTTTTTGTTTTGGGGCCACACTATTGAAGCTCAGGACTTACTCAGAAATCACTCCTGGCAGTGCTCAGATGCTGGGGCTTGAATCCTGTCCAGCCACCTGTAAGGCAAGCACCCCGCCCATTATGCTCTCTCTCCAGACCCCGTTTATACATTTTTCTTTTGTTGATATTTTTTAATGTAGGAGTACTGCTATTTATTCAGCCATTGATTAAACTGATTGAATTGGGCATGAACTGCACATTACTATTTTTTTTAATTTTTTAATTGAATATTCGTGAGATAGACCATTATGAAGCTGTTCATAATTGGGTTTCAGCACCGATCCCTCCACCAGTGTATACTTCCCACCACCAGTGTCCCCTGTTTCCCTACCACCCTTCCCCAAACCCCCATCCCCACCTCCAGGTTGTCTCTATGGGAGGCAGTTTCCTCCTTGCTCTCTCTCTCCTTTTTCTTTTGTGTATTATGGTTTGCAGTATAGGTGCTGAGAGGTCATGGTGTTTGTTCAGGGCATTCAGTATTCTTATCGGGACAGTAAGGCTGGAGTAGCTTTTTAACTCGGTGGCCACTTTGGGGTGTGGATGTGACTGCCAAGACTTCCAGAAGTACAGGGAGTTGGGGGAAGGTAGCCCATCCCGACCCCAAGAAAGCCTGGAGATTTCAGTCACAAAACCCGCATACCCGAATTTTCAGCAGATTGTATCTTGATGAGGTCCATCCTGAGACGGTGGAGTCAGGCCAGGGGTATGGCAGCGATTTTGGATAGTGGAAGGAAGTGGCTGCTGGGGGCTCGGCTTGGATGGGCACCAGGCTGACCCACACCCCTCCAATTTACTCTGGTCTGTTCAGACATGCAATGGTCTGAGATTAATTGTGGCTTTTTACCTCTTTTGAGATTATTTATGGGTCTCTGAAATAAGGCCAATAAGTGAGCTTGTATAGCTGAGCTGGAGGTGGTTTGTGGGTGTGGCTCCCACATACCTAAATTTTGGGCATTTAATTTCTTGGTAAACTTGGTCCCAAGTTGTTGGGGTCTGATCAAAGGCACAGCTGCAATCTTGGGATATCAGAAAGCCTGAAGGCACCATCAGGCTGCTGATGCACTGGCCCTGCAGGTGCAGGTTGACCTGCTGGTGGCACCATGTTTATATTTTTTAAATTTTATTTTATTTTTATAAAGTAGTTCACAATATTTGTTTACATTTAATATTCGAACACCAGTCCCACTACCATTACTCCTTCCCACCACCATATTTTGGATGTTTCCATCCTGAACCCCAACCCCTGCCCCAAAGCAGAACCGAAATAATTTATTTTGTATTGTTTGTTATGAATAAACCGCTGGAAATGCTCCAGAAACCCTTTTTTAGAAGAGAGTGTATGAAGATTGTTATATTTCACCCAAGGACCATTAAGCCCTTCCATAAGAGATTACCAATATGTTGTTAAGGGTTGAACCTTGTGTGCTTATATATATATATGTATATATAGATATAGATACATATACATATATGTATATATACACATACATATATCTGTAAAAGTATATTTCCCTTTAAGATTGGTTGCCCTCTACTTTATTTTTTTTACTTTTACAATTAACATATTTATTTATTTATTTATTTATTTTAATTTTTATTAGTGAGACATCATGAGGTACAGTTGTAGACTTACAATTTTTTGTGCTTGGGTTTCAGTTATACAATGATCAAATACCCATCCCTCCACCAGTGCCCATTCTCCACTACCAATGATCCCAGTATCCCTCACACCCCCCCTCCCCCCATCCCACCCTGCCTCTGTGGCAGGGTTGCCCTCTACTTTAAAACCCATCAAATGTGGTGTGCTACTCTTGGAATATGAGTGGTATGAGGTACGAGATGTGGCTGCGCAGTCCAGGGATGGGTTTATTCGTGGGTGAGGCTCGGCCCAAGAATGTGAAGAGCGGCCATGAGCATGGCTGCAGTTGAGTTCTGGAGGTTTTTGGCTGTCAGGGCTGGATCCCTTGGGGAAATGAAGGTCCTCACCCACCCCCTTTGGAGTGCTCTGAGTGAAACAGCCTGGTGTGGGGTTCCCCATATTTATATATTTGTAACTTGACTCAAATAGCAGTACGCCAGTCAATTTAGCAATTTTTGAACTATAGTGCATCTTTTATACTTGCCTTTTTAATGATTGGTTTTGTTCCGTTTATGGCTATGCTATTAAAATATATACTGGAGTGATAGCACAGTGGGTAGGGTATTTGCCTTGCACAAGGTCAACCCGGGTTCGATTCCTCCGTCCCTCTCGGAGAGCCCGGCAAGCTACCGAGAGTATCTCGCCTGCACGGCAAAGCCTCGCAAGCTCCCCGTGGCATATTCGATATGCCAAACACAATAACAAGTCTCACAATGGAGGCGTTACTGGTGCCCGCTCGAGCAAATTGATGAACAACGGGAGGACAGTGCTAACCCTGCTACCTATATTATAGGATTCGGGTAGTTTATGAGGGCCAACTGAACTGGAAAATAGAAACACTCTATACAGGCTTTCTCTGTATGAAAAGGAAGAGCGTCTTCCTGCACTCAGGCCTGCTTCCTTGGCTGTGGGACTTGGACAAGCTTCTATTTTCTCCTTTGCCCCCAGTCCTGTGGCTCAGCAACAGCCCTGCTTGGTCTGGGAAGACCCCTCTTACCTCTCCTGCTCTTAGGGGAGCCCACGTGTCCCAGCCACCAGGAGAGACCAGTGGGCTAAGCAATGCCCATAGCTATGAAACTCACTTCTAGGGCCAGAGCGATTGTCCAGCCACTGAGGATCTTCCCTTGCACACAGCTGACCTGGGCTGGGTCCCCAGCACAGACAAGGTCCTCTGGGCCCAGCCAGAAGTGATCTCAGAGCACAGCCCAGCGTGGCCCGAACAGCTCTAGGCCACCTGCTCTCCTCCAAACACACCCACACGGAGGGGACTGTGTGTCGGATCCACTCCTCAGCCTCTGCTGTTGTTTGTTTGCCTGCAGAACAGAGAGAACCACGGACTGGTGGAGAAGCTGACCAGCCTGGCCACGCTCCGGGCTGGGGACATGGAGAAGATCCAGAGGCTGGAATCCGAACTTGACAGAGCCGCTGCCCAAAAGCACAATTACGAGGAGAAGGGGAAGAAGTTCAGGGCCGCCCTGGAGGAGGTCAGGCACTGCCCTGTGACTGGGGGCTGTTGTGAGTCTTTCCATGGGTGGATAAACCTGCAGTGGCTTCCTGTAGAGCAGATTTCTGTGGGGCGAGCCAGCTTCTCCTGGTGGCTTATGTCACCCCAAGGAGCTTCATTTGGGGCCTGGGAGGTGAGAAGAACAGCCTGGGGGATGCTTGGCCAGGGTACCCTGAGGGAGAGCCGGGAGGACACTTCCGCCCCTGCATGGCCTCAGCCCCTGCGCATGCCCCCTGCAGGGGCAAGGGTGTCTTGCCCAGAGCCACAGGATAGAGCGTGGGCGGGTGGCCAGCCCTGCCCCTCAGCTCCTCGTGGCCTTCTCTGGCCAGGATCTCCTGTACAAGTCCCTCCCCCTTCTGAGCTTCCATTTCCTGACACTAAAAATGGAAATGACAAAAAAGGCACTGACAGGGGCTGGAGCAATAATGCAGCAAGTAAGGTGTTTCCCTTGCGTGCGGCTGATCCGGGTTCAATTCCCAGCATCCCATGAGGTCTCCCAAGCACCGCCAAAGCCAGGAGTAGCCCCTGTGCATTGCCGGGTGTGACCCAAAAAGCAAAAAAAAAAAAAAAAAAAAAAAGGCACTGACAGAGTCGTTGTGTGGGGGCAGGGGGGTGTGGAGTAATTTAGTCACATGTCTCCCCCTCTCCCCCCCGCCCCCTGCACCCAGGGTCAGCCCCACAGCCCTGCCCTGGGCCAGGTGGTTGGCTCCTTAAGGCAGACATGCCACCAAGAGACAGTGAGACAGTGAAACTCTTATCTCACACGGTCTTACACAGTCAGACCCTTTCCAAGATTATATCCACCCTGTAAGTTAATCACTTATATCCTACTAAAGCCATACCTGTCTCAGAAACATCAAGAGAAGAGGAGTTCCCCTGATTTTGAGAAGACCTGGGATTCCGTTTTCTCCTTGATTTCAGGCACAGCTGGGCCGTGCTGGGAACCAGTGAAAATGCTGTCATGCGGCCTCGGCACAGGAAATAAAGTGCATTGTCTGCCGCGGGCCCGAGAGGAGCCCCAAAATGAAAATGCTGATTGGAAATAATAGAGATTTGGGATCTGGAGTGATAGCACAGTCGGGAGGGCACTTGCCTTGCATGCAGTGACCCAGGTTCAATCCCCAGCATTCCACATGTTCCCCTGAGTACCAGCAGAGTAATTCCTGAGAGCAGGGCCAGCAATAAGCCCTTAGAACATCTGGGTATGGCCTAAAAGGTGGGGGGGGGGAGTATATATGTGCGTGTGCGTGCGTGTGCGTGTGTGTGTGTGTGTGTGTGTGTGTGTGAATAGCTTTTTTACCAAGTCAGGTTATGATGACAAAACTTGAAGTGAAGTTTTTAAAAGCAGGGTGGGTTTTTCCCCCCGTCTTGTCTTTGCAAGAAATTGACCAAACTGCAGAGGCACAATTCAGAACTGGAAATTCAAAAGGAGCAGGCGCAGCAGCTGCTTCAGGAGAAAACGGAAGAGTTGAAAGGTAACGCCACAGGACCCGAAGATGACAGGAAAACATGGGTGGGAGCTGAGTTCTGGTCAGAATTAGGGATCTCTGAGACATAGCTAGTGTAACAAGAAAACATGGGGACCGGAATGACAGCACAACGGGTTGGGCACTTGCAGTTTGATTGCCCAGCACCCATGTGGTCCCCGAACACCGCCAGGGATGCTCCTTAACCGCAGAGCCAGGAGTAAGCTCTGAGCACCTCTGGGTGTGCCCCACCTCTCCGGCCAAGAAAATGTGCTTCCCAGAGAATTGCACATTTAAGCACTGATGACATCACCACACGGTTTCACTCCGCCTGTGGCCCCCAAGCATCTGTAGGAGTGATTCCTGAGTGCAGAGCCAGGAGCAACCCCTGAGCACATACGGGTGTGACCCCAAAATAGCAAACAAACACTTAAAGAATCTCCTGCCTCTAATTTAAAGCGCAAACATTTCCCCTACTATGTTCAAAGACTGACTCGTGACGTTCTCAAGTTGTCATTTGGAGTCAGCAACATGTAAGAGTGTGTTAGACTCTGTTCAGTTGTTGCGTTTTCCTGTTCATGTTTTGAACCAAGTAATCGGGAGGTTGGTTTGTAACCTTCCATTCCTGACTGCCCCAGGACAGGGCTGAAGTCTGGGGGCGGGTGGGGGTGGGAGAGGTTGGCTCCATGTGGGTAAGGGTGGGCTGGGGGGCCCAGCTGCTCTGTCACTCAGCTCCTGACGGAGTTTCCGCAGTTTGAACTGGCATGTAGGGCATGTGAGGTCCCCAGAGCCACAGACTACCCTGGCTCAGAAGTTGTCTTTTTATCTCAACCTTCTTCTGTACTTGCCCACATGTGACTTGTATTAAGATACAGCAGCATTCTTTCCGCTGATCTTTCCTCTTGCCCAGTTGTGGGGACTTTTGTGATTTACTTGGTGGTCCGCCTCCTGTTCCTCGGGAGTACATTTGTCCGTGTCCGGAGACACTTTGGGTTGCCATAACTGTACTGAGCGAGGAGTGGTTCCCAGAGAGGAGAAGCCAGGGATGTGGCTCCACCCACTCCCTGCGCTGAGCCCCTCCCTCCCAAGAGAAAGTTGAGTCTGGACCGGCCACCTGTTGAGCTGAGGTCAGGAACCACTCCCACCACCACCAGAGGACTGTTGCTTTTCCCCAGGCCTTCCCACTCGCTCTTAGGAATAGCATGGGCTCCATTCCAGTATACATATTTTTTTTCCAATGGTATCCAGGCCCATGAAAGTATTTGGATTAGAACATGATAACTTTGGGGTGATTATTATTGCAGTTCCCATTGTAAGACATCTTGTCTGAGCTTCTTTCTTTTTTTTTTCTTTTTGGGTCACACCCGGCAATGCACAGGGGTTACTCCTGGCTCTGCACTCAGGAGTTACTCCGGGCGGTGCTCACGGGACCATATGGGATGCTGGGAATCGAATCCGGGTTGGCCGCATGCAAGGCAAATGCCCTACCCGCTGTGCTATTGCTCCAGCCCCCCTGAGCCTGTTTCTTAAATATGACATGGAGCTCCATTTGCAGTCATATGTCAGGGAGCATTCTCTTTTCACAGAAAAGATGGACAACCTCACCAAGCAGCTCTTTGAAGACGTGCGAAAGGAAGAACAGCAGCGCATGTATGGGATGCAGTTCACTTTCCGCTCTGGTGCCCGGGATGCAGTTCACCTTTCAATCTGGCGCCCGGGATGCAGTTCACCTTTCGCTCTGGCGCCCGGGATGCAGTTCACCTTCCGTCTCTGGCGCCCTTCTGTGCTCCTCTGTGCCACTTTGCTTTGCGGCTGGCAGAGAGTTGGTGACGGATCCAGGAGAGGAGGGTGGGGATATTTCTGGGAGGTGAGAAGCTGAGATTTTCCCAGTTCGGCCCTGCTGTTGCTCCTTCCAGCCACCGCAGCTTTAAGCTTCCACGCACGGTGAGGCTTGGGAATTTCTTTTTCTTATTATGCTAGTGAGACATTCAGAGACTGCCATACCTTGCTCGAAGATAAAGTATTTAAGAGAAGAGAAATAAAGGCGCTGTGCTCTTTTAACTTGACCCTTGTCTTACAGTCAGGGATGCCCCACCCCCGTCCATCGAGGGTCCCTGTCACCTGGTGCCATGCCAGCTCCCTTTCTTGGCTGAGTTCCAGATCCATGGCTGAACTCCACGGGCCCCACTGTGGGCTCCTCTTTCTTAAGGAATTAACTGGAAGGCCTCTGAGTGGTGGTGCAGGGTGGGAGATGGGAGACGGGGGATATGAAGGACTTGTGCAGACAATGGCAAATGCACCGTCTCCCCACACAGCTGGTTACCAGGAGGCCGAGATCTGGCAAGAAGGAGGAATGCTTAAAAGAAAAAAGAAAAGAAAAAAAAAGAGCCCGAGCTATAGTGCAGTGGGAAAGGACTTTTCCCTACACATGGCCTACTTGGGTTCAATCCCCCGGCATCCCATATCATCCCCCAAGCTCCCCAGGAGTGACCCCTGAGCTCAAAGCCAGGACTAACTCCTGAGCACTTCTGGATGTGGTCCAAAAACAACCCAGAAAGCAAAGGGTGAGAATGAGTGTCATTGAAGAGCTCCAGGAATTAACAGATGCCTAGAGAGTTTCACGGTCCTCCTTTGGCTTTAAAATGCAGAGATTTGACCCCTTTACTTTGAGAAAACAATTGTTTTTTCATTTTTGGTGAACTTTTTTTTTCTGTTGTTTTTGTTGGGGGGCGGGGCACATCTGGCTCAGAGCTCGGAGCTTGGGGGAGCAGGCACCGCCAGGATGGAGCCTGGACCTCCCACACACATGCATGTTCCTAGCCGCAGAACATCATCTCTGTTTGTCTCCTCTCTCTATCCTTCTCTCAATATCTCTCTTTCTCTCTCCCTCTTCTTTCTCTCCCTCTCTCTCATCCTCTCCCTCTCTCTCCCTCTCTCTCCCTCTCTCTCCCTCTCCCTCTCTCCTCTTTCCCTCTCTCTCCCTCTCCCTCCTTATCTCCCTCCCTCTTTCCCTCTCTCTCCCCCTCTCCCTCTCTCTCTCCCTCTCCCTCTCTTTTTCCCTCTCCCTCTCTCTCCTTCTCTCTCCCCCTCTCTCCCTCTCTCTCTCCCCTCTCCCTCTATTTCTCTCTTCGCTCTCTCTGTCCTTCTCTCTCCCTCTCTTCCTCCCTCTCTCTCCTCTCCCCCTCTCTCTTTCCCTCTCTTTCCTTTCCCCCCCCTCCCTCACTCTCTCTCCCCTCTCCCTCTCTCCATCTCAGCCTCCCTTTCTCCCTATCTCCCTCTCTCCCTCTCTCCCTGCCCCTTCCATGCAAACCTCATTTCAGTGAACTCTTGCTTATGGAGTCCTGCCTGTCTGCTGCTCCCTTCTCCCTGCTCAGAGCATTGGGGGGAGTCTGGCCCTTGTCACCTCCACGGAGAGGAGCAGAGATATTCACGGTCTGGGAACGTTCGGCTCCAGTTCGGCTGCAAGACGAAAATTATGTTTCCATGAAACTTAGGTTTGTACTTTCCCTGAAGGTACAGGCCTCTTGGGAGCACTGAGGTTTATTTTTGGAGAGCTTGAAACTGAAGTTTTAAGAGTCTGTTGGTATATAAAAGAAAATGAAACCAACATCCATGAGAAATGTGGCTCTTTCTTGGGGCTTGCAATAGGAACCAGTCTCCGCCTGAGTTGCTAACCTGGCACCTAATGCCAACTTAATAAATGATCGTAGCATTCCCAGAATTGCTGCAGTTCTGGCTGGGCCTTGGGTGCTGTCTTAGGTTGCCCCAGGTCATGTGTCTCCCTTCAGTTGTTTTCTTGGTCACTCGTTCCATATTTAGTTGACCAATTATCTCACAAAGAATTGAGTTTCCATGGGCTTTTCAACATCGGAACTTATTGTTCAGTCACTGTGTAGGGGTTGACACTTTGGCCCCTTCAGTGATTGTGTTGACTTGCTCAGGACCAAGCCAAACTCTTCCAGAATCTTTGGAACTGGTCCGGGACCTGGACTTGGCAGAATGTGCCAGGATCTTCGCAGAGGGTAGTCAGACAGAAAGCTTGGAACCACAGTAGCCATTTTTTTTTTTTTGGCTTTTTGGATCACACCCAGCGTTACACAGGGGCTACTCCTGGCTCTGTATTCAGGAATTACTCCTGATGGTGCTCGGGGGACCATATGGGATGCTGGGAATCGAACCTGGGTTGGCCACATGCAAGGCAGATGCCTCCCCGCTGTGCTATTGCTCCAGCCCCAACCACGGTGGCTTTGTGCCCACAGAGCCACCACCGCGTCTTCAAGCTCAGCTTCCCTGTCCCGCGTGTGTCATGCACGATCACTGCACAGTTGCACGTCTCAGATCAGAGGTGGGAGAACGTTCTTGGTTTAGGCAGATAGGAAGTGGTTGGCTAAAAATCCCGCTATGCTGTGTCTCTCGAAACTGCTACTCTCGATTTTCATGAACTGGCTCTTGCTTCCTCGTCTTCTCTTGACGTCTTCAAAATGCTGTTCTAATTCAGGTGAAGAATTTCACAATAATCCTAAGCATATGCTTTCCTTCTTTTGCTTCCCTAGGCTGCTGGAAAAAAGTTTTGAGCTGAAATCACAAGACTACGAGACCCAGCTGCAGTCGTTCAGAGAAGAAATCAGCGCTCTAAAGGCTGAGAAAATGCATCTGCAGCATCAGCTGGAGGAAGAGCACGTCACGGCAGCCAGCCTGAGGGGGGACGTGGCACGGCTGAGCAAGCAGGCGAAGGTGAATCGAGTCTCGCCTTAACCAGCCTGGCCTGACCAAGGCTGCTTTGACCTGCCCCGTGCAGGATCGGAGACCAGAAGCCCCTCTGTAAAGGCCGCAGATCACAGGACCTTTATTTCTCCAGTTCAGTTGTTTAAAAATCCAACATGCAGGGCTGAAGCAATAGTACAATGAGTAGGGCACTTGCCTTGAATGTGGCCAGTCCAGGCTCTGTCTCTGGCATCCCATACGGTCCCCTGAGCAAGGAGTAATTCTTGAGTACAGAGCCAGGAGTAATCACTAAGCATCACTTGGTCCTGTAGCACTGCCCTCCCGTTGTTCGTCGAGTTGCTCGAGCGGGCCCAGTAGCGTCTCTTTTGTGAGACTTGTTGTTATTGTGTTTGGCATATTGACTACGTCATGGGTAGCTTGCCAGGCTTTGCCATGCGGGCGAGATACTCTTAGTAGCTTGCCGGGTCTCTGAGAGGGGCGGAGGGATCAAACATGGCTAGGCTGGGCCGGCTGCACAGAAGGCAAATGCCCTACCACTTGGTATCACCCAAAAAGCCAAAAAAAAAAAAAAAGAGGAACACATATATGTATAGATGTAGATATAGATTAATCTGGTTGCAGAGATCCCAAAAATTATTTGGCCTCTCACACCTTTTCAGGAAAAAAAAAAATCACTGAATTTCCCCTCCCCCGCCCCCGCCCCACCTCTGGAAATCAGCCTTCTTTAATTTTCTTGGCAGAGGGCACATTGGACCATGGTCAGTGCATGCAAGGATGCAAGGCGAGCACCTTAACCCCGGTACCTCTCCAGCCCCAGAACCTACCTGCTTTAAACAGACAAACAGAAAGTGACTACAGCCTCATATCAGATCATCCTAGGAGATAGTATCACCCACTTGGGGATATTTCAGCATATTCTCACTAGAGAATATCTTAATATGAAATTATAGATGGGTGTGAACCCTTAAACATCTATAAGACCGATGGTAAAATTAAATTACCTTATCAGGATTCTCCTCTTTAACAGTTACCCAAAACACAATGAGCTTTGCTTGACAATCAAGATGTCACTGAATTCCCTCCCACTTAGAAGCTCAAACCTGGCTCTGGAAAGGTAATATAGCGGCGAGGGCCCCTGCCTTGCATGTGGGCAACCCCGAGATCCCCTAAGCCTGCCAGGAGTGATCCCTGAGTGCAGAGCCAGGAATGAGCACTGAGCAGAGTCGAGTGTGGCCCAAAAACAAAACAAACAGCATTTCTGGGTCATCTGATGCTTAAAGAAATAATGACAACAACGAACCTTGTGTGTTCCTACATCTTTAAGTACAAAACATCTCAGTGTAAGGTTGGAAGAGCTTGCACTGAATTCGTGAAATGTGCTAGTAGAATATTTTTTAAGATTATGCTAATATTCTATAATTGTCAAAAATAATCACATGGGGGCTGAAGAGATAGCACAGCGGATAGGGCGTTTGCCTTGCACGGGACCGACCCGGGTTCGATTCCCAGCATCCCATATGGTCCCCTGAGCACCGCCAGGAATAACTCCTGAGTGCAGAGCCAGGAGTAACCCCTGTGCACTGCCGGATGTGACCCAAAAAGCAAAAAAAAAAAAAAATCACATGACTAGAGTAGAAGAGCTTTTCTAATGGGGGGGGGGGGGGGCAGGGAGTGTACCTCCGGCAGTGCCCAGGTACTCAGTGAGCACTCATAGTGGTGCCAGCACTTGAACCTGTGCCTCCTGCATACCAGATTATATGCTCAGCCCATTGAGCTACTTCTCCAACCCTAGAAAAGCTTTCGGAGTCACGTCAGGGTGACTTCTGAATTTCCTACCAGAGAATGCTCTTTAAACTCTAGGCTGGACTGTGGATCAGGAGGACTGAATATTTCCCTAACTGCCACTGTAGCAGTGACCCAAGGCTGGCGTCAGAGCTGAGAGTTGTGTCATCTGGCTACAATCTACATCTTGGGAAATCAAGCAGTTGTTCTGAAGCGTGTGATTCACGACCTCGGTGGGAGCCAGACCTATAGTCCAGACTCTGTTACGATATTTTAAAGAGATGAGTCTGATTCTCACAGAACATAGACTCAGCATAGACTCATCATTGTCCGCTTAGTTCCTGTCTTAGCTGCACACTCTGAGTGTGGCGTCAGCCTCCTTCTCCCAGCAGTCCTGAGGCTAAAAGTGCCTCTCTCGAGACTATGAAGGAGGGTCAGGTGACTAAACTTGGAACATTCACTGAGCCATTTAAGGAATTAGCCTGTGAGGACTGGTGGTCCACATCCTTCCCCGGTTTCCCACATGACCCTGATCACACCATGTAGCCTTTGTGCACATCAGTTGTCTGATCTTCTAAAGACCCACTTTTTGGCACTCACTTTGTAGGTCACGACAAGGATGGAGTTGTGTTGGCAAAGTGATTGATAACTGCAATTTTAACCTCCCTTCTCATCTCCCATAGGAACAGGCCCTCTAGCCCTGTTTTGGTTTTGCTTGGGGCCTACACCCAGAGATGCTCAGGGTGTACCCCTGGCTCTACAACTGAGGAGTTACTCCTGGCAGACTCAGGGAATCATATGGGGTCCTGGAGATGAAACCCAGTCAGCTGCATTCAAGGCAAATAACCTACCACTCAGGCCCCCTGTAACCATTTTTTAAATTTTTTTTATTTTTTAATTTTTATTAGTGAAACACCATGAGGTACAGTTGTAGACTTACAAATTTTTGTGCCTGGGTTTCAGTTATTCAATGATCAAGTACCCATCCCTCCACCAATGCCCATTTTCTACCACCACGGGTCCCAGTATCCCTCCCACCCCGTATCCCCCCATCCCACCCTGCCCCTCTAACCTTTTATACTAATAGAAAATGTCAAGGAGTTCGTTGCCTCAGTATACTCTAACTGTGGAAGCACAGCCTGTGATTATTACTCTGAGTTTATCCAGTAAAGAAGGCAGACACGGCCACTTCCCCACAACCTGCACCCCTAGTGGGTCCCGCAGAGCCCACTCCTGGACCCCCCAGGCTCATCCTGGTACTGCTGCACCTACAGGTAGACCTATCTGGGACCTGAACACACACACACACACACACACACACACACACACACACACTTGCCACCAGGCAGGAAGGTGTTGATTCCACATGCTTGTGTCCAAGATTCCTATGGTAAAGAGAAAGTATCTCCTGTGATTCTGTATCTCTCAGCTCTCCCTCTGCCACCAATTCTAGCTTGTAGTATTTATTTCTCTTTATATCATAGGGAAGCTAATGCTGTTTACACAATCAAAATTTATGAATAATCTAGTATTTCAAGGAAGGTAACTATACTATGAGGTCAAGCTGTCTGGACGGTGGTGGGCTTCAACCAGAATCTAGGAACCAACGGTTTGGCTGCCAGACGCATGATACTGTGATAACTTCCCCTTTGGTGGAAATCCTAACTGCTTTTTTTTTTTTCCCCTTCATCTGCTCCTGATTCAGACAGTCTCTGAGTTTGAAAAGGAGATAGAGCTGCTTCAGGCACAGAAGATAGATGTGGAGAAACACGTGCAAAACCAAAAGCGAGAAATGCGAGGTAACAAGATGTCACTGAATCCGCAGGGCACAGATTAAATGCATCATAGAGTCACGTCCAAGGAAATACGTGCTCTTGCTGGTGCAGGGCTGGTGGGTTTGCAGGTGGGTTGGTTGGATATGTGGTAGGTTGAGTAACTGATCACTGCAATGACTGTGAGTTTGTTCATTGACTGATTGCATGTGTTGATAGCTGATAAATTAGTTCGCCTATTGCTTATCCTGGCTAGCAGGATACCCCATGGAAACCTAAAAACATGGCCCTTGGGACCAGAGCAATAATATAATGGGTAGGGTTCTTGCCGTGCACACGGCTAACCCAGGTTTGTTGGCCAGCATCCCATATGGTCCATCAATCACTGCCAGAAATAATTCCTGAGTTCAGAGCAGGAGTAACCCCTGGGGTAATCCCTGAGTAACCCCTGAGCAATGCTGGGTGTGGCCCAAAGAAGGGTGAAAAAAAGCATGACCTTAAAAAGAGAGGGGATAAATCTTTCCAAAAGTATATTGGTAACAAAAATAATACTTTATACATCTTTGCATTTTCTTTTCAGAAAAGATGTCAGAAGTCACAAAGCAGCTTCTTGAGAGCTATGATATTGAAGACGTCAGAAGCAGGTGACCGTTTCTGCACGACCAGACCTTTGTAAGCATGTGATTCATTGAGAGAGATGGTGACTGTTTTATCCTCTTTGTTTTCCAGGCTCTCTGTGGAAGATTTGGAACATTTAAATGAGGACGGAGAACTTTGGTTTGCTTATGAAGGACTGAAGAAAGCAACGCGGTTAGAAACTCCCCATAGAGCTTTTATTCTCGGGGAGTGTGGGGCACACCCTGTGATGCTCAGGGACTACTCCTGCCTCTGCACTCAGGAATCACTCTGGCAGTGCTCAGAACATATGGGGTGCCGGGACTCGAACCCTAGTTGGCCATTGCAAGCAGCCCTACTGCTGTACTATGCTTTGGCCCCTACGGGACTCCTTGATCTTTCAGACATAGTGGCTTATAGAAAGCCAAAAGTTTAGCTTACAAATATGTAATAATATAAAGCAAGTTCTTGAATGATTTAATAATCACTGGAAGTTTAGAGAACAATGTTCTTAGAGGATTTATTGCTAGTTAATAAAATCCAAAAGCCTGTGGATAAAAATTGATTATACCCAAAAAGTTAGCCAATATTATTATAGGTATATAGATATGTTTAAGTTTTATAAGTTTGTTTTCATTTTTTATGCTAGAAAACTTTGGGTTTTGAAGTTTTATATTTGCAGCAAACTTGGACAGAAAACATGGTTTTCTCATACACCTGATATGCACAACCCCGCCAGGTCTCTCCCATCAAGGGCATGTCTGTCTACAGTCGAGGGCCTTGCACTAATTGTCACTGTCACCTAGAATCCAAAGCTTAGACACATCTTTACCATCGTTGTATTAAACAGGATAGTATTTAAATGACTGTACAAGTAATTTTAATAATGTCTAAAACAAAGTTTTCTGTCCTTGTCTGCTTATCAACACCACAACATGCTTCTTTACCCATGGGGAAGATTCACCATTCCCTGACCTGCCCTGACCCTTAAAGGGCGTGAAGCTGACGTATTTAGTGAGTGACTCCAAGCTGGGTTTAAAGCTTCGCAGCCACCACACGCTCGTAGTCACAGGACAATAAGGACCACATAGTTCATTTCTTTCTACTTGGGGGGCTAGAGAGCATCTGGGCCACAGACAGTGGAGCCCCGGTGCTGCTCTTGCCTCTGTTCTCGGTGTCGGTTCTCGTGTTGCTCAAAGGACCCTACATACTGCCAGGGATTGAACTGTGACAGCTGCCACAGGCAAGGCAAGTGCCTTGCACACTTGTACGTCTCGGCCAACCCACAGTTAACTTCCCGACTCCTCTTTCCACAGTGTCCTAGAGAGCCACTTCCAGTCCCAGAAGGACTGCTATGAAAAGGAGATTGAAGCGCTGAACTTTAAAGTGGTGCATCTGAGTCAAGAAATAAACCACCTCCAGAAATTATTCAGAGAAGAGAATGACATCAACGAAAGTATCCGTCATGAAGTGACCAGACTAACGTCAGAAAATATGGTAGGGTCTCAGGCATGGGCCGGGGCTGGATGTTATTCCAGGGAGATTTGTTAGTAGTGTAAAATTCTGTTAGCTGGAAGTAGCACTGCACTGTCCTCCCATTGTTCATCGATTTGCTTGAGTGGGCACCAGTAAGGTCTCCATTGTGAGAAACTTGTTGTTACTGTTTTTGGCATATTGAATACGCCACGGGGAACTTGCCAGGCTCTGCAGTGCAGGCGGGATACTCTTGGTAGTTTGCCGGGCTCTCCAAGAGAGACGGAGGAACTGAACCTGGGTTGGCCACATGCAGAGCAAACGCCCTACCTGCTGTGCTATCGCTCCAGCCCTCGTTGGAAGTAAAATGGTAAATATAAATTTTTCACAGACTAAAAAGAAAATTGACCAGAAGATAAAATTATAAAATCACTCCTGATTTGACAGGAGTGTGTATTCAGAAATCTGGCCCAGTGTATACATTCTGGTGTGTGTGTGTGTGTGTGTGTGTGTGTGTGTGTGTGTGTGTGTGTGCATATGTGCATGTGGCATATATGTATGTAGAGAAATGTAGCCTAATCAGATCAATCCCTGTATGTATTTATCTTGCCTTTTTAAGGAGTTCCCTCTTCTCTGATCACCATTCTTTTGTGCTTTGCCTTTTATTCTAACTCATGCACACTGTCTTGGAGAAATGCTCTAGGAATTGCCTTTTTCTGGGGGGAAAAAAATGTCTGAATGACCTGCCATTACTACCTCGTTCTTTGGGGGGTGTTGGCCAGACTTCTTACTGGTCTGTGATTTCTAACTAACCTCCCATTTTCTCTTCAGCCACCCATTTTCATCCTCATCCTGATTTTAGTTTCTTGGCAGCATTTAATGATGATCGTCCCTTCCTCTTGGGCCTTAATTGTTCTGTTGCTCTCAGAACACCACCCTAGGGCTTGGCCTCTCACCTCTCGGGCTGTTCTTTCTCAGCTTCCTTGCCATCTCCTATCTCCTGCCTAATCTGAGGGATCAAGAGTCTCCAGGCTGCTGACCCTGGGCACAGTGGACAGTGGGGACCATTGAGTCAAGGATTTTCCTATCTGTGCTTTGCTAGGTAAAAGTTTGACATTAATAGGGTTGGAGAGATAGCACAGCAGGTAGCGTGTTTGCCTTGCATGCGGCCGACCCGGGTTCGATTCCCAGCATCCCATACAATCCCCTGAGCACCACCAGGAGTAATTCCTGAGTGCAGAGCCAGGAGTTAACCCCTGTGCATGCCCGGTGTGACCCAATAAAGCAAAAACAAAACAAAACAAAAAACTTTGACATTATAAATGAGAGACTGGCAGTGAGCTCCAATTGAACCATCAATCAAATAAGTATTCTTCATATGAGTTTCAGAAACCCAGGTGTTTTTATTAATCTGAACCACTGAAAAGCTCCTTACTTACCTGAGGGCAGAGGCGGTTGACAGACATTAAAGACAGATACAACCACAGCACGTGCAGTCCGAGTTCAGCGGGTACAGCAAGGCTCCTTGGAAATGATTTTCCGGTTCCCCGGGACTGTGCCAAGTGGCCAGCTGCCATCTCCTCCTGTCGCCCCTTCCTCAGCCTTGCCTGGGCTGCCATCCACCGTCTCAGCACAACTCCTTTCTCTCGTAGGAGCCTGGCTCAGTGACACCAGGGGTGTGGCAGTGTGAGAACTGCATGCCCTGAGCCTGCTGGCGGTTCTTGGAACTGTGTAAGACCTTGAGGGGGGTGTCCATGAGGCCCGTCAGGCGAGTTTCCAGGCCAGGAGTACTCAGTGGTATCAGATATGTGTCCCAAAAGGTTAAAAATCTGGTGGATGTTGTGGTGTTGGAATGTTTTCTGCATGCAACCCTGCCATTATCAATATTGTAAATCACTGAGTCTAAAATAGTTGTTTTTTTGGGGGAAAAAAACTGGACAATGTTGTTTGCATCTGAGTTTTCAAGGTTTTCAAGGGCCTGAAGGAAGTATTTGAGACTCAAAACTTTCTCATCCTTCTCTAAAGATGATCCCGGACTTTAAGCAGCAAATTTCAGAACTGGAGAAACAAAAGCAAGATCTTGAGATTCGCCTGAACAAACAAAATGAAAAGGCAAAAGGTAAGTGAGCCTGACAGAAACATTGACCTGACCTACTTTTAAAAAACTGTTTCTTAGCACTGGAAATGGGGTGGGAAGGTCATTGTCCCCAGGGTGTCTCAGACCCCTCTCTCTGACATGCTGGAGAAATGGAGAAAATTGTGGGAGGGCCTTGGGGTGCCCGTGGGCCTGAAAGGGGCTGGCTTCCTCTGAGCACCATGAATTGTTCACAGTTAGGTAGGAATGGGAGTTCAGTGAGGCTTCATTTTCCAGTGTTTAAGGAAAAGTCAGAAATCCAGATCTTTATATTAAATAACACATTTGAAAATAATAGCTTAAAAGATACATATATCTAAATATCTATATATAGACATATATAAATATATATCTAAATATATATCTATATATAGTAGATAGATAGATAGATAGATAGATAGATAGATAGATAGATATTTGCTTTTTGGGTCATACCCAGCGATGCACAGGGCTTACTCCTAGCTCTGCACTCAGGAATCACTGCTAGCGGTGCTCATGTGGGATGCTGGGAATCATACCCGGGTCAGCCGCGTGCAAGGCAAATGCCCTACCGACTGTGCTATCACTCCAGCCCCTTAAAAGATATTTTTAAACCTTGTTTTGGCTACATAACTTCCAGTCTTTAGCTGAATACAGAGATTCTAGGGATGGTTGATGACTGCAAATAGAGCCGAAAGCAAATCAGAGTGCCATGATCTCTCCCAGAAAATCCTAACAGTCCTTCTTCTTATAGAAAGACTGGAAGAATTACGCCATCAGCTGAGTCACAGTAAAGAAGAGGAAGGAGCACTGAGAAAGTAAGTGCTGAGTGTCTGTCCCTCTGGTCTGCCCTGAAGTTATGGGAGATCGAAAGATCCTGTGGGGCCAAAGAGTCCAGGAGCTAATTAAGGTGGACGAGTTATCACTATTGAAATGGGAGAGGAGAGAGAGATCTGTGAACACACACACACACACACACACACACACACACACACACACACACACCACTCTGGGAGAATGCTCAGGAAGTGAAACATCGTTTGCCATAGAGAGAGTGAGTAGGTGACCTCGGCATGAACTATGAGGGACAAAGGCAGACCCAACCCTGCTGTGTTCCCCTTACACCCTTGGAATATTGTACCATACATACCAACTAGCTATCCCCCCCCCAAAAAAAAGTAAAGAAAAAAATGTGCAAGAAAGAACATATTTTCTCTTAGCAGGTGATTTAGTTGGGCTAAAATTAGAAAGGCCGTGCTGATAGAGAGGCGTTGCTAAGCATTGCCTTGGGCTTCTATCCTGGCCATCCCTGATGAACCCTGTGAGAAAAAATGTTCAGTTTTCTGCTAGTTCCTCAATATTTAATTTTATTTATTTTTGGGTTTGGGGGCCACAGCCAACAATGTTTAGGCATATACCTGACTCTCTGCTCAGGGATCGCTCCTGGATCGCACTGTAGCACTGTACTCCCGTTGTTCATCAATTTGCTCGAGTGGGCACCAGTAACCTCTCCATTGTGAGACTTGTTGTTACTGTGTTTGTCATATCGAATATGCCATGGGGAGCTTGCCAGGCTCTGCCATGCGGGTGGGATACTCTCAGTAGCTTGCCGGGATCTCCGAGAGGGACGGAGGAATCGAACCCCGCCCTACCCGCTGTGCTGTCACTCCAGCCCCCTGGAGGGATACAGGGGAGAGCCAGGGCTGGACACAGGCCAGGCAGTCACCCTCTCTGCTGTGCTATCACTCCTCCAAGATACATAATTGTAAGAGCTGTGGATAGGCAGTTTATATCCTAGTGGACATTTTTAGTGCTGTAACTCTGTTGGTTACACTGAGGCAAAAAGAGGGCCCACAAAATAAGGAAAGTTATGCAATGTCATTTTGCAGGTTTTTGATGGACTCTCTGCAGTTTTCTCTCTGTTGATGACTTTTTGAAATATCTGCTCCCTGGTCTCTCTCATTAAAAAAAAAAAAAGGAACAGCACTCCCATTATAGCCCAGTGATACCACTTTTGGGTATCTATCCCCAAAACACAAAAACATTAATTCTCAAGAATATATGCACACCTGTGTTCATCACCACATTCAGCATGAACAATTACCAAGGTATGGAAGTGGGCTGGAGCAATAGTACAGCAAGTAGGGCATTTGCCTTGCACACAGCTACCCAGGGTTTGATCCCCGGCATCCCATATGGTCTCCTAAGACACCAGGAGTAATTCCTAAGTGCAGAGCCAGGAATAATCCCTGAGCATTGCCAGGCATCCCCCCCACAACCAAAAATAAAAAGTGTCCAACTATGGATGAGTCCATGGTGGTGGTGTATATACACAGTGGAAGAGTCTACACTCCAAGAAAGACCAAGACCAGGCAGTTTGCAGCAACATGGATGAACTAGAGGATCTCACACTAATAAAAGGGAGAAGAAAGGGACAGATACAGAACAATCCCTTTCCTGCGGGGACTTGGAGATACACCTCGAGGGAGCAATAAAGGGCCGAAGGCAGCACAATGGGAGAGCTGACCCACACAGCTGAGGTGCAGGGGAGGGGTTGGAAGAGGCGAGCACTGGGCGTTGGGGTCCCTGGGGGAGGGAGGTGGGAACAGTGGTGGCAGGTGTGGTGTTGGGATTACGGACATGGGAAACCATCCTTACCAGTACGCGAATCATAGAACATCAGTGGCTTTTTTTTTATATCAGTAGAGTGAGATGTCTGCTCTGTGAGCTATTAACGAGAGAGGAGATCGTTGGGCTTTTGACTGCGGGGCAGGACTAGGGGCAGGAAGGATATGGTAGGCAGATCAAGAATCTAGTCGGGCTAAGGAGACAAGTCGTCTTGGGCATCCCCCTCCCACCATGTCTCCCCTTCAAGGCTTCTTTTCTCCCAGTGTGAGGACTCCGTTGTCTGAGTACTCGGTTGGCCAGAGTATTCTCTGTCTCTGGAAGCGTCAGTGCTTGCTCCATGGTTGCCAGACTATGACCAACATTTCTTCTGTCCTTTTCTCAGGACCACAGAAGCCCCGTGTGAATCCCAGACAGGAGAGAAAGAAAAACTGGTGAGGAAGAGCCAAGAAGCGCAAGAGGCTAGCCAGCACTTAGACTGCGAGACAGAGAGAGAAGTGGAGAAGGGTTTCCGGCAGGAAGCCTCTCATCTCACTGTGGAAAACAGGGTAAGAAGCATCTAAGCACCAGGTGGGTGACGGCAGCCTGTCGGCAGGATCTCTCCCACAGAGAGACCCTCAGCATGATCTCTCCTGCAGAGACCTCTCTGGACCGAACGTCCCTTTCCGCAGAGCACGTTTCTTGGCTTCTTAAGACAGGAAGTCTGATGGGGCTGAAGTGATAGCACAGCGGGTAGGGCATTTGCCTTGCACCGATCTGGGTTCGATTCCCAGCATCCTATACGGTCCCCCGAGCACCACCAGGAGTAATTCCTAAATGCAGAGCCAGGAATAACCCCGGTGCATTGCTGGGAGTGACCAAAAAAGGGGGGGAAAAAAAGGGAAGTCTGAGGCTGCCGCCCACTAGAGGGAGCTTTGGGTCCTCCATGGGCAACACCAGGCCCAAATATGGGGAGGACAGCTGGAGAGGTGACCCAGGGAGCCTTCTTCCCGCCCCCCAAGTGCTCAAACACAGACCCCACAGAGAAGAAAGGCTGAGTCCAGAGCCTGGGCGCCCCATTTCAGGCTTGTGTTTTCTTATGAGGGGAGAAAATTTTCAAACATTTCCCCCTCCCTTTTTTTTTCAAAGATTTTTGTCAACTTTTTTTTTTTGGTGGAGGGAATACTGAAAACTCTTTAATAATAGTCAATATGTTCTGTGGATGGCGATAGTAGATGAAAAACTTTAGAATCTGACCATCTTTATCACAGCGTTAATGCCTTTGTCAAAAAAAAAGGTTCTCTCTGTGTCACTTCTCAGCAGTTCTCCTTTCTGACAGGAAGAAGTGGGGTCACACCCATGGTGCTTCCTCATGTGGCCCCCTCATGCAGTGCAGGGATCAAGCCTGGGTCCGCCACATGCAGGCCAGGGTCTCGCCTCTTGCTCTCTCAGCTTCTTTCCCAACAATTCTCTTGAAATTTTACCTGTGTGAAACCCACAAGATTGAGGAACGCTGAAGCGACCGTGGGGCCTTCCCAAGAGCTGGGATGCTGAGGCCACTCCCCAGGAGAGCCTTGTCGGAGACAGTGACCAGGACAGGCCTCACCAGGGCTCTCCAGTGGCCAGGTTGGGGCGCCCCAGGCCCCATTCCACAGTGTTCCCCGTGGCCCTCCCGTATCCTCTCTCTCAGGAAAGATAAGGCCATGCTTGCCTGTCAGGATGTCACACTCGGAAGGATAAGTGTATCTAAAAAGAGGAATCCAGGGACTGGAGCGATAGCACAGTGGCTAGGGCGTTTGCCTTACATGCGGCTGACCCAGGTTCGATTCCCAGCATCCCATATGGTTCCCCAGCACCGCCAGGAGTAATTCCTGAGTGCAGAACCAGGAGTAACCCCTGTGCATCGCTGGGTGTGACCCAAAAAAAAGCAAAAAATAAATAAATAAATAAAAATAAAAAGAGGAATCCATAGGAAGTAACAGATTCTCTTCAGGGGCTCCAGATGGTGCCATCTGCTGATGGGAGGGGATAGTAACTACAGGAGCAGACCATCTGCCAGGCTGGATAATCCTGTGTGTGTGTGTGTATGTGTGTGTGTGTCGTGTGTGTGTGTCTGTGTCTGTGTCTATAGTAGGGCTCCCCCTCAGCAACTGGGGCCCTGAGGGTATCGTTAGGGCCATGTGGATATGGCAGGTCTTGTCCCACTGGCTCTGAGTGGAGCGTGTGGCTGTAAGTATCTGAGTGGTGTGGACTGTTTCCCTCTTGGAGCAGTAAGGCACCTCTCGTGCTCTTCCAATGCCCCTGTGTGTTCTCAGGGCCTGAGCTGGGCAGAACGGGGACAGCCATGTTCATCCCGGCCAGCTGCAGGCTGTTCTCTGTGTCTGTGACTTCCACTTTCTTCAGTTTATCCAGCTACAGCTCAAAATGGCCTTCTCCATAGCTAGTCCTACAGCGGCTGCTTCTGTGCAGGATGGTTTGTTTTTCTGTCGTTGTCCTCTACATTAGAGTTTCTCAACTGGGGGCAATATAGTCCCTCTCTGCCCCTAGGATATCCTAAGGGACTACAGATAAAACCAGATAAACGGGGGCCATGGCTTGAAACTAGGGGCTGGATGGTCTGGGGGCCAGATGGTAGGATGTGGGACCGCGGAAAAGAAACAGGGTAATGAGGAGGGTCGTAGCTAGAGAAAGGCTCAGAAACACTAATGTCAATAACACAGTATAACAACTGGATGCATGACATTGACATTGCATTAGGTCGCATAAGCAATCTGAAGATTCTCAGAGTACATAGAAGTTAATCTGTGGATAGTCTGGAATATTCTGGAATATTCCTGAGCCTTCTTGGATTTTGCTGTCCTCAAGGATCTCCAAATCAATCCTGCAGGGTTCTGAAGCATAACTATATTCTTGGACCAGTGTTATGGGGAATGTGCAACCAGAAATTTAATTTCCTCATGTTAGGTGTGGACTGTGCCCACGAATGATACCTGACTGTGCTGGTTGCCTAGACCAGATAACAAATGCCCACAAACACATCAGCCTCACACAACAGGAATGTGGCCTTCGTGGCTGTGGCCGCCCAGAAGTCCCAACTCGGACTTGGCAGATCTCCCTTCCCCACCGTCTCCTGGAGAGAGTCGCCCCTTGCCGCTCACAGCGCCTGGCACTCTCGGGCTGTGTACATCCAACCCGGCCCTCAGCTCTGCCGAGTCACGCGGCAGCCGTCTGTGTGTCTCTGTGTTCTTCTCTTCTCACCTAGAGACAGTCTCATTGGGATTAGGGCTGTCACACCCAAACACAGTCACAGTGGAGTAGCCCAAATGGACATCAGTTTCAAGGGGGAGTTGTTTAACCCACTACCTGGTCCGCTGAGTGCATGGAAAATCCCCATTAATTAAATGCTTAATGTAGTGATTATCTCACTGTCAAAATTAAGATTAGATGTTGGGAGGAGTGGCTAGAGAGATAGCACAGCGGGTAGAGCACTGGCCTTGCACGCAGCCAACCCAGGCTTAATCCCTGGCATCCTAGTTGCTCCCTCAAGCCCTGCCAGGAGTTCAGAGCCAGGAGTAAGTCCTGAGCATCACTGGGTGTGACCCCAAAACAAAGCATATGTGTCCTTCCCCAAAAAATGGATATTGAGGCCAAAAGATAAAAGAACATTTAAAGCACAAACCTTTCCTGCACCCCGCACCATGTGAACGGTCACCAGGGATGCCCCAGAGAACCCCAGCATCACTGGGGTCTGGGTGGCCCCAGCGTCCCTGGACCTGAGCACCATCATGTTCCCGGGCCCTTGCAGCGAACCAACTTCCTAAATGACCAAGGATGCCCTGTGGGGCCTTCCAGACTCATGAGCTCTGCGAGGTCGCCCCCAAATTAGATATCATCGGTGTTTAGTATCTGAACCTCACTCAGCAGTGCATGCGCTGGGGTCACTGCTGGCTCTGTGTTCGGGGGTCACTCCTGGCCACACTCTGGGACCATGTGGAGCCAGGGCCTAGACTGGGGTAAGCCACACGTAAGGCAAATGGCTTACGCCCTCTACTATCTCTTTTCCGTTAAATATTATTCGACTTTTCAAATAATCAAGATTTTGTTGTGCTGGGGAGAACATCTTGAAATGGGCACTGTCATTCATGGTTTCCATAAATTGATGTAAACTCTCTTGGGGGTGATTTGGAAACAAATAACAGAACTTTGAAAGCTCATTCTCAGGACCAGAGAGAGAGAGTACAGTGAGCAGAGCATTTGCCTTGCACGTGGGCTACCCAGATGCAATTCTTGGCATCCCATATGACCCCACAAACCCTGTCAGGAGTGATTCCTGAGTGAGGAGCCAGGAGTAACCCTAGAACACCACTGGGTGTGGCCCCCAAACAAAACAAAAACAAAAAAACAAACACATTCCCTTAAGATTTAAGCCTAAGTAAGAAATCAGATATGTGAACAAAATATTTTGTCCAGAGTGTTCAGCAAAATGTCATTAGTTACAGCAAAAATAAAATAAATATTCAATAAGAGTGTGTAGGTTCAGGGGATTGCCCTGCCACAGAGACAGGGGGGATGGGGGGATGGGGGTGGGAGGGATATTATCCATGGTGGTGGAAAATGGGCACTGGTGGAGGGATGGGTATCTGATCATTGTATAATTGAAACCAAAGCACAAAAAATTGTAAATCTACAACTTTAAAAAAAAATAAAATAAAGGGAAAAAAAAGAGTGTGTAGGTTATTATAGCATGTGACTTGGCTGTAAAAATGACTAAATATTTGGGTATATTGTCATGGCATGAAAAAATACCTGCAATATAATTAGAAAAAAAATAGGTTTTTTTTGTTCTTTTTTTTTTTTTGCTTTTTGGGTCACACCCGGCGATGCTCAGGGATTACTCCTGGCTCATGCACTCAGGAATTGCTCCTGGCGGTGCTCAGGGGACCATATGGGGTGCTGGGAATCGAACCTGTGTCGGTCATGTTGGCTGTGTGCAAGGCAAATGCCCTACCCGCTGTGCTATCACTCCAGCCCAAAAAAATAGAGGTTTTAAATCTTCACATAGTTAGAACCCAGTTTTATAAAGTGTGTTTTATCATATTAGAAAAGAAAATGAAATGAATCAAAATGTGAATGGTGGTTTCTTCCAGGCTCTAGAGTAACGGGTGACTTGTTTATTAGTAGACGTGTTGTTATAAGACTGGCTTAAGTCAGAGCACTGTGTCACACGTGCCCCTGGAAGATCTGGTGACATTCCTGACGTGCATAGTTGGGCTCAGAACAGCAGCAAGTGAGAGAAGGCCCTAGAGTAGTAACCCCGGAATCTACCTGGGACACCCCCAGTCCCAGAGTTTATACAGCTGCTGTAACAGCTTAGGGAGAATGACTGGCTCCGAGAAGACTGGTTTTATGTCATTTTATGTCTTATATTTTGAGAACCTAAATATTTTAGACCCTTTTTTAGAAAATATTTATAAACATCCAGTACCCTCCTATTCTTGACCAAATTAAATCTGAGCAAGGCCAGTCAGTACCAAAAAGGGAAGGCAAAGACAGGTCCCAAAACTGAAGCTTCTCCAGTTCCAACTTCTGACATGCAGAGAACCCACTTTTGCACATTTTTCAAATGTTTTGATTCTCCATAACTGACAAGACTTCACTATGAAAAATTTATCAGTGTGGTCATGGTTACGGTCCTCTCGTTGTTCATCGATTTGCTCGAGCGGGCCCAGTAACGTCTCCATCATGAGACCTGTTGTTACTGTGTTTGGTATATGGAGTACATCACGGGTAGCTTGCCAGGCTCTGCCGTGCGGGCGAGATACTCTTGGTAGCTTGCCAGGCTCTCTGAGAGGAGCGGAGGAATCGAACTCGGGTCGGCCATGTTGGCTGCATGCAAGGCAAACGCCCTACCGCTGTGCTATATCAGTGTGGTATGTATAGTTAAAGTATGACATGTCACATGATAGAATATTATTTAGCCACAAAAATGGAATGAAGTACTGACACCGGCTGTATATAGCATGGGAGAGCCTTGAAAACATTTAAGTGAAAGAAAGCAGCCTCAAAAAATACATCTTGTATAATTCTACTTACATTAGATATCCAAAATAGGCAAATATATAGAATGGAAGGTAACTAAGTAGTTGCTGAAGTTGGGAAGGTAATACGGCTGAAACGGGTTCCTTTTTTCATGTGATGAAATGTTGTGATGAAGTTAGTATTGGTAATGGTTGCACAACTGACCATACTAAAGCCTATTTAATTATACCTTTAAACTTATATGTGAACTGTATGTGAGTTACAGGGCTGGAGCCATAGCACAGCGGTAAGGTGTTTGCCTTGCATGCAGCCAACATGGCCGACCCGAGTTCGATTCCTCTGCCCCTCTCGGAGAGCCCAGCAAGCTACCGAGAGTATCTCGCCTGCACGGCAGAGCCTGGCAAGCTACCCATGATGTATTCTACATGCCAAACACAGTAACAACAAAGTCTCCAATGGAGATGTTACTGGGCCCGCTCGAGCAAATCGATGAATAACGGGAGGACAGTAACAGTGATGTGAGTTACAGATCAATTTTTTTTCATTTTCATTTCATCATCCTGTTAATCGTCGATTGCCTCGAGCAGGCCCCAGTAACGTCTCTTTCATCCTAGCCCTGAGATTATATTCACGGCTCTTTAGGAGAATGAGACCCATCATTGTTACTGGTATTTGGCACATTTGGTACGCCACGGGGAGTTTGCCAGACTCTGCCCTGTGGGCAGGCTACATTCGATAGCCTGCAAGTTTGTCCAAAGTAGGAATGAGATAATAAGATGTCATAATAAAAAATTTTGATAAGATGTTGCGCGGCCGCATTTGCGGCCGCGCGGTTCCAGGATCTGGATTTTATAGTCTCTGAGTCTTGGCCGCTGATGGGATTACACGGCGCCAGGGGGCCAGGTGGTGGGTGTGACCCCCGCCTGCTGGAATTTGGAGGATCTGGATGGAAGATGCTCGACTCCAATCCGAGTAGGCTTGGAGGTCTCGGCCCCGGAACCCGCGTGGCTTTGTCCCTCTGCCAGTACCTTCATGTGTGCGGAGAGTGGTCTCAGCATGGTGGTGGCTGGTCCTGGAGGTCTTCGGCTGCCGGAGCCCCGGTCGAGGCGGGGAGGAAAGCTCAACCCGTTCCCCTCCAAGGGGTCCCGGCGAGGAACACCCAGGCGCGGGGGCAAAAGACTGCACTGTTCTCGTCCGGGATCTGGATTTTATAGTCTCTGAGTCTTGGCCGCTGATGGGATTACACGGCGCCAGGGGGCCAGGTGGTGGGTGTGACCAGATCAATAACTTACTGAAAATAGAAAAAGATGCTTCTAAACAAATGCTTTTATTTTCTTTGATTTTTTAGGATCTTGAAGAAGAGTTAGATATGAAGGATAGAGTGATTAAAAAGCTACAAGATCAAGTCAAGACTCTAACCAAGACAATTGAAAAAGGTAGGGGGGAAAAATTCACCTCATAAGGTCAATATGCATCAAAATATTTATTTCCTGATATTGTTCAAAGTCTTTGAAACACAAAGGAATCCCCACTGAAGGCAAGAACCTTTCCAATGCCTTATTGCTAGAATGACTGAACTACTCTTTCTTTATTAGGCCATCCAAAATTCACCTCCAGTTCCACTATTCTTTCTTCATCTTTCTCTTTTCTTGCATCTCCTCTTCTTTTGTATTACCACCTCAGTTCAATGCATACAGAATAGAATAGATGTTTCCTTTCCAACAATTATTCTCATTTAACAAATAACAGCCCTCCCCTCCCCCCGGCACCATAACACTTAACAACATTTAAGTTGTTAAGAACAACATTAAGCACAGTTTCTGAGACTCAGGAATCTAGGAGTGGGCTAGCTGAGCATTTCTGGTTGAATTGCATCAGATCATCAGCAGAGACATAATTATCCAGAGACTCAACTGAGGCTGGAGTACAGGCTTCCCGTCTCACTCCCTTGGGCTGCTGGCATAAATACTCACTAAGAGGCTTTAGCTTCCATGATCTCTACAAACAACATGTCTGGGCACAGATTACTACTGTTGTATGAAATCCTCCATCAAGTATTTCTGCTTTATTTATTGTTCTTAGTGGTTCGGATAAAATTTACCAATCTTAACATAAAGCATGTATGTTTGTTGCTAGTTGAACCTTCTACTAGCAACCTTCCTTAACTTCTACCAGTTAAGGAAACATCAGGTGATTGTTTTCACTTAACGAACTCAGAAGACTTCTGTGCTCCTTCCCCATCTCATTTGCTGTGCTCCTCCTAGGCCATCAGTATTGTGGAATTTGAAGGTCTCCTGTGGCCCCTTTTGGGAGCTATCGAGCGGAACGATTGGTGTCTCTTAACACCAACGATGAAGCTGTCTCTTGACTCCAGTCAGGAAGCTGTGAAATTGGGTCATTTGTATGTCAGAGGCTGCGACTGCTGGGACTTCCAGTGGCATGGGGCTGGGGGAGAGGCTGCCCGCCCCAACTCCAAGAAGACTCCACAGTTTTCAGCCTGAAGACTAGTGTACCTGGAGTCTCATTGGCTTGGCATCTCTTCTGAGAGTAGTCGTCCAAAAATGTTTTTACTGGATGAATATCCAAATGTCAGCAAGGCTGTGTTCCTTGGGGAATCTTCCCCAGCTTCCAGAGGCTGCCCGCATGCCTTGGGTTGCAGGTCCTTCTGTTCTTCCCAATTCAGCAGTTTAGCACCTTCAAAATCATCCCGAATCTCAGTCCTTTGCTCTGTCCCCTCGTGTCTTCTTGGAGTGGATGTGAACTTTCGAGACTTTGCCGCTATAATTAAGGATCTTGAGATTGGGAAGTTCTCTTGGATTATCCGAGTCAACACAATGTAATTACAAAGGGGTTTTTTTTAAGAGAGAGGCAGGAGTTTCTAGGTGGGAGAAGGGATAGGAAACATAAGCAGAGAAAGAAGAGGAGCAGTAACAATAGCAGCTGAGGGAGAGTGATGTGGCCACAGGCCAGCAAATATGGACAATTGCTAAAAGCTAAAAAAGGCAAGAAATAGATTCTACTGTGGCGCCTCTGGAAAGAACACAGCTCTGCTGACATTTGGATATTAGCCTTGATTTTAGCCCTGTAAGATTTATTTCAATCTTTTAACCTCCAGAACTTTAAGGTAAAAGAATTGTGAGCTGTTCTTTTTTTTTTCCCATACATTTTCTTCATTTAATAATAGGTGATTTGGGGCTGGAGCAATAGCACAGCGGGTAGGCCATTTGCCTTGCATGTGGCATGTGGCCGACCCGGGTTTGATTCCCAGCATCTCATATGGTCCCCGAGCACCGCCAGGAGTTATTCCTGAGTGTATGAGCCAGGAATAACCTCTGTGCATCACTGGGTGTGACCCAAAAAGCAAAAGACAAAATAATAATAGATGATTTTAATTTCCACTTAAGATTTGTGTTAGTGGGGGCTGGAGAGATAGTACAGGCGTTAAGGTCACATTGTCTGCATGCAGCCAACCTGAGTTCAATCCCTGGCATCCCACATTATCCCCTGAGTACCTGCAGGAGTGGTCCCTGAGCACAAATCCTGAGTACTGCTGGATGTGACACAAACCTCTCCATCCCTTCCTGCAATAAAAAATAATAATAATAGTAATAAAATAATTGTTTCATCTTAAGCCATTACATTTAGTGTTAATAGATCACAGCATATAGAAAATGAATGAAGTCCTTTTGTATCACAGCTCAGTATTTTACCCAATGTTTTGTGCCTCTTTCTTTCTTAACTGTAGTATTGACATCAGGACACATGACACAGTAGCATTTTTTATTTGGCTTTTTTTGTTTATTTTTTGTTTTACTTTTGGGTCACATCTGGCAGTGCTCAGGGCTTTTTCCTGGTTCTGTCCTGGAGGGGCTCAGGAGATCATCTGGGGTGATCAAACCCAGTTTGTCCACGTACAAGGCAAACACCCTGTCCGCAGTTTAACATTTCAGCTCAAAGAGTTACAAGTGTGATTACTTTCCTGTCCCTACTGTGCCCAATACATACGAGACTCTCTTAAGGATTTCTTTCTTTAATTCTTTCCTTCCTCTGGTCCAGATATTGAACCCAGGGCCTCACACATGTCGGCATGTACTTGCATTCTACTTCTGAGACACATTCCCAGATCATAAGGATTCTTCAAAGGATAACTGAGTCCTTTCAGCGGCAGTTACATTCAAAGATATATTTCCAGATAATAGCCCTGAGGATTCAATAAGTCTATCCAAAGCCAGGAGTCCATACACAAACCAACCAGAATAGGGTGGGAGCCAAAAAAGGAAAGAAACCAGGCAGGGTGATGTTGCTGAATGGCCTGTGGAAATGGTTTTCATCTCTGTAGCTAATCTTTTGCTTCTGTCTACAGCCAATAACGTGTATTTGCCGTCAGAATGCAAGGAGTACCTGGGAATGCTGGAATACAGGAGAGAAGATGAGGCCAAACTCATTCAGAATCTCATCCTCGGTAGTGAGACCTTGACTTTTGCTATGGTTTTGGTCACTTGAACACCGGTCAGTGTCACAGTCCTGGGCAAGGGCCATCTCTTGTCTTCCTCTACTGTTTCTTCATAAAGCCTGAACATCACGGCCTCAGCACTACTGACCAGTCTATTGCCATTGTGGGAACTGTGCACTGTAGGATGCTCAGCAGTGTCCTGGGCTTCTGCCCCACAGAAGCCAGTAGCGACCCCTAGTCATGGCGATAACAAATGTCTCTGGCTGGGGCTGGAGAGATAGTACAGTGGGTAAGGCGCTTGCCTGGCACACGGCCAATCTGGGTTTGGTTCCAGCATCCCATAAGACCTCCCTAAACTCGGCCAGGACCAATCCCTGAGCTCAGAACCAAGGACTAAATCCTGAGCACTGACAGGTTTGTCCCAAAACAAAACGAAACAAAACAAAACAAAACAAAAAAACAATAATAAAGTCTCTGGCTGAGATCGTGTTCCACCTTCACCATAGAGACAGCAGTGGGGAGGCATGAAACTAGGGTCCCCAGGTATCCCCAATGTGCCCTGGTGGCCAATGTTTGCCTTCTCCAGGGCATTGCCCAGGACCCAAAAGACAGCTCCATGCCTTGGAGCACTTGCTGAGGCCGTGCCTGAGTGTATCCTGGCCACTCCGAGCTCTCCTGTTCTGATTTCCTGTGAGAAAGCGCCTGGGGGGGGAGTCCGAGGCTGTGTCGAGCAGGCATAAGACTGCAAGCTTTGGCCCTCCCTTACTGTCATACGGGCCAGAGAGTGCTGGCAGCGTCGTGCTCTGGGGTCCCTGTAGAGAGAAACAAGGAACATTGCCCTTTCCTTCCCGGATTCCACCAGCAGGTCAGCAGGAAGACAGTGCGAGGGACTGGAACAGCACCACAGCGGTAGATGCTGGCCTCACATGCAGCCAGCCCGGATTGGATTCCAGGCATCCCACAGGGTCGCCCAAGCACCACCAAGAGTGGTTCCTAACTGTAGAGCCGGGGTGACCCCTGAGCATTGTCAGGTGTGGCCCAAAAACAAAATAATAAAGAAGACAGTTCAGTTGTGTGGAGCCATTTCTTAAGTAACTGTGGCTCTTGACTGATTTCTGCAAAGCAGTTTCTTCATTGGCATTGCAATAGGAGCTTCCCAGAAACTGTTATTTGTATGTTCAAGAGCATACATCTTTGTTGTTTTTTTTTTTTTGAGTGGGGGGAGGGTGTCACACCCGGCAATGCACAGGAGTTACTCCTGTCTCTTCACTGAGGAATTAACCCTGGCTGTACTCAGGGGACCATATGGGATGCTGGGAATCAAACCCGGGTTGGCTGCATGTAGGGCAAATGCTCTCCCCGCTGTGCTATCGCTCCAGCCCCAAGAGCAGACATCTTTAAAACACGTTTTGTAGTGTGAAAATCACAAGTACTTACCGTCTTCCCTCTGAAAATTGTGTGGTTTTCCAGATGGTGGGAGAACCCAGGTTTCCCTAAGAGCTAGCCTTACTTCCTGCTCTTCACACCTCCACCCTCCACCCTCCTCATATGCTCCCCTGCCCTTCTCTCTACCTCCATGGGTTGTGCTGCTCCTGTTCCTGAGTCCAACCCTATCTCCGTGACAAGGCTGCAGAGGGGCATCATGGAGCGGGAGACTAGTGCTCTGTACCTAGAGTCTGCACAGGGAGGAAAAACCTCTGCATGAGATGAGGATCAGGTGGCATATGTTTGTTTTGGCCAAGATAAGAGCTAGACTGAGGGCTGGAGCGATAGCACAGTGGGTAGGGTGTTTGCCTTGCATGTGGCCGACCCGAGTTCGATTCCCAGCATCCCATATGGTCCCTTGAGCACCGCCAGGAGTAACCCCTGTGCATCGCCAGGTGTGACCCAAAAAGAAGGAAGGAAGGAAGGAAGGAAGGAAGGAAGGAAGGAAGGAAGGAAAAGAAAAGCTAGACCGAATCCTTTGAAGAAAAGAATTATCCCTCCGGGTTTGTGCAGTGTAGCAGTAAAGAAAAGCATGGTTAGAGAGCCATGCCTGGCTCAGCATCCCCCCACCCCCGCCACCATGGTGAGAGAGCGAACCTAGCGCGGGCTCACCGCCTCTTTGCACTGCAGACCTCAAGCCCCGCGGCGTGGTGGTGAACATGATCCCCGGGCTGCCGGCTCACATCCTCTTCATGTGTGTGCGCTACGTGGACTCCGTGAACGACGACAACATGCTCAAGTCGCTGATGAACAGCATCATTAATGGCATCAAGCAGGTGGTTAAGGTAGGTGCCACCTTTGGGTACTGTCTCCACTCTGAGCATCCCTGCGAAGTCTCAGTGTCCTTATTGGGCCCCTCTGTCACCACCAGTCTGTGCTGAGTCACCTGATTCCTCAAACCAGTTGGAAGCCCAGTCGGTAAAAGTAAACTGTCTGTTAGGGAAAGACAAGGGAGGTCGAGGACACCCAGGGGTGGGGATGGACCAGTGCTCTGCAGTCCGACAAATCTACCCCCTAGTGTGTCGTCAGTGGGCGAGATTCCCACTGAAGCACATTCTGACCAGGTCGACTTGTGAATGCCGAGGCCAGGAGAAACTAAAACCACCCAGCATCCTATAAGGCGTCGTGAAGAATTTTAATTTTCCCTTCTAAAAACTGCCTTATATAATATAAAGCTTTTATTCCTGCCCAGAAATAAAAATAGATTACCTCTTAGTAAAATATAGCATTGTAGCACTGTCCTCCCGTTGTTCATCGATTTGCTCTAGTGGGCACCAGCAACATCTCCATTGTGAGACTTGTTACTGTTTTTGCCATATCAAATATGCCATGGGAGTTTGCCAGGCTCTGACGTGCGGACGGGATACTCTCGGTAGCTTGCCGGGCTCTCTGAGAGGGACAGAAGAACCAAACCCAGTTTGGCTGCGTGCAAGGCAAATGCCCTACCCTCTGTGCTATCGCTCCAGCCCAGTAAAATATAGACCCTTTTTTTTTTCACACACACACACACCCCTCCACTTACAAATAAAAAGTAGTGTTTGGTATTGAGATATATTTGAAACTTTCAATGAAGTCCTATCTCACATTTAGTAAAATAAATGTTTTGCTACTGAAACATGGGTACTTAGATATTGTTTTTATGAAGGTGATGCTTTGGGAGCAAGGGATTTCCAAGCAATGTTTTGGATGCCTGGGGGCTCATTCCTGCTCCACTTGACCAATGTTTGGACCTTGTGGTGGGCCTGAACCCAGGATCCCCACATGCTAGACAAGACCTGATAGCACCAACTTTTTGAGCTGTCTCCCTGACTACTTAAATACTATTTAAAATATTCTGGGAAAGAAGATTAAAAACTGGGAGTTTGGTAGCTGGAGAGAGAGTACAGAGGGCAAGACGTCAGCCATGCATTTTTCTGATCCAGGTTCTTCCTGGCACCCCGTATGGTCCCCTGAGCCCACCAGAAAAGATCCCTAAGTACAGAGTCAGGAGTGAGCCCTGAGCCCTGGGGAGCAACTCCTGAGTTCATGGGCGGTGAAAGCATTTCTCCCTTCTCCTTGCCCTTTTCCCAAAATAGACTGTGCCAAGAATTCATTGTTCATCAGGAGTCAGGAATAGAAACTTAGCATCCATTCAACACAGAGAGCTTCAGAGTCACAGTCTTGACAGGAGCTCACCAGAAGGGCTCCTATAAAATGATTTCTTTCCTGGTTTATGTTTTCATGGGCTGGAGCAATAGCACAGTGGGTAGGGCGTTTGCCTTGCATGCAGCCGACCCGGGTTCGATTCCTCCGTCCCTCTTGGAGAGCCCGGCAAGCTACCGAGAGTATCTCACCCACACGGCAGAGCCTGGCAAGCTCCCCATGGTGTATTCGATATGCCAAAAACAGTAACAACAAGTTTCACAATGGAGACGATACTGGTGCCCGCTCGAGCAGATTAATGAACAACGGGAGGGCAGACACTTACATTGTGTTTGCCCTGCCTTGTTGCCCTGACAGCTGCATTGCCTGAGGAATATAAAGCTCTTTTCTCTGCAGTCTCTTCTGCCCAGGGCTCTCTGGGTCCCTGTCCCTCTGTGCCCAGGATGCCCCCTGACCTCTCCTGCATGACTCTAAGGAACCCCCACAGGGCTCCTGTTCCTGTGCCTCTCGCTGCACACCCACAGCCACGTGAAACAAGTGCTCCCTACCCAGTCTCGTTCTCATGCTCACAGCCTACTTGCTGCTCCTGACACTGCAGGGAAAACTCAGCCGTCACCTCCCCCGTGTGGCACCAGAGAGATGGTACAGCGTGGGGGTGCGTGCCTTGCCCACGGCTGACCAGGGTTCTGTCTCCGTTTCTCCATATGGTCCCCCTGGCCCTGCCAGGAGTTATCCTTGAGTGCAGGGCCAGGACTAAGCCCTGAACGCTGCCAGGTGTGGTCCAAAAACAGAAACTAAGAAATCCTGTGTCTGCCACCATCTGACCTCACTGGTGACAGTTCCTCTCCTCTTGCTCATTCCCTCCCCTGCCCCATAGGGGGCGCTGTTCTCCCAACACAGGCCTTGCTCCTGAGGTCCTAGCTCCCCTTTGTGGCGCCGTACTCTGAACTTCTCTGAGCCAACCACACTTGCTGGTGGTTCTTTATTTGATTGTGTCTTATTTGTGTCCTGCTGGTGTCGTCGGTCACAATGTGGACTTTGATGGGGAAGAACTGAGACTTCTGTTTCTCTGATATTCCTGCATTGCAGGTTTCAGGAGCCCCAAGAACCGCAGAAGCTGGCGGAAATATGCTGCCAAGCAGGGTCTGCTCTTGACTTGGAGAGTTTATTGTTGTAGTATAAATTTCATGAGTAGAGGCTTTTAGCTCTAGGATAGTCGACTAAGGGCTGATGTTTTAATAGAAAAGGAAAACATGGTGAGTATCGTTGGTAACACATTTTATCATAGAAACTTGCCAAGAGAATAGAATATGTGAACACACACACACACACACACACGTGAGATAAAAAATATGTAAATTAAATAGTGGAATCCTTTCGCAAAGTATGTGTATATCAAACCACCTCGGTGTATGTTTTAAATGTGTTACAATTTTATTCATCAGTTAATGCCTCAATGAGACTGATTTTTTAAATGATTTTTAGTTATTTCAAACTTATTTCAAAGTTGTTAACAAAAACTTAATTTTAAAACAAGAAAATAGAAATAAATGTAATAAAGCTTTAGTGAATCAAAGAATTCTCCTGTGGGCACTTCACCTGGCGGAGAAGCATCCATCAATCACCCAGTCCAACTTTGCTTGCTCTGTTTCAGGACCATTTGGAAGACTTCGAGATGCTGTCCTTTTGGCTCTCCAATTCTTGTCATTTCCTCAACTGCCTGAAACAGTACAGTGGAGAGGAGGTAGGGACACCCCTGCTCTGGGCTCTGTGCTATCTGTTAGCATCCCCGCTGGGTTGAAACTGATGTCCCAGCCTAGGAGAGCTCTGCCTCCAGGGCCTTCCCGCTCCAGACTCCAGCTCCACACTGTTGGCGGTCACAGCCAAGGGCTTCGAGAAAGCAGCTCCGTCTTGAGAGATGGTACAGAGGGCAGGGCACTCACCTTACACGCTCCAGCTCCCAAGCACCATTAGGAGAAATTCCTGAGCCCAGAGCCAGGAGTAAACCCTGAGCAGACTCTTATACTTTGAATATGGTATTACGCCTCCAATTCTCTGTCTGGTTAATAAATAAGGTAGGTTGAATTATTTTTGTGTTTGAGCCACATTCAGAGGTGCTCAGGGCTTGTGCCTGGCTCTGAGTTCAAGAATCACTCCTGGTGGACTCAGGGATCATATCAGGAGCTGGAGGTTTAACAGGGGTCAGCTGTGTGCAAGGCAAGTGCTCTGCTTGCTGTACTATCTTTCCAGCCCACCTTCTTGAATGATTTTAAGTTTCCATCTGGTAGTAAAATTCTGAAGTTTTTTTAATATTGTGATTCTAAAATACACCCTTAGTTCAACATGCCTGTTTCTTCAAGAAACAGGTTCTCTACAAGATCTTGCAGGTGCCTACATAATCTGTGGATCCTTTGCCATTTTCCCTATTAGTGTTATTTTTTTTTCTTTTTGGGTCACACCCAGCGATGCACAGGGGTTACTCCTGGCTCTGCACTCAGAAATCACTCCTGGCGGTGCTCAGGGGACCATATGGGATGCTGGGAATCGAACCTGGGTCGGCTGCATGCAAGGCAAATGCCCTACCCGCTGTGCTATCTCTCCAGACCCTTAGTGTTATTTTTTAATTAGTCTATTTTTATTTCAAAAATCTCAGTGATTCTTTTCCATCTCTGTTATTTTATCATAGTGTTTTATTATGGTTTTAATGATGTGTGTGTGCGTGTGTGTGTGTGTGTGTGTGCCTTTGCCTTTTGGGTCATAGCTGGCGATGCACAGGGGTTACTCCTGGTTCATGCACTCACTCAGAAATTACTCCTGGTGATGTTCGGGGACCATATGGAATGTGGGATGCTGGGAATCGAACCTGGGTCGACCACATGCAGAGCAAATGCCCTACCCACTGTGCTATCACTCCAGTCCCTGGTTTTAATGTTTTAATGTATTAGTATGTTTGACTGCTCATATAGAGCACCACGGTCTATGGCTCAAACAGCAGAAATGTGTTTTCTCAGAGTTCAGGAGGCTGGCCGTCTGAGATGAGGGATGGGGGGGAGGCTAAAGCCGGCTTGAGAATGCTCTTCCTGCCAGCACCCCCTCACAGGGAATGAGGAGAGAAAGAGAGAGAGAGAGAGAGAGTCCCATGGTGCTTAAAATAAGGATACTTACCCTCTCCTTATTTACCTTAATTACTTCCTGAGAGCCTCATCTCCTGAAACAGCATACTGGAAGTCAGGGCTCTACATTAGAATTTTTAGAAGTACACCTTCAGTTCACTGCATCCACTTACAAATATTCCATAATGGGCCCAGAGAGATAATACAGCAGGTAGGGTGCTTGCCTTGCACGTGGTCAACCCAGGTTCAATCTCCAACACCCCATGTGATCCCTGAGCACAGAACCAGGAGTGATCCCTGAGCACTGCGCAGTATGGCCCAAAACCCTCCCTCAACAGTACGAGATTGGTCTGCACATGTGCTGTGTTGGACAACTATGAAACTCATGTCTGTCACATTGTGTTTCCAACAGTTTGTGTTTGGGGATGTCTCACCCCTGTGATGTCTCCTGTTTTTTCCTGAATTTCACTAGGGGCTCTTTTCCTCTAAACCAAATCTCCGGGCGTGCACATCTGGGAGTAGGTGGTACAATGCCATCTAATTAGAGAAAATAAACATTACCCCCAAGTATCAAGAGCTCATTCATTGCAAATCAGACCTTAAGTTTTAAAATGTAGGAAAGGGCATAGAGTGAAAGTACAGCAGGTAGGGCGCGTGTCTGCAGACGACTGACCTGGGTTCTATTCCCGGTACCTGACATGGCCCCCACATACTGCCGGGAGTGGTTCCTGAGCACAGAGCCAGGAGCAAGCCCTGAGCACCACCAGATATGACCAAAAAAAAAAAAAAGGGAGGGGAGTGGAGTGATAGCACAGCAGGTAGGGCGTTTGCCTTGCACACAGCCGACCCAGGTTCGAATCCCAGCATCCCATATAGTCTCCTGAGCACCACCAGGGGTAATTTCTGAGTACAGAGCCAGGAGTAACCCCTGTGCATCCCTGGGTGTGACCCAAAAAGTGTAAAATAAAAAAGTTAGTACTTAATCTCCTACATGTCTGGTATTCTAATCATTTATATACTCAAAATTACTTTCAGGAATTCATGAAGTATAATACTCCCCATCAGAATAAGAATTGCTTGAACAATTTTGACCTTTCAGAATACAGACAAGTTCTTAGTGACGTGTCTATACGAATATATCATCAGTTCATTATGGTAATGGAAAACAGTATTCAACCAATAATAGGTAAGAAAAAAATTGCAGACCAAAATTAACAGTAGAATGAAGGGATCACATGGATTACCATGGAGATCTGGCAATATGGAATGTGCTATATGAAAGAGCAATTTTAAACTAAAATCTAATAATTTTTATTCTTTTGAATTTTTTGATTACATAATCATATTTATATACATGGTTCATAGTTTTCTTTCTGCAAAGGTAATTCATTTTGAAGGAAAAGATGGCAGAATTCTCTGCTGCTAATCTTACGTAAGTTGATCCAAGTACTTTGAAATCCTGAAATCCCATTCAAGTTCTTATATGCTTTCTATTTTTTTCTTTTTGGATCACACCCGCAATGCACAGGATTTATTCCTGGCTCTGCACTCAGGAATTACCCCTGGCAGTGCTCAGGGGACCATATGGGATGCCGGAATCGAATCCAGGTGCAGCCGCGTGCAAGGCAAACGCCCTACCTGCTGTGCTATTGTTCCAGCCCCTCTTGTATGCTTTTTTTATTTTTATTTTTATTTATTCATTTATTTATTTTTTTGCTTTTCGGGTCACACCCAGCGATGCACAGGGGTTACTCCTGGCTCATGCACTCAGGAATCATTCCTGGCGGTGCTCGGGGGAACATATGGGGTGCTGGGAATCGAACCCAGGTCGGTCACATGCAAGGCAAATGCCCTACCCGCTGTGCTATCGCTATAGCGCTCATATACTTATTTATTTGTTTATTTATTTTTGCTTTTTGGGTCACACCTGGCAATACACAGGGGTTACTCCTGGTTCTGCACTCAGGAATCACCCCTGGCAGTGCTCAGGGGACCATATGGGATGCTGGGAATCAAACCCGGGTCGGCCACGTGCAAGGCAAACACCCTACCCGCTGTGCTATTGCCCCAGCCCCTTTTTTATTTTGTTTTTTTTTCCCATATACTTTTTTAAAATCTATGTTATGTAAAGGCTTTAAGTGGCTCCAGGCATGAGGTGCTGTCCAGTGAGGGGAGCCCCAAACTCTCCGTGCCCCTTACACCTCATGCTCCCCACCCTCCTCCTCTGGCTTTCGTGGTGGAAACTTCAGCTGCTGCTGACCTTTGCAGATAGGTCAGTGCCACCCGCACCGGCCAGCATGTGAGAACTGGACAGTCTCTGGTTGTTCCGTGCCGTCATTTCTCTCCGCAGTGCCTGGCATGCTGGAGTATGAAAGCCTGCAGGGGATTTCTGGCCGGAAGCCCACGGGCTTCCGGAAACGGTCCTCCAGCATCGACGACACGGATGCCTACACCATGACGTCCATCCTGCAGCAGCTGAGCTACTTCTACAGCACCATGTGCCAGAGCGGCCTGGACCCCGAGCTCGTGCGGCAGGCAGTGAAGCAGCTCCTGTACCTCATCGGGGCAGTCACCCTCAACAGCCTCTTCCTGCGCAAAGACATGTGCTCGTGCAGAAAGGGCATGCAGATACGGTAAGCCCCATGCCTGCTGCACCGGCCCTGCGCACCTGCTCGCTCCGCACCCCCTGCCTACAGCCGGATGAGTCTGTACCCCGGGCCATGTGTGCATCTGGAGGCCCTGGACCGAGTGGGCCGAGCCCAGAACTTGTGGCTCTTCTCAGTTCTTCCCCTCGAGATAATGGTATCCGAGCATACGTTCAATTAATTCACTGACCACGGTGTCTCTGAAAAGCACCCCTGGCCTGTTAGAGAACCCAGGAAACAAAGTGTGATTTGATCACCCCCCCCCCCCCCAACCCATTCTGAGAAGCCCAAAAGAGCCGATCAAGGGGCTGGAGCGATAGCACAGCAGGTAGAGCGTTTGCCTTGCATGCGGCTGACCTGGATTCGATTCCCAGCATCCCATATGGTCTCCCGAGCACCTCCAGGAGTAATTTCTGAGTGCAAAGCCAGGAGTAACCCCTGAGCATCGTCAGGTGTGACCCCCCCCCCAAAAAAAATGAAGAGTCAATAAAGAAATCAAGGTAGGCAGGAGTGGTCAGTGGTTGGAAGCTACCACAGCTGTGCAGGTGTGGAGGGCAGTTAGGATACAGAAGGGACCAGTATGACAGTAATAGTTGGAGATGATCACTCTGGACAAAAACCTGAATGCTGAAAGTAAGTAAAGGGATATACATGATAACCTATTAGTATCTGGATTGTAAACCATAATGCCCCAAAGGAAGAGAGAGAGAGAGAGAGAGAGAGAGAGAGAGAGAGAGAGAGAGAGAGAGAGAGAGGAGAGAGAGAGAGAGAGAGAGAGAGAGAGAGAGAGAGAGAGGAAAGAGGTAGAGAAGAAACGTGCCTGCCATGGGGGTGGGGGGGGGACACTGGTGGTGGGAAATGTGCAGGTAGTGAAGGGACAAATGATCGAACATGATTCAATTAAAAAGAAAAGAAATCAAGGGATAGCATAGCAGGTAGGGAGGGCACTTGCCTTGTATGCCATGACCCAGGTTCAGTCCTCGTGGCCACAAATCCATGCGCTACCAACAGCGATCCCTGGGCTAGATATGCCTTTTCCCCGCCCTCCCCCACCAAAAAAAAAAAAAAGGGAAGAGGATAGAAGGGAGGGTTAGAGGGAGGGAGGGGAACAAACATGATTAGGCTACAGTCCCAGGGGAAATGTTTCAGCTGAGTTCAGGAAGTCTGAGAGCTGAATCAGATGATTTTTTTTAAAGCAGGGGGTTGGGGGTCGCAGGGGAGGCTGCAAACAGGCTTAGTGAAACTGTGAAACTCTGCGGCCTCCTCCTGAGGCAAAAGCAGACCCCTTTATCTCAGCAGCGGCTGGTTTGGGGAGCAGCACTGCCAAGGTCAGCTCGAGCACTCTCCCGGGACACCCTGCGCCAAGTGCTCCAAATACCACCCGCTGTCCTCTGCTCCTCCAGGTGCAACATCAGCTACTTAGAAGAATGGCTCAAAGAAAAGAATCTGCACAATGGCTTGGCCAAAGAAACACTGGAACCGCTCTCCCAGGCCGCCTGGTTGCTGCAGGTCAAGAAGACCACGGACAGCGATGCCGTGGAGATCTCCGAGCGCTGCACTGCGCTGACGGCCGTGCAGGTAACACAGCATCCCCAGCCGAGCAAGCACACGATGCCCACATCTCGGTGCTCTTTGGGAAGCGTTCTTGTTTATCAAATGCTCTCTGTCGTACAGCCACCAGTAACATCCCAGATGGATTTGGGTGTTGGAGGCGGAAGTGGGGATTCTCTCCTCATCCGATTTTGAAATTCATCTCTGTTCTCACCTTGTTTACTCTTTTTTTGTTTTGTTTTGTTTTGCTTTTTGGGTCACACCCAGCAATGCACAGGGGTTACTCCTGGCTCTGCACTTAGGAATTACTCCTGGCAGTGCTCGGGGGGACCATATGGGATACCGGAGATCGAACCCAGGTCGGCCTCGTGCAAGGCAAACGCCCTACCCGCTGTGCTATCGCTCCAGCTCCTCACCTTGTTTACTTTTTGGTTAGAAATACACAACCACGGGGCTTCTTAGAGCCAGACCTGTGGGTTGGGGTCCCCAAAATGCCAGTATTTTTAAATTGTATTTTAGGCCCTGTCCCTTAGCTTCCTGTTTTTAATTAGGTCTCACACAGACATCATTCCAGCGCCACCCCCTACACTAGGGCACCTGCCTCCCTCTGCACGTCCCCGTGTGCCGTCAGCCGCAGCCTCTCTGCAGTTGCCCACTGCAGGAGGCCAGAATCTTTACTTCACAGACAGAGTGTCCTTTTCCCCGGGCCTGACAGTCTTGTGTCACGTCTGCAGATCGTGAAGATCCTTAATCTCTACACGCCCATCGATGACTTTGAGAAGAGAGTGGCCCCAGCCTTCGTCCGTAAAGTCCAGGTGAGCTCCACAAGACCACACCTTCTGTCGCACTCCCAAGGAAACCGCCTTCCGGGAACATGCAGCGACTCAGGGTGCTGAGGTACCAGTGCCTGCCTCAAGAGCAACGGGGATTCGCCCTCGCAGTTTCTGTAATCGGCTTAGCTCTAACGGGAAGGGAACGAGACAGCATTACAATCCATCAGCAAATCTTGATGCTACCTTGAGTCCTCTGAGTGAGTTGGCTCTGAAAGAAATTTTAGGGATTAAAGAAACTTTTCACACTGTTCTTATTTTAAGCCCTAAAATTTCTTCTCTTTTTTTTTCTTTTTGGGTCACACCCAGCGATGCACAGGGGTTACTCAGGAATTACTCCTGGTGGTGCTCAGGGGACCATATGGGATGCTGGGAATCGAACCCGGGTCGGTTGCGTGCAAGGCAAATGCCCTACCCGCTGTGCTATTGCTCTAGCACCCTAAAATTTCTCTTCAAGAAAACTAGGGTCCCAGGAATAGTTGGGGGCTCGTGAAGACCCTTCCAGAGGTCCCTGCATTCTGGGTTTTTCCACGTACATGTCTGCTAGGTGGACATGTCTTCATGTTTTTCAAAGTAATATTGCAAGAGGTTGAATCCAAGGAAAAATACACGATCTCACTGGTATCAAAATTCGGCACAAAGAGGCAGAAGCAATAAAAACTAATACTACGTCTCACTGAATTTTTTTTTAGTTGGGAAAATTCCAACTTTCCAATAGAAATATGATATGCTAGCCTGTTTATTTTTGCTATTTGAATGAGTTGCTAAATACTCTAAATTACAGTTTTAGTTACTAGTGTGTTAAATATTTGTTTAAAGCCACACACATAAAAACCCTTTAGAGTTCTCAATAATTTAGGGGAGTTTAAAGGTAAACTGAGACCTGAAAGTTTGCAGAGCACGATAAGAACTGCTCATAGAGAATGGATCAGCCTCTGCTGAGAAACTGACTTCTTCGGTGAAGCAGAGCAAGGAACAGGTGTGGAGGAACCGGAGAGATAGTACAGTGGGTAGGGCGCTACCTGGGCTCAATCCCTGGCATCCCATCTGGTCCCCTGAGCACCACTGGGAGTAATTCTTGAGTGCAGAGCCAGGAGTAACCCGAGCATCACCAGGTGTGACCTCCATGCCTTCACATCCCCCTAATAAAAAATGCTGATGTGGAAGTCGGAGGTAGATCACCCTGCGATTGTGCTGCTCAGAATTCCTCTTGTATTTTATGGATTTGAAAGGAGTTTTGCAAACAGTACAGCAGAAGGTACAGGTTTCCTTGCTGATTTTTTCCTCTGGTTCTCATTCCAGGCTCTCCTTAACAGCCGGGAGGATTCCTCACAGCTGATGTTGGATACCAAGTACCTTTTCCAAGTCACTTTTCCGTTCACCCCCTCTCCACACGCACTGGAAATGATCCAGATTCCTAGCAGTTTTAAGCTGGGCTTCCTCAACAGATTATAACAAGGGGGAAAAAGAACAAATGCACTTTCCTCCAAAGCTAAATGGAGTAAGAATGATTTGGGTTATTCACTGGAAATGGCAGTGCCTTAGAATGTGATTAATAGGATAAGAATATGCTCTGGCCATGGTTGAAACACACTGTCCAGTGTTGACTTTTTACTAAAAATACTCCTGTATTATCCTCCCAGGATGGGAGATGCATGTTGAAAGTAGTAGACTATAGACCGAACATGATTGCCACTCAGTGCCTCTTTTGCAGACCACAACACCCAAAAGGAGAGAGAGAACAAAAGGAATTGCCCTGCTACAGAGGCAGGGTGGAATGGGGGGGATGGGGGTGGGAGGGATACTGGGATCCATGGTGGTGGAAAATGGGCACTGGTGGAGGTATGGGTATTTGATCATTGTATAATCGAAACCCAAGCACAAAAATGTGTAAGTCTACAACTGTACCTCATGGTGTTTCACTAATAAAAATTTTAAAAAATTACTCCTGTATTAAAAAGAAAAAAATTCAGGGCTGGATATATAGGACAGTGGGTATGGTGTTCGCTTGGCATGTGACTGACCCAGGTTTGATCCCCGACATTCCATATGGTCCCCTGAGCACTCCCAGGAGTATTTCCTGAGTGCAGAGAAAGAAGTAACCCCTGGGCATAGCCAGATGTGGTCCCAAATTAAAAAATTCAGACCCCTATAATTTTTGCTATTCAAGTTGAAATCAGTCATGAATTATTTTTATATATTTAAAACTAATATATTATTTAGGCTTGGCTGGAGCGATAGCACAGCGGTAGGGTGTTTGCCTTGCACGCGGCCGGCCAGGCTGAGCTGGGTTCAGTTCCTCCGCGATTCCTCCGCCCCTCTTGGAGAGCCCGGCAAGCTACCGAGAGTATCTCGCCCGCACGGCAAAGCCTGGCAAGCCACCTGTGACGTACTTGATATGCCAAACACAGTAACAACGAGTCTCACAATGGAGACGTTACTGGGCCCGCTTGAGCAAATCGATGAACAACGGGAGGACAGTGCAGTGCAGTGCAGAAGAATACTTAAAACAAATAAGGGGTATTGGAACTTTGGTGGTGGATGTTGTATGGTATCATACACCTAAAACGCATTCTTATAAACCTTTATTACCTCAATAAGTGATGAAGAAAAAAAAGTAAGGGACTGGAGTGATAATACAACAGGTATGGCACTTTACTTGCACGAAGCCAAAACAGTTTCAATCCCTGGCATCACACATGGTCCCCGAACGCACAGAAGTGATCCCTGAGCACAGTCAAGTGTGGGCCTGTAGGCCCAGGATTGTCACAAAACACGCTGGCCCCCCCTATAGACAGTGACAGGCAACAGACATGTACCCTCAGAGTGGAAACTATCCAGAACTGGGAAGCAATGTCATCCTGACTGCAATAGGAAATGCCGTTTATACTACAAATGATCTCATTTGCTTCTTTTAAATTCATTATATATAAAGAAGTGGTTGAAAAATAGAACTTTGTAATATTTTCAACAATAACATTAGCAAATAAATTCTTTGAATTGCTGAATTACATTTTTATGAAGTAAGTCATGTCTTTCTTAAAGGATCCATTTAAAGATGCTAGACTCTATAGATTCCGAGTAGCTCGTAAAAAACACGTGGAGAATTAGACCAGAGAAGATGATACAGCAGGTAGAGCCTTGCACAACTCCAACCTGGGTTTGATCATCTGCACCCCATATGGTCCCCTTCGCATTGCCAGGAGTGATCCCTGAGCACAGAGCCAGGAATAACCCCTAAACTTTACCGGTGTGGCCCAAAAACGAAGCAAACAAGACTTGGGCCAGGGAGATAGCTTCCCGGTCCAGTTTTCTGAGAGTGGACTCAAGGGCGTCTCTGCACTGCATGAGGCCCCAGACTGGGCCCAATGCTGATGGCCAGCTGAGCTCTGCCAGCTGGGGCTGGGGGCGATGTGGCTCCCCACTGTGAGCTGGGGGCCCCACGCCCTGCCCCTCACCCATGGCTCTCAGCACTGCCGGCACCTCCGATCCATCTGGGAGACGGAGCAGCCGCAGAGGCACAGTTTGAGGTGGGGAGAAGTTTCCTCAGCATTGCCAAGAACTAAATATTGTTAGGGACAACGCAGAGAGGACCTACAGAGGCTGGGATGTTTCTGAATGGAAAAGCGGCTCCATCACATTGTAATCAAAGTTGAAGGTGTGAAGGTGTGTGACATAGACTGTGAGGAGACAGGAGTTTCAGATTCTGTCATGGTAAAAGTCAGGGTTACTCAGTCCCCCTGTGTGGGTTTGTGGGGTTCCAACCAGCTGACAGCCACACCCTGCAGAAGGACACAAATCAGCCCCGGAAACCACCACCAAGGCTTCTGAGGTGAGTGAGGGATCCAACACCAGGGAGTGGCCACTGGGGACGCAGAGCTGCAGGTAAGCAGGACAGAGCTGCCAAGGGCAGTGCAGCGGGGGTAAGAAGATTACCCTGTTCCAGCCCCTCCACCCGCTAGCTGCATTCCGGCTCCGCGCCTTTCTGTTGACCGTTTGAGTGTGACCTCTGTGGAAGGTAGGTCTCTACTTTAATTTAATTTAATTGAGGAAACATTTAAATGAGGAAATGCAGACTTTCTGAAGTGCTCTAGAGAGTCTCAAGGTCTGGGAGCACCAGTGGAGGGCAGGAGTATGGGTAAGCCGGATGCTCTCGACTTTCTACAACCCCCATGCAGTTACTTTCAAGTAAGATGGTGTTTTGTTTCCAAAATGCATTTAGTATTGAGGGCTGGAGCGATAGCACAGCAGGTAGGGCGTTTGCCTTGCAGGTGGCCGACTCGGGTTCGATTCCCAGCATCCCGTATGGTCCCCCGAGCACTGCCAGGAGTGCAGAGCCAGGAGTAACCCCTGTGCATCGCCGGGTGTGACCCCAAAAAAGCAACAAAAAAATGCATTTAGTATTGGTGTCAAGGGAGGAAATTAAGGAATTTGAAAATCATTTCACCAAGTTTAAAACACTGATCCAGGTAAGACTCGAAGTGTGGAGCCTAGTGGCAGTATAAAGCTGATGCGGTAGGAAGAGATTTGATCTTTAACATCAGAGAGTGAGTAGGTCGGGGAGGTTCATACACAGTCACATACATCAGTCATTGGTTCTTTTCAGTTGCATGAACCATTTATTCGTCTAATGTTCCATTGATGCACATTTGGGTTTTTCCTATTTGGGGCTATCATGAATAAAACTGTTATGACATTGTTCGTTGTTTGATTGTTTGGGGGCCACACCCAAGGGTGTCACTCAGGGTTACTCCTGAGTAACTCAGGGGAACCATGTGATGCAGGGAACAAATTTGGCTCAGGATGAATTTGCTGGGCAACTCTAACCTTGTGAATATCCAACAGACTCCCCATTGCTTCTGCCATCTTATATTCCTACAAAATATTCATTATCATTTTTAATTGACGTTTATAATTACAAAACAGTGCTCCACTGATCCATTTTTTTTCTAGTTCTCATTTTCTCTCTCTGTGTTTGTGTGTGTGTGTGTGTGTGTGTGTGTGTGTGTATGTGTTTGGGACACACCTAGCAGTGCTCAGGGGTTATTCTTGGCTATGCACTTAGAGATCACTCCTGGCCAAACTTGGTAATATATGGATACTAGGGATTGAAGCCAGGTTCAGCATGCAAGGCAAGCACCCTACCTGCTGTACTATCACTCTGTTCCCACTTTTCATTTTTCAATCTCCCCCAACTTAAAGCATTGTCTTTTTTAAAATTAATTTTTATTAAAAACACCATGATTGGGAACTGGAGAAATAACACATCAGGTAGGGCGTTTGCCTTGCACGAGGCTGACCCAGGTTCGAGTCCCAGCATCCCATATGGTCCCCTGAGCACCGCCAGGAGTAATTTAATTCCTGAGTGCAGAGCCAGGAGTAACCCCTGTGCATCACCAGGTGTGACCCCCCCCCAAAAAAAAACCCATGATTTACACACTTGTTCATTATACAGTTGTTTCAAACATTTCGTGCTCCAACACCACCATTGTGACCTTTTCTTTGCCAATATACCTAATTTCTCTCCCAATCTCAACCTGTTTGCTTAGGCACATAACATTTACTTTATATTGCTTATTCAGAACAACTTTGAGAAATGGCAAATAAAATGATCAGTAAATAAATCAGTAAAAATCAGTAAGAATTTGTGATTACTATATAATTTTGACCTACGTAAAGTAAGTAAAAGCCCTCCCGTTGATTGTCGATTTGCTCGAGCGGGCCCAGTAACGTCTCCATTGGAGACTTTGTTGAATATCGAATACTCTCGGTAGTTTGCCGGGCTCTCCAAGAGGGGCGGAGGAATCGAACTCGGGTCGGCCATGTTGGCCGCTTGTAAGGCGAACACCCTACCGCTGTGCTATCGCTCCATTCAATACAATATAATAAAATGCCTGTTCTTGTTTGCGCATGTTTTCAACTCTGGAATCTAAAATATATTACATTAAATTTTATTTTATACTTAGGTCTCCAGACCTTTTGGGGAGCGTTAAAAAAAAGGGCTGGGATGATAGCACAGCAGGTAGGGCGTTTGCCTTGTATGCGACCAACCCGGGTTCGATTCTTCCATGCCTCTTGGAGAGCCCAGCAAGCTACTGCGAGTATCCCACCCGCATGGCAGAGCCTGGCAAGCTCCCCGTGGCGTATTCGAGATGCCAAAAACAGTAACAACAAGTCTCACAAGGGAGACGTTACTAGTGCCCGCTCTAGCAAATTGATGAACAACGGGAGGACAGTGCTACAGTGCTACTTAGGTCTCATTATGGTAATAATCATGTCTTACCTGTCGTTAATAAAACTTTTAAAGCAATTCTGCATTAATATATTTTGGAATTTACTGGAATAGGTAAAGCCTACATATGCAAATTTCCCCCTACACCTTATATAAGCACTGTGGTTTACAAGGTTGTGCATGATGATTCGTTACAGCCTAGACATTCTCTTACTCCACCCCTGTTGGTCCCTTGGCACCCCCTTGCCTGTCGCTTGCCCAGAGCTCCTTTCCTCTCCCACCTCCATGAGAACAGTCTTAATCTAGTTGTGGCTCCTGCTGTCCATCTTTCCCTGACCTAATTTAGGAAGCACAAAGGCTGGAATAATCGGCTTTGATGGCGCGATTCACTTGCTGGAAAGCCTTGGGCTTCCTAGCCATATGACTGCCCACCTCAGCAAATTTACTAAGGGACAACGTTATCAGCTCCCAGGTCAGTCTCTGGCGAGTGACATTTTGGGGGGGAATATGGGCCCTCAGGTCTGTGGTTACCAAATGTTTCCTAAGGGGACAGGGGTCGGAGGTGGATATATTAATTTCAGGGTGCCAACTCATTGACTCAACCTAATGGTACTCGCTGGGTCAGGCTTTGCTGTTTTTGCTCTTGGGGAGCCTCCTAAGCAATGTTGGGGGGTCCCAGGGACACTCTTGGCAGCCAGCTGTGCCTGAGGTTCAATGCCAGAGCCGAGGGATGAGGCACGGTGAGTTCCTGTGGACCAGGGACCCCTTGAGCCACTCCAGTCATGCTGGGGGACTCCAGCCCTGCACCAGCCATGGTTAGGGGACCCACTGATGACAAGAACCAAAATTAGGGCCCGTTGAACGCAAGACCGGTGCTGTTTCTCTGAATTAGACCTTGCATTTCTCCAATGGTTCACTCTGAAAGGAGGAATTTTATGCCTTTGATCTTTTGGCCTCAGATTGTACTCTACTGCAACCACGCTTTCCATGTTCGGACCCCAAAAAATAAACCCTGAGATATAACACCAATCCTGTGCATGACTACAAGCTGTGAAAATAATCTGTGTTCAGAAAATCTATTGTGGGGCTGGAGGTGTGTGCCTTGCACACAGCCGACCCGGGTTTGATTCCCAGCATCCCATATGGTCCCCTGAGACTGCCAGGGGTAATTCCTGAGTGCAGAGTCAGGAGTAACCCCTGAGCATCGCTGTGTGTGCATTTTGGTGTGACCCAAAAAGGAAAAAAAAAAAGACAAAAAAACCTATTGCCTGTGCTTTAAAAAAAAATAGTAATAATGATTTAGATAAATGAGTTGGTGTTCACCAGCATGTCACAATGAATCAAAGGTTACAAATTAACTGCATATTGCTTATCCCACAGCGAAAGGCCTAAGAAACTACCTTAACAAAAGAAGATGAAGCTTTAAAAAGCTCTTTCTGTTGACTTTTCTTCTAGACGTTCATTCCTTTCTTTCTCCTTTTCAGCTGCATCTGGGATAAAAGATGTGTGACCAGACCTTCCTAGTCAATGTGTTTGGCTCCTGTGACAAATGTTTCAAGCAAAGAGCACTGAGACCAGTTTTCAAGAAATCTCAACAGCTCAGCTACTGTTCAGTATGCGCAGAAGTAGTAAGTGCCACTTCAGCGTTTTTTAAAGTAGTTGCCTGTCTTGTCTCCTGTCTTGAAGCAGTATCCCGTGACTGTGCTGTGCTGCTGAGTTCCCAGAGAATCTGTCTACATGCAAGAATTTCAGCATATCCAGGAGAGAGCAGATGTGGTGTGTGCGTGTGTGCATGCGTGCGTGTGTGTGTGTGTGTGTTTGTGAAATATCTCTGGTCACTCATATGATTTAATATCTGAACATTATCTAGCACAGGAATGTTCTAGATATTGTTATTATTTTAAGGCTATTGCATCTTCTTCTGTCTTCTAGTTTTTTAGTGTTTTTTTTTGGGGGGGGGCGTTGTTTGCAAGCAGGCAAGCTAAAAGTAACTGGCCAAAATCATTTTCTGAGCCCCTTTCCAAGGGCCTGTTCTGACAAGATGTAAGATCATTACAGGGCCTATACAGGGATCAAAATTAAATTCAAGGAAAAGCGCTCCTAAGGCCTAAACTTACAACAAGGGTAATTGCTGTAAATTACTCTAATTCTGTAAAAAAAAAAAAAAAAAAACAGAATTCTGGTGTTTTCCCAAGTCCACCAACTCAGTGTGTGTGTCTTTCAGACCTGACCGAAAGCCGAAAGCGTGGGAAGGTCTCTTTCTGAAGCTTTACGAATTCAGAATTTGATCTCAGAAGATTTGCACTGAGTACTCAGGGCCCTCGCCTGAAAAAGTGGGAGCACTCCACCCTAAAAATCTACTAGGGAATTCCTATTTACAGATGTGTGGGTGCATATTGTATACCTACGTGTATGAGAGTGTGTGTGTGTGTGTGTGTGTGTGTGTGTGTGTGTGTGTGTGTGTGTATGTATGGTCTTCCTAGCAGTGCTTAGGAATCAAAGGAGACAACCTTTGATTCTAAGGATTAAAACTGAGTTCTGATTCATGCACTCCAGCCCTTGAAGCTAGCTCCCATGTTCCCTATAAAAAATAGTTTAAAATCGTATGATTTTTAGGGGCTGGAGCAATAGTTCAGCAGCAAATGTAGGGCGTTTTCCTTGCATCTGGCTGACCTGGGTTCAATCCCCGGCATCCCATAGGGTCCCTTGAGCACTGCCAGGAGTGAGTGATTCCTGAGTGAAGAGCTAGGAGTAATCTCTGAGCATTGCTGGGTGTGACCCCAAAACCAAAACAAACAAAAAACTCATATGATTTTTGAGGACCATAATATAGTGAGCAGGGCACTTGCACACAGTCGACCTGGGTTAGAATCCCTACATTCCATATTGTTCCCTAAGTACTACCAGGAGTGATCGCTGAGTGCAGTGCCAGGAGTAACCCTTGAGCATTGCTGGTTATGAATTCAAAAACACAAACAAAAAAAGTATGATTTTTCTTTAAAAATGGGGAAAGATGACTTTTAAATTATACCCAACTGAAAAAGCAAAGAAAATATTGATATTTCTGGTCCCATTTGCAAGCATAACAGTGATTCCGTTTGCTAAGAAGTATTCTGGGGGAAAAAAACACAAAAAAGCAGATTGCAATTAATAGTCCAGGGTACCATCAAGGGTGTGGGTGGGGGCGGCGAGAAGAGAAGCGGGCCTGCAGCGCAGCCCAGTGCGGAGCCAGATGCGGCAGCACTGCAGGGCGGGGTCGCGCGTGCTAGGGCCAGGGGGCCGGCCTGGGGCGGGGCCGCGCGCCAGGGAGACAGAGGGGTTGGGACCACAGCGGGACTTCGCAAGAGAGATAGCGGCGGGGCGGGGTGGGGCGGGGCCTCAAGAAAGAGGCGGGGAGGGGCGGGGCCTCGAGAGAGGCGGGGCCGGGGCGGAGCCTTGCAAGCGAGAAGGCGGTGAGGGGCGGGGCCTCGAGAGAGAGGCGGGGCCGGGGCGGGGCCTCGCAAAAGAGAAGGCTGTGAGGGGGGGGCGGGGCCGAGAGAGAGAGAGAGAGAGAGAGAGAGAGAGAGAGAGAGAGAGAGAGAGGCGGGAAAGGGCGGGGCCTCGCGAGAGAGGCGGAGCCAAGACGCGGCCTTGAGAGAGGCGGGGCCGGGGCGGGGCCTCACAAGAGAGAGGGTGGAGAGGAGGCGGGGCCTCGAGAGAGAAGCGGGGCCGGGGCGGGGCCTCGAGAGCGCGATTGATGGGGTGGGGAAAGAGACCTAGGGAGCGAGAGAAAGAGCGAGCGCGCGCGGCGGGGGCGGGGCCGGGGCGGGGCGTCGCAAGAGGGGCGGGGCTTGCGCGCGCCAGTGAGGGGGGAGAGAGCGAGAGCGGGCGCGCGCGGCGGGGGCGGGGCCTTGCGGGAGAGGCGGGGCCTAGCGCCCGCGAGTCGGGGGAGGGGCGGGGAGGAGGGAACGCGAGAGCGGGCGCGCGCGGCGGGGGCGGGCCGGGCCGGGCCGGGGCGCGCGCGGGCCTCTGCTGAGCTGCGCTCGGACCCCGCCGCCCGCTGACCGCGCCGCTTCTCGCTGTCCCCCGGCCGCTCCCCGCGAAGATGGCCACCGACGGGCTGCACGAGAACGAGACGCTGGCGTCGCTCAAGAGCGAGGCGGAGAGCCTGAAGGGCAAGCTGGAGGAGGAGCGGGCCAAGCTGCACGACGTGGAGCGTGAGTCCGGCGGCGCCGTGCAGGCCGCGGGCCGCCGCGCCCCTCTGCCTGCCACCCCCCACCCGGTCCTTGCAGACCCCACGGGGCCGGCTCGGGAGGGTCCGCTGCCCGCCGGACAGTCCCGAAGTGCCCGCCGCGGGGTCTCGTCTCCCGGTGCTGCCGCGTGCCGGGTCGGGATGGGTTTGGGGCTGCGCCTGGTCCTGAGCTGTCTTCCCGGCCCGGGCCTGCGTGGTACCAGCCCTGGTCAGTTCTGTTTGCAGGGACCAGCGCTGGAGCACATCGGGTAGGGCGCTGCCTGGCCGCACACCCGACACAGGCTGGTCCCCAGCATCCCAAACGGTCCGCCCGCCGAGCACTGCCAGGAGTGACCCCGTAGCGCGGGCCGGGAGTGACCCCTGAGCATCTCCTGCTCGGGTGCATATTCTGTTTGGGGAGGGGCGGTGGGGCTCACCCCGCGGTAAGCAGCCTAGAAGCGGGGACCTGGAGCCGGCGTGTCCAGTGCCTCCGTTATTCAGAACCGGCTCCAGCTGTGCTCGGCTAAGTCCCGTTTGGTGTTTGACAGAATCGGAGCTGTTACGTAACTGCACGGGCTGGGGGCGATTGGCAGCTCTGGGTCAGCGGACCCTGTGCTGGTCACGGACCCACACCCCCATGCCTCCCACCGGAGCACCCAGCACTCGCCTATGATTGCGCTGTGATCCCAGAACAGGGAGGTGGGAGGATGATGTGACAGGGAGCACAAGCATCCCCAGGGGTATTCTTTTTTTTTTTTTAAATCCACACCAACACTGGTTGCTTTTGTTTTTTTGTTTGTTGGGTTTTTTTTTTTTTTTTTTTTGCTTTTTGGGTCACACCTGGCAATGCACAGGGGTTACTCCTGGCTCTGCACTCAGGAATTACTCCTGGCGGTGCTCAGGGAACTATATGGGATGCTGGGAATCAAATCTGGGTCGGCCATGTGCAAGGCAATTGCTCCAATCCCATGCTTTTGTTCTTTTAAACGTGTGCCAGTCTCTGTGGTGTGAGATAATATCTCATTGGTTTTTTTTTATTAGTGAATCACTGAGGTATAGTTACAAACTTACAAACTTCAGTATTTCAATCATGCAATAATTGTTTACCCATGCCTCCACCAGTGCCCATTCTCCTCCACCAATGTTCCCAATATCCTTTCCACCCCCCCAATTCCCACCCTACACCCCCCCCCCCCCCGCCTTTGTTCTCTCTCCTTTTGGGTGTTATAGTTTGCAATAGAGGTATTGAGTGGCCATCCTGTTTAGTCTATAGTCTACTTCCGGTATGCATCTTTCAACCTGAATGGGTTCTCCCAATACCCTTTACTTGCTGTTCCCTTCTCTATCTGAGCTGCCTTTTCCCCAGGGGCTAGACTTACGGCTGGAGCTAGGTCCTGTGGCTCTGGGAAGACAGAAGGCGAGAACTGAGCTGGCACATTGCCATCCCTGATGCTCTGCTTCTGTTCAAAAGGGAGAGGTCAGCAAGAGGATGGGAAGGCAGGAAGAGATGTGTTCCCTGCAAACCCCCGTACTCTGCAGACCACGGCCATGCCTTGTGGTACCAGTGTCCCTCAAGCAGGCTGTCTCAGTTCTCCATTTTACAGATGAGGAAAATGAGGCACCAGGAGGGTCAGCACTGCCCTTAGTGCTGGCTCTGGCCAACTGACCCCTGTGTGCATGTGTATCGGGGCAGAGACCCCTGCAGGGCCCTCTTTTTATCTGGGGCAACAGAGTGACCCACAATGAACAGTGCTCAGACACCACTCTTGGCAGTGCTCTGGGGGAATTTTCTGACTTATTTTCAGTGGGAGTACGTCTGTATGTAAAAAGGAGTCAAGAAAAATCTGTAACTCTCATTTCTTTTCATTTCTTTCTAACTCTGTTCTGTTCTAAATACCATCTCTAGTTTCCAAAGGTTCCAGATTATATGATTATGTTATTTCCTGGCCCCACCTTCCTGTACACACCTGATTTCCCCAAGCCCTGCCAAGATCAACCCATGAGAATAGACCAGGAGTAAGCCCTGAGCACAACCATGTGTGAGCTAAAAAAATCTCAAAACAACCTCCCCCAAATTATATGGACCCAAGAACTGCTGCCTAAAAATGGTGACGGTTGGTTGAAAGTTATTATTAAGTATCTCATTCACTCCGTCAGTAAAGATTGATTGGGTTCCCACTGTGGGAAACTGCAGAAGACTCACTTGTCACATGCTCCCTTAGTGCCAGGATATTCCCTGTGTCCCCCAGTCCCGGGGAAGAACTGAGAGGCATGAATGTAAGCGGCTTCCCGAGATGGGGTGCTGCTCTGTTGTGAACAGCCATAGTTCCAGGCTTCTATTCTCAGCACTTTCCTGAGGTCTGCGACCCACCCCCCCCAGGGATGCTCTGAGGAGCCTCCACAAAACAGCACCCCTCCCCCTGCTGCGACTAAGCCTCTTGGGCTTCTGCACAGTCGATCATCGGATGCTCAAAGCTCCTGTTGAAGAAACTGAACCAGCTGGTTGTGCGCACTCTTGGGAGAGCGATCACCAGCCTGCAAAGTATAAACCACATTTGCCCCGGGTCGAGACCCCGCAGATAACTTCCGAAGCTTATTAGCGCATTTGCAGCTATGTTTCTCACTTCTGGCATTCAAGTCTTTCAAAATCCTTGAGCTTGGTGGATGCACCTTTTGGCAGATAGAAGCAGGCTTGAGTGGGATGGGAACGAATCTGTGTGTGGGAAGGGAAAATGCATTGGAGAAAATCATTAATAGTGGAGATGTGCTCAGAGTCTCATTATGTAAGGACTAGGGGAAGACCTTAGGTTTTCTTATCCAGTAAGAGAGGCGTTTAGAAACTCTGTATCAGGGCCTGAACCATAGAACAGTGGGGAGGGCATTTGCCTTGCAAAGAACCAACCCAGGTTCAATCTCTGACAACCATATGGTTCCGAGTACCGCCAGAAGTAATCCCTGAGCAGAGAGCCAGGAGTATCTCCTGAACATTGGAGGGTGTGTCCTAAAAACAAAACAAAAATCATGAAAATTTTCAGCAGTATAGACTTCTATAAAAAAAAGAAAACTTTATAAGAATGGAGAAAAATCAGTGTTTTTAGACTCCACTCAATTTGTGTGTATCTTTGAAAGACTTCTGTACAATTTGTAGCAGTGAGTTATTGCAGCTGTTTGAACAGATATGTTGAAGAGCATTATAATTGCATAGTATTCATTGCATTTTTAATTTTACTATTAACAAGATATCAAAAAGAGAGCATTATAACTGTCTAGTGCTTTATAGTCTAGCAAGTATTTTTTTACAGTTTGGATTACTTTTTAGAGACTTTTTATTTTATTTTTGTTTGAGTTTATTTTTTTGATCCACATCCAGCAGGGCTTACTCCTGGCTCTTTGCTCAGGGATCACTCCTAGTGGTGCTCGGGGGACCGAGTGTGTTGCCAGGAATGAAACTATACCTCCATGGCTAGTGCCTTCTATGCTGTAGAATATTGCTCCCGCCCTTCACAGAGACTTTTGACATTTTCAGTCTTTTGTTGCTCATCCCAAGAAACTGGGGTCATATGTGAGAAACCGAGGCCCTCTGGAGGAGTCGTTGTTTGCAGAAGACTCAAGGCTAGACTAGGTTGAGCCTGTGCTGAGACTCAACAGTGCAGGTGTTCATGCCAGATTGCTGTGGGAACCCGCCGACGGGCTCCATGGAGGCCCTCAGAGACATCGAGGATTCCAGCCTTGAAAATAGAGAATCTGGGGCCCGAACAATAGCACAACGGGTAGGGCGTTTGCCTTGTGTGCCGACCCGGGTTCAAACCCCAGCATCCCATATGGTCCCCCAAGTACCACCAGGAGTAATTACTAGTGTGGAGCCAGGAGTAACCCCTGAACCTCACCTGGATGGGACCCAAAAAGGAAAAAAGAGAGAGAATAAAGAATCCACTGAGTTCATACTGACTTCAAAGAGCAAGTAATTATGCCGGGGAGGAGAAAATGTTGTTCATTTTATGTTAATAGCAAAATTAAAAATGCAATGAGAAAAACTACACTGCCAACCATCTTAGTGCCCGGTTCAGACAAGAATTATTAACGCAGAGCCAGAGTGATAGGACAGCGGTTACAGTGTTTGCGAAGCTAGAGTGATAGGACATGGTTACGGTGTTTGCCTTGCAATGAGGCTGAGCAATGCGGCTGATCCGCGTTCGGTCCCTGGCACCCCATATGGCCCCAGAGTCCAGGCGGGAGTGATGTCTGATACTGGTGTTTTGTGGTTGGGATCTGAGGTCAGGTAAACCATACACATAGAATTTGATCATGGCTGATTGTAAAGTTGGGTGCTACAGATAACTTTTTAAATTACAGTACCTCAAAAAAGTATTTTAAAAAAAAGAATCATTAACGGATGTCAAGAAAAGGGCATGTGAGATTCAGGTTGTGCATATGAGGTTGTGCATATGAGACTGTGGAGTAAGATGACACTTATGGCTCTTTGAATCACATCTCCATAAGACAATTTTTCATAGCTGGCAGACAAACCTCGCGGACCTCACTTAGCCAGAGCTCAGTCGCTTTACCGTGATGACACTAAGGAACAGCAAGTTTCTCCTAGTTTTATTTTTCCTTTTTTTTTTTTCCTTTTTGGTTTCTGGTCCACACCCAGCAATACTCAGGGCTTACTCTGCACTCAGAGTTCACTCCTGGAAGGCTTGGAACCTTCCATGCCAGGTTCCAGGCATTGAACCCGGGTCAGCCACATGCGAGATAAGTGCTTTCTTAACTTATCACAGTTGAATGCTGGTTAGCTCTCCAGGCCCAGCAAGTATATCCTGAGGAGGATATACTGAGGAGGAGAACCCTGCCGCCTGTGGGGCTCCTGCCAAATGAGTGGTACCACGTCTGGGGCCAGATTCGGTCCACTGAGGCACTAGGCAAGACTAAGTTGTGAAACAAAATAACTGGAGGCTGAAGAAAGGTGACTGGCACCCAAGAGGGAGAAAGCAGGCGCTTGCCTTGCATGTGGCTGACCCTGGTTCAATTCCTGTCACTAAGGTGGTCTCCTCAGCGTAATTAGGGGCTGCTCCTGCACTGCCACGTGTGGCTGTCCACCCACCCCAGAAAAGGCAGCTTCTGGGGCCAGAGAGTACAGGGGCTGGGGAACTTTACATGCTGCCGGAACTGGCACCACAGTCCCCAGCACCATATACGGTCCCAGGTGTGGGCCCCACCCCCATCAATCAAGAAATAGATATTATAACAGAATGCCCATGTGAGGGCCCAAGGAATGATACAGCAGGTAGGGCACTTGGCTGGCACATCATGTGGTGCCCTGAACCCCGCCAGGGAGATCCCTGATTGCAGAGCCAGGAGTAAATTCTGAGCACCAGCTGTGGTCCCCAAACCAAAATATTAGAATATTAAAAATATCAAAACAATGTCCATAGAGAAGTGTCTCTGCGGCTGTCATGTTGCAGGGACATTACCCACCTCCCCCCATACAGCCTGTCGGCTGTTCCTGCATGGAGTGTGTCACTACCTGGACTGCTTCACTGTGGGTTTGCCAGTTTCTCAGGACGAAGCACAGAAGGGTGAAAGGGCCTTGGGCTCCACCAGCCTTAGGGCCGCCCCCGCAGCCAAGCCCTGGCACAGAGGGGCACCTGGCCCTGGCGGGCGCCCGTGGGTCAGGAGGATGGCAGGCACTGCCACTTTGTCCCCACGCCATGCCAGACCTGCCTCCCGGCAGTTTCCAGGAAGGAGAAATGAAGCCAGAAGTAGAAGCCTGTGTGCTCCTAGAGGTGCCTCAGAAGGCATCGGTCTTCTCGGGCACTCCCCGAGGAACCTGCACTCACCTGTCTCTGCGGGTCTCTGTGTACTCCCCGGGGACTCCTCAGTGGCATTGTCTATCAGCCCCAGAGGAGCTGGTGTCACCTCAGAGAGGTGCATGGTCCCAGCCCCATGGTGGTCCAAGGAGCTCCTTCCCGAGAAGGAGCATCATGTCTCCAGACAGTGAATAGTGTATACAGGGCTTCTTGTTCATCGATTTGCTTGAGCGTTAACGTCTCCATTGTGAGACTTGTTGTTGCTGTGTTTGGCATATCAAATACGTCACGGGTAGCTTGCCAGGCTTTGCCGTGCGGGTGAGATACTCTCGGTAGCTTGTCGGGCTCTCTGAGAGGAGTGGAGGAATCAAACCTGGGTCTGCCAGGCTGGCCGCATGCAAGGCAAACGCCCTACCATTGTGCTATAGCTCCAGCCCTAGCAGGGCTTCTTATTCTTTCTTAAAAAAAATTTTTGAGGCACTCTCGATTTACAATACTGTTAATGGTAGGAATTCATGAATGCAGAGTTCCAAGCCCAGATGGGAGGAAGTGTCCGCTGCCCCTGCGTCACCATATCCCTGTCCAGGTGAGCTCAGTTCTGTCACCCCACTCTCAGGCCCTGTTGCCATTGGCCATTGTTAAGCCCTTGCCCTGTGTCATTATGGCCCACACAGGAGAGACCCTCCTGTCTGACCCTTGCCTTCTGACTGGCCTGCCCTGCAGGCCCTCCCATTGCCCTGATCACTTCCGTGTTTCCAGTAAATTGATCTTTACTGTTGGTAGTTGCTATCTTCCTTCTTTTTTGCAGCACGCACCTGGTTGGGGCACCAGCCCTGTCCTGTCCTGTGTCTAGGCCTGGCCTGAGAGGTCAGTTGGCTGTCCTGATCACAGCTCATCCCAGGACAGCACTTACAGCCCCTTTCTTTCCATCTGACGGGCTGATGAAAGCCCAGGTCTGACTCCCACCCAGGGCCAGGCAGCCCCGTAATGCCTCTTATGCAGAGATTGCAGAGATGCGGTCTCCAGGTTGGCTAGCTCTGTCCCCCTCAGCGTGGCGGCTCCCAGTGGTGCTTCCAGTAGTGCTTCAGAAATGCAGATGCCTTAGGTGCCACTGTGGGGGTAGTTTGGAAAACAGAGGGTCTTCAGCATGAAACATCAGTGTTGTCCTGTACTGGGCCAGGGAGGTAGTGCTGTGTGTCTTGCACACAGCCAGCTGGCTTCAATCCCTGCCACCATGTACGGTCTCCTGAGCCCCACCAGGACTGATTCCAAAGTAAGATCCAGGAGAGAGCCCAGAGCACCACCAGGCATGACCCAGCAATAAACAGGAGTGTTATGAAGAGATGCTTAGTCTGTGGATGCAGAGAAGGACCAGTGTCCCCCAGTATCCAGTCTGGTCCCTGCTAATGGCATTGATTGGGGCCATCTCCTTCCAGTGCACCAGGTGGCTGAGCGCGTAGAAGCCCTTGGCCAGTTTGTCATGAAGACCAGAAGGACCCTCAAAGGCCACGGAAACAAAGTCCTCTGCATGGATTGGTGCAAGGATAAAAGGCGGATCGTGAGCTCGTCCCAGGTATGCCACGGCCTCCTGTTCTGTGCACAGCCAGGGTGGGGGGAACGCCGTTTGCAAACCCTCCTGGTGGGCTCTGTGACTGCATGTTCTCCGAAGGAGTCAAGAGTTCTCTGGCATCCTCTAGAACTTCACTACTTTGGGTAGATTGGAAATGCTTGAAAATTACGTTTGATGAGCCAGTGAAAATTATTTCTCCCTGAGCATATTTTGAGACCATTTTTGTTTGTCCAGATTGAAGGTGTTAGTGATTGCATTCAGTCTAGGAGTTCAGCAGTTCTTTTTGTTTGTTTGTTTGTTTGTTTGTTTTGAGCATACCCAGCAATGCTCTGGGCCCTGCACTCAGGAATTACTCCCAGCAGCACTCAGGATTATATGGGGTGCCGGGGATGAACCCGCGTTAGCCATGTGCAAAGCATGTGCCCTTTCCACTATATTGTCGCTCCATCCCAGTTTAGCAATTCTTAGTCCTTCAGGGACTAATGTAAGGGATGTAGCGTTCTGAGAGTACCAGGCACAGACTGATCTCAGGCCTGCGTGGGCCCTGTTTGTAGATATCCCCCAGGGCAGTGGCGGGGCTCTCATGGCCTGTGGGGCTTGTGGTCTCTTGGGAACGGCCCCAAGGGTGCCTAGTGGGGTGATGAGGGAGAAAACCCCAGGCCTGTAGCTCCTGTCAGGTACTAAAGGGCATTTCCGGTCTACCTTGCACCTCGACCACTTGGCATTTGAAGATGTGGCAGGTGGTGGCATTTGCCCACAGCTTGTGCTGGGTTTATGCTGGCAGAAGGATGCACTGGGGTGCTGCTCCTTGGTTTTTCCTCCCAGCTGGTAACATGGCGATGAGGGCTTAAGGCAGCCAGAAGGTATAACCCTCTCACTGACCTGTTTCCCTGGGGTAAGCTGGACAGACTTGACTGTCCAGATAATCATTCTCACATTCCATTGCTCACCTCTTTATTCTTCTACTCCCCTGCCCAGGACGGGAAGGTGATCGTGTGGGACTCTTTTACCACTAACAAGGTAAGATACTTGGAGGGCCACAGTGCTTCGTGGGGACACAAGACGGCAGGCAGGGCACACATGTGCCCGTGTGGCCCCCAAACCGACCACCGCCCTCCATCGAAGGTGCTATAGCCAGCACCCAGCTCTGGACCATTAAAAGCCCCGAGCATTTTTTTCTTTTTTTTTTTTTTTTTTGCTGTTTGGGTCACACCCAGTGATGCTCAGCGATTGCTCCTGGCTCTGCACTCAGGAATTACTGCTGGAGGTGCTCAGGGTACCATATGGGATGATGGGAATCGAACCCGGGTGGGCTGCGTGCAAGGCAAATGCCCTACCTGCTGTACTATCGCTCCAGCCCCAAAGCCCTGAACATTTCTTGGGAGAATGCTCCCCCCCAAAAAAGTATTTTACCTTTTAGAGGGTGTAACTTTGGTTATGCCAGTCTTGATCCCGCATAACCACCTTTGCCCTTTGAAATGGCTCTGACAGCGGCTCTGGGTTTGTGCTGTGGGAGTGGGTAGCTGGGGTTGGCACCAGCAAGCCCCTCAGCCCTCTCTTCTCTGTGTTTCAGGAGCACGCCGTGACCATGCCCTGCACATGGGTGATGGCCTGTGCCTATGCGCCCTCGGGCTGCGCCATCGCCTGCGGGTAAGTAGGGGGCACAGACGTTTCCCCACTCCCCGAGGGCCCAGGGACTCTGGGCACGAGCTGGTTACTCTATCCAGGGGGACATTCAGACCAGTGGGAGTCTCAGTGTCAGACAGTGTCCTCTGCTCCCAAGTGCCGATGGCAGCCTCTGTGAGTTAGTGCTGTAGCTCGGGCAGCATGTTGGTGATGCCAGAGTGAAAGAGTTGTTCGAAAGCCCCCCTTCCTGCCCCATATCCAAGTCTGGGACAGTTTGAGCATCACATGGAGCAATGATAGAAATTGTGCATCTCTCTTATTTTTAAAGAGAAAGAAAATCATCTATAGGTGTACAGAGCTTGGGGGAGGGACATTCTTCTTTATAGAAAATGCTAGCAGGGAATTATTAAATCATAAAATTTTGTGCCATTTTCTACCCCTAACTAATTTTTATTTAAAGGAAAGCTATTTTTAACAATGTGAAGTTTTGTAATCCAGAGCACAAAATAAAGTTTCATTGTGTGTGTCTTTAGTTTCTTTCATCAGTATCGAACAGTTTTTAATGTAATTTTTGAGCTCTCCTGGTTAAATTTATTTCCAGATTTTTTTAGTGAAATTATTAGTATATTTTATTAATTTATCTTTTTAGTAATGTTTAACATACATAAATGTAACATGTTTGATACATTGATTTTATATCCTGGAACATTATTAAGTTCATTTATGAGATTTAATAATTTGGAGTAGGGTGAAGTCTACAATGTTTTCTACATTTTATAATATTATTAATCTTCAAATAGTGACAGTTTAACTTCTTCCTTTTCAATTTCTATGCTTTTATCTCTTGTTAAAGTTGTTTCTTTTTGATAGCACAGCAGGTAGGGCATTTGCCTTGCACGCAGCCCACCCAGCCGACTTGGGTTCAATTCCTCCGCCCCTCTCGGAGAGCCCGGCAAGCTACCGAGAGTATCTTGCCCGCACAGCAAAGCTTGGCAAGCTACCCGTGACGTATTCAATATGCCAAAAACAGTAACAACAAGTCTCATGATGTAGACGTTACTGGGCCCACTCGAGAAAATCGATGTACAACGGGAGGGCAGTGCTACAGTGCTATTTGGAGGATAGGATATTCATAAGGTCTCCACAAATTGTTCCTGATTGCCAGAAGAGGGGGGTCACACTTTGACCAAGTTTTCAAAGTTAGCATCACCAGGGCAGGAGGAATAATAGGACAGGGCAGGGTACTTGCCTTGTACACCTCTGGGCCAGGTTCAATCCCCAGTATCCCAGATGGTCCCGAGTCCACCAGGAGTGATCCCTGAGTGTAGAGCCAGGAGTAAGCCTTGAGCACTGCCGGATGTGCTCCCTCGAGCCTCCCTCCCCCTACACACACACACACACACACACACACACACACACACACACACACGATGTGATGATGATTTAGTGACTCCATAGGACAGTGTTCTTATTTTGGGGGAGATACAGTTTTGCAGATTGAAGCATTTAGACATAATACCTCAGGTCTGCAGTTTGTAGTTAAATGGTTCATAATTTGACCCCACCCCCCTCCCAAAGAAAAATAGAATACAGTGCCAAGTCCAAAAATAGATACAATGCCAAGTCCAAAAATAGGATACAATGCCAGGTTCCTGCATCTGGGAGAATCTGCCCTCTAGTTGTCGGAATTTCTTTTGACTTTACTGTGTCTCTGAATAGCATCAAAACAAAAACTGGGGGAGGGGGGATGGTTGCAATCCAGGATGCATTAACCCTGGGGTGAATTTTTGGCAATCTTGAGCTCAGTGCTAGGCCCTTCGCCATGCTGGACACCTGTTTCTCGCAGGGGTCTGGATAATAAGTGTTCCGTGTACCCCCTGACCTTCGACAAGAACGAGAACATGGCTGCCAAGAAGAAGTCCGTGGCCATGCACACCAACTACCTGTCGGCCTGCAGCTTCACCAGCTCGGACATGCAGGTGGGTGGGGCGCACGGGACAACCAGCAGGCAGCGCCTGTGCACGGTGAGGGTGGCCCTCGGCTGTGGGAGCAGGAGGGAACCCCAGGCTGTGCCCACTCTGCCCAGCTCAGCATGTCGGCCTCTTCATTCCTGCTCCTACCACCGTGCATGAAGTTCTGACATCTGTGCCATTCTCAGTGGGCTGGGAGTGAAATGGCGCGGCTGCCAGAGGCTCAATGCAGGTGGCGCTCACTTCCCCAGATTGACCTGGTCCCCAGCACAGCCCTGCTCAGGGGGGTGTGAGGGGATGGCCCATTTAAGGGGAGCTGGGAGAGGTCGGCAGCCTGAGAGGGGTCTCTGAAGGCCTGAGCGCGCCCTGCGGACAGTGAGAACCGTGCAGGGGCAGGCGGGTCATGTTTGAGGGTTTTCAGGGCAGGGCTGCCCCCAGTGGTGCTCGGGGCCCCAGGTGCTCTCCTGGTGATCCTCAGGCCATATCTGGTGGCGCTGAGCCTGGACATTCTGCCTGGCCTTTGCCGTGCAGGGCTACTTAGGGACGGGAGTACCTGTGAGTATTCTTGGCCTTTTGCCGGTGGGAGGACGGGAATGGGCCCATGGCATTACGTGGCGTTCCGTAGCACAGTGCCTCAGTCAGGAAGTGCATGGCCAGGCAAGTGTCCGCAGTTGCCTTGGCCAGCCCTGGCCATGTTGCTGCATGTACATGGGCCTCTGAGGGGAGGCCAAGGCAGGTGTCAGCACCCCTGAATGCTTTGCAGCCGTGGTGGTGCCCTGAGCAGGGCCTCTGGGACATTCTTGGGAGCTGTGCCTGCGAGACCTGAGAGCCTGGGAGCTTTCTGGCCATATGAGGACAAGGACCTCCCTGGGTGGCCTGGTGGGAACTCCCCTCGGTGGAGCAGTGCTGGCACAGGCCCGGGGAGTGGCTGTCCCACCTTGCCCCTTCCTGTGAGGGGTGTGTGGCAGGCCAGGGAGAGGAGAGAAAAAACACTGGCGTGGCTAGGGTCACCACACTGTCCTTCACCCGCCGATGACATTCTGTGTCGGCATGGACATCACAGGAGTATGCGGACGCCGTGCAGCAGCCACATTCCCCTCCCCCCCGTGCAGATCCTGACAGCGAGCGGGGACGGGACGTGCGCCCTGTGGGATGTGGAGAGCGGGCAGCTCCTGCAGAGCTTCCACGGGCACGGCGCCGACGTGCTCTGCCTCGACCTGGCGCCCTCGGAGACCGGCAACACCTTCGTGTCGGGGGTGAGCTCCCCGCACCGGGGTGGGAGGGTGTGGGGGAGGCCATGCTAGGGGCAAAGGGTGCCTCTCAAGCAGGAACTGACATCTCACAGTAGGGTCAGCACACGGTGGGCAGCACAGATCTCCACATCCTGGTGGGCGCCCACCTGCTCTGCTGCTGGTGTGCCCAGTTCACGGGGAGCTGGGAGTTTCTGCTGGTAGTGAGAGATGGCCCACAGGGTGTGTCTGCCACTTCTAAAAGTGACATGGCTCGGGGGCCAGAGCAATAGTGCAGCTGGGGGCGGGGGGAGGGTGCTTGCCTTGCACGTGGCCAACCTGAGTTCGATCCCTGGCTTTCCATACGGACCCTTGGGTCCATAAAGAATAACTCCTGAGCTTGAAGCCAGGAGCATTGCTGGCTGTGGCCCCCAAACAAACCAAATGTGCTAAAATGTCATTGCGCAGGGACCAGAGAGTAGAGCAGATTAAGGCACCTGCCTTGCACACACAGCACACCTGGGTTCAATCCCCTAAATTCGCTAGGGGTCCCTCAGTCCCACCAGTGGTGATCCCTCAGCATATCCCGTGTGACCCAAACAAAAATAAAACCAAGAAGTCTTTGCTCCACACATAGCTGGTGGGATAGCAGGAGACAGAGCTCCATGTATACAGAATGCAGTGCCTGCTGAGGGGGCAGGTGTGTGTCCTGGGGATTTGGGCAGCAGCCCTCCGCTCCCCTGTACCTGGCTCCCGGGAACCTACTTCAGAAGGCTCCAGGCAGAGCTCACCGCTACCAGGACTCCAGGGCTCATGTGTCTTCGCCTGCACACTGCCCAGGAGGCAGCAACGGGCCTCCACCCCGCCTCCTCCAAAACGCCGCTCCTCCTCCCTCTGCCCTTTGCCCTGAGTGTCTGAGGAGAGGACGGTGACTCACTCCAGAGCCCTTATATCCGAGCTGTGTGCCGCAGGCTGCACCTAGACTCCTGGGGTCTCTGGCCCACCCGTGTCCTCTGTGCCCAGCATGCTTCTAGCTAATTTTTACATTGGTGCCACACTAGGGTATAAAGTACACACAGATTTTTATACCCACTTCAAACGAGTGAGGTGGGCGCCAGAGCGAGCACAGGGATTGCTGTACTTGCCTTGCATGAGGGAAGATCCCGGTTTGATCCCCAGTACACAGAACGTCTCCCGAGCCCCACCCAGTGTGACCTGCCCCTGCCCCCCCCTTAAGGAGCCTCTCCCATCTGGGGCATTCTCTAAAGATCTCCACATCCTGGTGGACACAGTGCCCCTTCATGCCCACCTCCTCCCACCCCACCAGATGTTCAGGGCTGACTCCTAATTAGGCCCAGGGGACCTCGCGGCATTCTGGGACCAAGCCCGAGTTTAACCAACCCGTTTGCAGCTGACTGTTGAGGGTCCCCCATTGAACCCTGCCAGCTCGCAGCAAGGCTGCTGGTAGGAAACCGTCAGGGTGCCCAATCATGTGAGCACCTGAGCACCTTCCTGCTTCATTCCTCTGGGCAGCATGGACACCGCAGCCACGTCACGGTGCTGGGCACAGCCCTTGAGAGGCCGGCTCCTGGATTCTCGTAGTCTGCACACTCCCAGCCAGGCATGTGGCAGGGCTGGCCACCTGCAGGACAAGTGCGCTGCCCGCTGTCCTGTTTTTCCAGCCCCCACTCTGGCCTTTTAAGGACTTGGTGGTCTTAGGTGAAGCAGTCTCAGGAAAAAAATGTGTGGTTGGCCACTTATCCAAGTGGCAGGTGGTGTAGGCCACACCCAGAGGTGCTCAGGGGCCACGCTTGGTGCTGCTGGGGACATATACAGTGTCTGGAGGCATTCCTTGAAGTGGCCATAACTGGGGTCTGTTTGCGTTTGTAGGGATGTGACAAGAAAGCCATGGTTTGGGACATGCGCTCTGGCCAGTGTGTGCAGGCCTTTGAGACCCACGAGTCCGACATCAACAGTGTCCGGTCAGTGAGTAGCCCCTGTCTTCCACTGTTGCCAGACTCAGAGTCCAGCCCAGCCTAGACTCTGCCTTCACATTGTCCACTTGAGCTCAAAGTGTGGTGTTCCCAGCACAAACAGCTGGTGTGGGGACTCGAGCAATGCTCCAGAGCTCTTGGAGACTTTTATAGTACTTGCCCCCAAGAGCAGTCGGCATTATTGTACCGAATAGAGTGAGCACAGTTTACCCATTTATCCACTTAGTGTAGATAAATGTAGAACCTCCCTTGCACACTAGCCACTGACTCCAGCGTAGTTCACAGCTATCAGGGAGATAGACACGGGCTATTCTGCAGGGTTAAACAGATGTGTGAGTCCAGAAGAATGTGGACCAGGGAGTGGGTAGGGATAGCCGAGAAGGTGGCATGATTGCAGAGGTGAGAGAAACCGTAAGAAGCTGACCGAGGGCTGCAGAGACAGAGCAGTGGGGAGGGCAGTGGCTTGCATGCACTGGCCCAGTTTGATTCCCAGCACCCTGGACAGTTCCCCGGGCACCACTTGGTGTGGCTCATGAATACAGCGCGCTGCTGGGTGTGGCCCAGAGCACCCCATCAGATGGGTAGCCCATCTGGCACACCGCGTGTGTCGGATGATGTCCCTCCCACAGTTGGCACAGGTGCTGTCGCGATGACCTGGCCTGCCGATCTCACCGTGGGCACACATGGCAGAGCTGCCAGGATGTGCTGGCACCAGGGTCTGAGCTCAGGCTGCAGGCGTGTGGTACAGCCATCCTCCTTTACCCAGGCCCAGGCTCAGGGACGCCAACACTTCCTCCCGCCCACAGTTCTCAGGCGGCTGCAGCCCTGCCGCATTGTACTGCTGGCCGCCAGGGTCTGGATATGGTGTTTGCTCAGAACGGCTGAATGGTCAGGGCACAGCAGATCTGTGGGGGCTCCTGAGGTCCTGCCCGCCCCTTGGGGAGAGGGCAGGGGGCAGTGTCGCCTTACTGAAGCTTGCAAATGTAGGAAGGTGTTACCAGAGTAGACTGAGAAATCGGGGACCCTGAGTCTTGTCTAAGGAGCGCTGAGGGGTGAGCTGGTGCAAAGACCTTGAGACAGTCAGATCTGCCAGAATCTTCAATATCCTTGGTAGGAAAACACAAAGTGTGTTCTCTGGAAGAACACAAGGAAAATGCCTGGCCAGCAGCAGGAAGGTTAGCAGGATTGTCCAGCTCCCTGCCCTCAAAGGCAGCACAGGGAGAAAGGAAATAAAGGGAACCTCATTCTGGGAGAAAGGACGGGAAGGCTTGTGATGCCCCAGCTCGGGCTGGCAGTGTTAGGGTCTGGCAGAGCAGCACCCATTCGTGTTCAGGGGACCCTACAGGACTGGGTTGGAGTTGTGTGCTTCAGACATGCACATCTTGTGCCCTAGCCATCTGAGCTGCCTTCTGGCCCCTGCTAGTACTGTTTGACTCAAGTGTGACCTGTTGGAGATAGTATCGGCCTCACCTGTCAGGTGCTCAACCTGCATCATGGCATCCTCCCTGAGCTCTAAGTTGCGCCTGCGAGTGAGCCGTGGGATGCAGGGAGATGCTGATGGGCCACTCTCGGGATCTGGTGCAGGAACATCTCACTCACTCTACCAACAGCTCCAGCAGCCGCCCTGTCCCCATACAGTGAGAAGCCCGTGGGCGGCCCCAGGAGCCTCTGAAACAAGTGGGTTCCCAGGACTCCTCAGGGTCGTCCCTTCCAGATAGTTCTCCCAGACGCCCAGTACTGGAAGCAATGCCTCTAAACCACCTGCTTTCTCCTGCTTTCTGCAGCTACTACCCGAGTGGAGATGCCTTTGCTTCAGGATCGGATGATGCCACGGTACGTCTCTAAATTCTGGAGAGCATCTCCTGTTCGAGAAAGAGATGTGCTGGCTGAATTGGGTGTTTCCTTTTTTTTTTCCTTCAGATTTTTGGGCCACACCCAACATTGTTCAGGGCTTATTCCTGGTGGGACTCAGGGATGCAATACTGGGGATTAGACCTGGGCTAGGTGCACACAAGTTCCCTTTCTGCTGTACTATCTCTAAGGTCTTAATTGTGTGTTTCAAAGGCAACTTTTCTCCAATATAGTAATAAGTATCTTTATCTTGTGATGAGGTTAACCTGGCAAAGCCATTGGAAACCAAATGCAATAGTGTATTGAAAACAGGGAAACCACCCAGTGTCCTAGCTTAGGGTCACTGGCTTGCCCTCATGACCCTGCTACTGCCAGCACAGAGCATGAGTGTTAAGAGTCCCTAGTGCCTGAATATCACTCTTGGGCCTGAGCACTGCCCCTCCCTCCTCTAGGCTGGAACTTTCAGTTGAACCATGTAAATTGAATTCAGAAGTGAGATAAACTGGGGGTCCATCCATTTAAATATAGACATCAAATGGAATAAACCTGAAAAGATCAGGGGCTGGAGCAATAGCACAGCGGGGAGGGCGTTTGCCTTGCACGCGGCCGACCCGGGTTCGATTCCCAGCATCCCATATGGTCCCCTGAGCACCACCAGGGGTAATTCCTGAGCGCAGAGCCAGGAGTAACCCCTGTGCATAGCCAGGTGTGACCCAAAAAAAAAAACAAAAAAAAAAAGATCAGTCTAGACGTTAGTAATTATCTCAACAAGTTGAGCCTTTATTGCCCTCTTTATGTTTTTCTGTATGGTTTTTGTCCCCTGACTACTCTAAAATGAACTTGTAGGCTTTATCAGAAAAAAAATGTTTCACTTTTGTTCTGTGCCTGAAGAAATCTTCTGTGTTTGCTGCTTATCTCCACTGATCAAATAGGTAAATAAGAATCAGTGTTTGGAGTGATAGCACAGCAGGATGGGCACTTACCTTGCATGCAGCCGACCCAGGTTCCATCCCTGACACCCCATATGGTTCTCCAAGCCCTGCGAACAGTGATCCCTGAGCACAGAGCCAGGAGGAAGCCCTGAGTACAGCTGGGTGCGAAATATCCACCCCCCCAAAATAAAAGTAGGACTCTGGTTTAAGGATGAATTCGGAAAGTGTAGAGCTTAGCCCTCACACTGCCATAGAGCCCCTGGGCCCTGCTTCCCTCAACTGGCCCTGCAGCTCAGTGCTCCTTGTCTGTGTTTGTGCCACAGTGTCGTCTCTATGACCTCCGTGCCGACCGGGAAGTGGCCATCTACTCCAAGGAAAGCATCATTTTTGGAGCGTCCAGCGTGGACTTCTCCCTCAGTGGTAAGACCGGAGGACATTTCCCAGGACTGGAAAGCGGGCCCCCTCTCCAGGGAATGCCCTGATGCTCAGTAATCTTGATGGGATGCAGAGGCCAGGGCTTGCCCAGTAATTGGCCTCTGTGCTCTGCACATAAGGACCTCCCCTAGCCCCAGAAGAAATGAGGCCAGAACTCCACATCTATTGAAAAGCTGCATCTTCAGAGCTTTTAGGCACATCCTTCCCATCATTGCCTTTCCCCCAGCAGTGGAGCAGCTGAAGCATGGCCCCCTCTGAATGCCCTGGATTTGTGGCACCTCTGCCTTTGAGCTCAGGAGGCTTGAAATGACAGAATGCTGTGATGGCCCTTCCGTTTCCCCAGGCACGTGCTCCACACACACACACACACACACACACCTGTTCCTTTGCATACATGCTGCCACTGTGGCCGGGCATCCCTTCCTCTGTGATTGCATTGCATTCCATACACACTCGGCCCCTTCTCTAAGTCTGCAGTGATCCATGTGTCTGCCTATCCGTGGCACCTGCACAGCAGTAGCAGCTAAGGCTTTCTCTGGCCCTGGCTTAGAGTCACTGGTGGGTGAATGGTGGGTGGGTGAGCAAATGAGTCAGGAAAAGAGAGCACAGCTTCCTAACCCTCGTGTTTTCCTGCCTGAGGTCGCTTGCTGTTTGCCGGGTACAATGACTACACCATCAACATCTGGGATGTTCTCAAGGGGTCCCGCGTCTCCATCCTGTTTGGACATGAGAACCGTGTCAGCACGCTGCGTGTTTCCCCCGATGGCACTGCTTTCTGTTCCGGGTCGTGGGACCACACCCTTCGAGTAAGAGAAGCGAGTTTTGCTGGCAGTGTTCGAGCCTTCCTGAGGTGTCAGCATGCAGGGGTGGGGGGTGGGGGTAGGAGGGAGATGGCTCAATCAGGCAGAGCCATAGGTCTAGCAGAAGGGCAGCTTGCAGGCAAGCTCATGAGCCTTCATCCCAGCATCCATTAAACATGGTTATTCTCACAGTTGAGGGGACAGTCTAGTTAGGAGCTTCAGATGTTGTCTTCTGACCTGAAAGATCTGCCAATAGCCTTTGGCAAACTGCAAGGCAGTCTGACCGACCAGTACATGGAGGTCTTACTCTGTGGCCCTGGACTCTTAGGAGACCCACAGAGGGGTGTAGGGAGCACCCCAGCCCCTGAGAGCATATGCTAATTACATGTATGCATTTTCCTATCAAAAGTGTCCTCAGGGTATCAAACTAAGCTGTTCTTAAAGCAAAAACTAAATGTGTTGCTTACCCTAGTGAGGGAGGTCATAAACCAGAGGGTCTTCGTGGTGACTGGAAGCCGAGCAAACATTCCCAGGTCTAGGTTCTAATGGCAGGACATAACTAGGAGCTGGCAAGTTGGAGGCATCATAGTTCCATTTGCTGGGCGGAAGGTAGATTTCGGTGTCTTGAAACAGTCATTCGTGGATGTAACTGTTTCAGCGCCTCACTCAAGTAGTCTGATCTTAGGGCACATAGGTAAAATACTTGCAAAGTTCCTGAAACATTACAATTCTGACTACATCTCCTCTGTAAGGTTCCTGGACAAGCAAAGCGTGTACGTGGCACCAGCGAGCTGTGTTGATATAGATGGTTTCAGCATTCTCAGAGTTACTGACCCTTAAAAGGGGCCACAAACGTCCTTCAGAATAATGGGGTCCATGTATAGGGATTAAGAAACATCTTTGAGGGGCTGGAGCAATAGCACAGCGGGTAGGGCATTTGCCTTGCACGCAGCCGACCTGGGTTCTATTCCCAGCATCCCATATGGTCCCCCAAGCACCGCCAGGAGTGATTCCTGAGTGCAAAGCCAGGAGTAACCCCTGGGCATCACCAGGTGCGACCCAATAAGGAAAAAAAAAAGATCTTTGAGTAAAGAGTAAGGAGTGAAGCATTAGCTTCCATGGGAATGGGGGCATGTCACCTTGATTTTCTTCCCATAAGCTCAGTTAACTACCAAGGGACTAAACATCTGCTTGTGTCTTTGCAGGTCTGGGCTTAGTCTCCTCCTCACAGTGCACATCTGTGAGTCCCATGTGGAATCGCACCTGACTTTCAGCATGTGCGAGGGTTGTTGGTTGCACCGTGGCTGGACATGCGCTGCATCTCAGCTCAGATACCACCTCTGGAACCTTCTCGGTGTCTGCACTTAGAACCACAGGAGTCAGTAGTACTTTTCATTTTAGATACTTTTTCAGATATCTATTTTTAAGGTTATTCCAATTATACTTGTCTCCGCTTGGCTCATTCTATTAACATTGGATTTCTGTATGTAATATGTCCCATATTATTCCTTAAATCAAATGTATGATTGGAATACTTTTAAATGGATTTAAAAGAAACATTTATTTATTTTGAGGTGCTGTGACTTACAGTACTGTTAGGATAGTATCAGACATATGTCATTCCAGCACCCCACCCTCCACCAATTTAAGTGGATTTAAAGTGGATTTCCTTGTATGCACTGTGATTTGTGCCACCTTTCTCTAGAAATACTCATGTTAAAGGACTATATGAGAACTGTTTTAGGTGAACCTGTAATAGAAGTTTCAGTTCTAGATGTAATTGGACTGAATCACTTTTTTTTAAGGTCTTGCATCCTATTGTCTGTGAACTGCTATAAATGATACAGGTACATAAAATGGACAGGATTTTTGATTTATGATTTCTGTGATGATATATGACTTTCATTTGAGGTAAAGCTAATGCTATTTGCAATACAGATGCTTCTCAGAGCAGCAAGTCTTTCTCTGTGAAAACACAACTTCTTTATATTTAAAATCGGTCAAGAGTATTAGAGGTATTAGAAGTCACAGTATCCACTCAGACTAAAGTGAATCTTGTCCATAAAAATTATGCTCAGGATGTTTTGCTTTGCAGTCATAATTATATACATAAATTAATTGGCACATCTAGTATTATGTTTGTTTCTCATGTTGAAAAAAATAACAAAAATAGCTTACCTTTATTTGAAATTTAGCAAGCACTTCCTTTGGAAAATACCAAGGACTTTTGATAGTTTTTTTTTGGTTTTTTTTTTTTTTTTTTTTTTTTTTTTTTTTTTTTTTTTGCTTTTTGGGTCACACCCAGCGATGCAAAGAGGTTACTCCTGGCTCTGCACTCAGGAATTACCCCCCTGGCAGTGCTCAGGGGACCATAAGGGGTGCTGGAAATCGAACTTGGGTCGGCTGCATGCAAGCCAAATGCCCTACCCGCTGTGCTATCAATGAAGCCCCCTAGGTTTGTTACTTTTCCTTTTTTTTTTTCTGTGAAATGGATATTTTTTTTTCTTTTTGGGGTCACATCCAGCAATGCACAGTGATCACTCCTGGCTCTGCACTCAGGAATTACCCCTGGTGGCGCTCAGGCGATCATATGGGATGCTGGGAATTGAACCTGGGTCGACCGCGTGCAAAGCAAATGCCTACCCGCTGTGCTATCGCTCCAGCCCCAGAAGCGGATAGTTTTTATTAAACAAAATTTACATATACATGAAGGGAAAGAAAAAGAGGGATCTGTATTCCAGGGTCACAGGCTTGAGCAAGCCCCATATTTTTTAAGCTGCAGAAGCTTGTTTAAAAAAAAAATAACCTTCAGAGAGATGGCAGGTAGGGAGATTAAAAGGGCATTCAGGCAGAAGTCAGGCTGCAGTGGTGCTGACACTCATCTGGCCCCGTCTCTGACCCTCAGTGCTCTGTGTACTCAGAGAATCGCTTTTCTCTTGGCACTCATTCCGGCTTCACAGGTCCAGCTCTGATTCTGCTTCGCAGACAGACCCTTCCAGAGGTGAATCAGGGTCTACCACTGGGCGGGCCTGAACTCAGCACTCCTTTGAACACTAGAGCCAGACCTTCTTGTCCAGTAGCCCATGTCATGGCCAGTGAGAAAAAATAAAGCCTGGCCATCTCCTCCATTCAAATAAGCATCTTGTCCATCACTTTCCAAGCAGACAGTGACCAAAGGTTTCACAGCATAGCAGGTCCTGAGGGAGTTCAGGACAAAGATTAGAGCCTGTTCTTTTCCACAGCTGCTAAAGGAGCCAGGTTCCAGGCCATTGGAATTTCTGATCTAAACTTCCCATTCCCCCTCTAGAATGTTCCAGAGTTCACGATTGGTCTCGCAGTTCTCTCTCTCTGACAGACCCTTTCTTGTCTCTGTACCCTGGCCTGGCTTTCCAAAAGGGAAGGAAGGCAGGTCAGAGAGAAGAAAAGTCACCTAGTGGCAGGGAGCAGATTCCAGTTTATGCCAAGGAAGAGCAGAGGACCTTTAGTTCATATGCAAAGTGACCTATAACTCCCCTATTTTAGAAAAAGTGAGCTTCAGGGCCAGAGCAATAGTATAGTGGGTGGAGCACTTGCCTTGCACACAGCAGAGCCAGGAGTAAGTCCTGAGCACTGCTGGGTGTGACCAAAAAAACAAAAAAGTCAGGTTAGCATCTCTGCTGTTTTTAGGAGCCCTAGGTTTGCTCCCTGGTACCACCCACAAACACCTCCACTTCACAGGCCCTCTGGGAGCTTCTGTAAAACACTTAGCCCATGGCTCTATCTCCCCTTTAGGTATTTAATCACACTGTATGTTGCTTAGTTACTGTTAAAACACTTGGATGAAAATAGACCACATGGAGACTCAAGGGTACATTTCATTTAATAAATTCACAGATCGATGATAATGGTGAGTGGAGTTTTGAAAAAATTTTGAGTGGCTTACATCTCATCATAGGTTTCAGGAGTGCTTCTTCACATCTCTTCACATCTCTTCACATCTCTTCAACATGCAGAAGCCATGTCTGTCTGACCCCCAGTCACAGTTTGCCCCTGCACTGTCCCTCTCTGTCTTCTTGGTCCACAGATAAGTGAAATGACCAATCCTGCCTCTTTCTGACTTCACTCATGTACTATCCGCTCCACGGTGACACAGGCGGCAATCCTATTTTAATCATAGTTGAGGTAACATGTTAATGTTCATGCTTTTGGTTTTCAGCATTACTGTTCCTCAGCCACCACAGTACCAAAGTCTCATGGACAAGCAACAACTTAGCAAGTTAATAGTTTTGGAACCAGTTTTTCTTGAAGCATTAAAGAAACTTCTTTAGGGGCTGGAGCAAGAGCATAGCAGGTAGGACATTTGCCTTGCATGCCGCCGACCTGGGTTCGAATCCCAGCATCCCATAAGGTCCCCTGAGCACCGCCAGGAGTAATTCTTGAGTGCAGAGCCAGGAGTAACCCCTGAGCATTTCCGGGTGTGACCCAAAAACTAAAAAAGAAAGAAAGAAAGAAAGAAAGAAAGAAAGAAAGAAAGAAAGAAAGAAAGAAAGAAGCTTCTTTATTTTTGTTTTATTTCATTTTTATTAGCGAAACACCATGAGGTACAGTTTGTAAACTTACAAACTTTCGTGCTTGGCGTTCAGTGATCGAGTACCCATCCTTCCACCAGTGCCCATTCTCCACCACCAATGATCCCAGTAGCCCTTCCACCCCCACACCCCACCCCGCCTCTGTGGTAAGGCATTCCCTTTTGCTCACCCTTTCCTTTAGGGTGTTATAGTTTGGAATAGAGGTATTGCGTGGCCATCATGAAAGAAGCTTCTTTAAAAGACAACTTCACAAACACTCATATTAGCCTGATACCAAAAAGAGACACATTAATAAAAAATAAAATTATAGACCAATATCATTGATGCACATATCCTCAGAAAAATATTATTAAACAAAATCCTACAGTACACTAAAGGGATCATATACCATGGTCAAGGAGGATTTATCTTAAGGATGCAATGATGATGCAAGCAACTTAATACACCATGTATATACAAATAATCATATTAATAGCTGCAGAGAAAACATTTAACAATATCCAGTGCTGATTCACAATAAAAACCTAATTAAAATGGAGATAAATAAAAAGGAATCTTCCCCCTTGTATCTCATGGTGATTCAATACAAAAAAAATTTTTAAAGCACCATCATGGAAAAGAAATGAATTAAAAATCATTTTTTAAAAGGAACTTTCCTCAATATAGTTTCCTAGTTACCACAAACCTACAGCTAGCATCCTATTCAATGTGAGTAATTGAAAGCCTTCTCTCTGAGATGGTACAGGCAACACTACCCACTCTTACCTCTGCTACTCAGTGTAGTTCTGGAAATCCATGCCAAAGCAAGTAGACAAGAAAGCAATTTAGGGGATCCAGATTGGAAAAGAAATCAACTGTCCCTATTTGCAGGTGACATGACACTAAGAAAACCCAAAAGACTACAAAAAGGCTTCTAGAAACAATAGACTCGTACAGTAAAGTGGCAGGCTACAAAAATCAATGCACAGAAACCCATGGCTTTTCTACATGCAAATAATTAAGTAAAAAAGAGATTTCTTAAAATTACTATTCACAATTGTGCTTCAAAAATTCAAGTACCTGGGATTAACTTAACAGAAGAGGTAAAAGACACAAAGAAAACTATAAATATTATACAAAGTATAAATCACAGCTAAAAAGATATTGTTAAATGTTTTCTCTGCAGCTATTAAGGGAATGGAAACGCACTCCCGGCTCATGGATTGTAAGGATTAATATTGTCAAAATGACCATCTTACTCTGAGTACTGTACAGATCCAATGCAGTCCCTATAAAAATGCCTATGACATTCTTTAGTGACACAGACCAAATGAAATTTATAATGAGTAATAAAACCCCTGAAGAGCTAAAACAATCCTAAGAAAAAGTAAGATGGGAAGTTTCACCTCCCTGAACTGTAAATTATAGTATAAACTTATAGTAATCATGAAAGTGTGGTACTGAATAAAGAAAGATGCTCAGACCAGTGGAATATAACCAGTGGAATAGCCCAGAGACAGACCATGAGGTATATATGGTCAACTAATCTTTGACAAAGACACCAGGAGTATAAGTGAAGCAAGAAAAGCCTCTTTAAATGCTGTTGGGCAAACTGATCAGCCACACATAAAATAAATGAACTCTGACCCCCTATCTCACAACATGCACAAAGGTTAATCCAAATGGATTAAAAATCTTGATGTCAAGATCTTCAATTCATTAATTTTATTAAGGAAAACATAGGCAAAACCCTCATGAAATTAAATCTAGAAACATCTTCAATGACAACAAAACCAAAAAATGAATAGTATTACATAAAATGAAGAAGTCTATATACCACTTCTACACTGCAAAAGAAACAGTAGTTAGAATTAAAAAAAACACCCCACAGATGGGGAGAAAATATTCTCCCAACACTCAACTAACAGAGGGTTAATTGCCAAAATATATAAAGCACATGTAAAACTTGACAACAAAAACAACCCTATCAAAAAGTGGGTAGAGGACATGAATAGATACTTAGAGATATACAGATAAATGAATGTATGTATTCTATATGGCCAATATCAAAAAATACTATCACTATCAGGGAAACAGCAAAGAAATGATGAGATACCACTTAACAGCAATGAGACTGGCACAAATAAAAAATATATATATTGCTGGCATGGATTGGGGGGAAGGTACCCTCCATCACTGCTGGTGGAATGTCAATTGGTTTAACCTCTTTAGAGAACAATATGGAGACTTCTCAAAAAATAAAGAATTGAGTGTCCAGGGGCTGGAGTGATAGTTCAGCAGATAGGGCATCTGCCTTGCACACAGCTGTCCTG